CATGTGGAGCCACATGACATTCAAGTCACCAAGCACAAATTCAGTCACTTGAGTCTTCTTAATACTGGTTCAAAATAAGTAACACCACAGATGTTAGCTTGCTACACCAACCAAACACCCCAGCATCTTTCTTAGTGGGGAGAATGATAGGATCCTGCCTACAGTGCAATGAGACTGCTCACTTGATACCAATGACAGAGCAAAGAGCTTGAACACTTTTAGTTGAAAGTCTTTCCATTCCCCAAGTAAATTTCAAGCATGCTACTATTGTTGGTTTTTTACAAGAGTATTGCTCCTTGTTCTACCTTCTGTCTCTTGTCATCTCACTGGCTTATCTGCTCAGATGTTATAATGGCCCTAGACACAGGGCAAGCCCACCCATGAGGCGAAGTAGCCGCACATCTGCCACTGCTCACCTGGCACCAGGCAGAGGAGGAGGAGGAGACAGGGTGGGGAGGAGAGGGGCATTTATTTTCAATTTCACCTATAGTGGCAAAAACCCAGCATTTTCCTCCTATTAGCAGCTGCTCTGAGGGCCTAAAAAGCAGAGGGTCTTTCACAGCCTCCTGCCCTCCCTCCTCCAAGGTCCTTTTAACTGGAGAGGGAGAGATCAGAAACTGGAGTCTCTTCTATATGGAAAAACTTGGCTCAACCCCACCATCCAAAATCAAGCCTGCCCTCTTCCTGATCCAAGCCCTCTACACACAGAAACTAATGGCACCTAAATATTGCTTATTGGTGTCGGTCAGGTGCCTTTCACTGTGTTCTTTTCGGTGCCTGCTGAAGACCTTCCTATTTAGATGCAAGACTACCCAGGTGTTTAAGTAAACCTGCATGAGGGTTTGTTTGTTTTTTTCTATAGGAAAAAAAATCTGTCTCAGTCTATTCTATTCTGGTTTCAAAACTTGCCGTGTGTTTTACAGTCATGGCTTTGTAACCGTAAAGAAGCGACGCCTTTATTATTCCTCTTGTTTTTTGGTAGACCACTCTTGTTTTCCCATTAATTCTCACGCACGCCTGCGCGCACCCAAAGGAAAGGGAGCGGGGCGAGGGGTCGAGGGGTCAGGCAGGGAGCCCTGCACGTGCGGAGGGAAGGGAGGGAGAACTTCTGCCGGGCACCGCCAGCTCCGGCCGGGCTGAGAGGGACGGATCCGGCATCCGGGGGCCGCCAAAGCCCCCCCCTCTCCCCCCGCTGCCCGAGGGAGATGCCGCCGGCGGGACACCTGCGCGGGAGGGAGACGGGGGCCGCTTCTGCCCGCCTTTCCCCGGACGAGGCAGAGGACGAGGCGGCGGCGGCCGCGGGCTCCGAAACGCCGCCGGGCTGGCGGGCAGGTGCGGCCCCGGCAGGTCCTTCCCCCTCCGTCCCTCCCGCCCGCCCGGCCCCTCAGGAGACACTCACGAATTTGCGGGACTTCCCGCCTCCTCCTCCTCCGGGGTCTCCTCCAGGCACGGCCGTCGCGGGGGCCTCGTCGGCGGGGACCTTGCTCTTCTTCCTCTCGCGGCCGGTCCCGCGCGAGGGTCCCCCGCCGCCGCCGGCGCCCTCCATGGCGGGGCGCGAAGTCCGCCCCTCGCCGCCGCCGCCGCCGCCGCGACCAGGACGGGGGCAGCTGGGCTCTCCTCCCCCGGCGCACTCAGTCAGTCAGTCAAGGAGCGAGCGAGCGGCAGAGCGAGGCGGGCGGGCGGGCGGCTCCTGACAGCCACGGCGCTCGACGCCCACCCGACGGGACCTCTCAACGGCCGGGCAGCCGCGCCTGCCGAGCTCCGCCTCAGCCGGGCTCCGCCCTCCGTCACAGTGGCTGCTCCGCGCGCCGGCCCGCCTCCCAGGAAACAGCGCCCCGCCCACCGCGGCGGCGGCGACGTCGCACGTGAGACGCAGCCACGCCCCCTCGGCTCCCTCGCCCGCAGCAGCGGGAGAAAGCAGGAGAGCGCAGAGATAGGAAAACGGGGTAGAGGGGGGCATGTGAGCTCGGAGAAACAACTTCCAAGATCCTTTCGGCGCTCTCTTTTTCCTCTCTCCTTGCCGGCCAGTCGTTCTCTGCGACTTTGAGAAAGAGAAAGTGGCAGCAAAGGTCCCAAGGGTGGGGGCGGAAATGTGGCTTAAAAAAAATATTACTATTATTGTTAAATTTGTATACCGCTATATATATAGCATAGCAATAACAAAAACCAAACTCCCCCGCCGGCACATTATTATAAAACAAAGAACTTTATTTGAACAAGCTTTCTTTCAGCTCCTATCACTCTCTCTGAACAACATTGTTGCAGATTGTGGGGGCGGAGGGGTTAGGCTGAGATTAGTTCATTTCCAGTCAAGTATCTCTTGCAGCAAAAGTCAAAATTTTTGCCACAAAACTCCTTGCCGAGTTGCATGCAGAAGCCTGGGGACTATTGTCAAGGCATCTGGAAGTGTTGCCATGCGTCCTCTTTTCCCAGGACACGCCCTCTTTTTCAGGAGTAAAATTTGAGAAAAAATGCATTTATTTGCTATCAATGGCCGTCATATTGTCCTCTTTTTTTGCTCTTCAAAATGTGGCAACCCTATCAGACATGCCCTTTCAAATATTTTAAAACTTTTTTTCCACTCAAACTAAGATCTGAGTAGAGGCTGGGAGCCGTTGCTGCTCATTCAGAGCTGCGCTATTGTATTGGGTTTTGGTTTTTTCCCAGTCACCGTTTAAAGCATTTCCAAAACCAGCCCTCAAATTCGGCATTTCGCCTTATCCTATTTTATGATAGATGCGGTTTTCCGCCTTCACAATGTAAAAACAGAATTTCCCCCATCAAAAACGAAATGTGTATCTCTTTGAAGCCTATGGTGCCTCTACACTTTCTATCTCTAAGGTGGACATTTTTGGTAATGAGGCAGAACTTCCGCTGCTCTCCCTTCCGAAGCCACAGAGATAAGGAAAGGAAAGCGAGGCATTGCAGAAGAGATTTCCGGGTCCCGAGAGGAAAAACCCATTTTAAAACATCCCCAGGGGCCGAGGAAGCAGCTACCTGTAAAATTCAGTAGAGAAAGCGGGTGGGGAGGGGAGTGTAGTGACACTGAGATAGAGCAGCAGCAGCATGTCCATGCCTAAACAAACAGCCGCAATAAAGGGCTGGAGTCTTGCTCTTTTTAATTTCTAAATCTAGCTCTGCTTGTGCAAATTCTAATGCCAGTAGAGTCCAATACAGCCTGGAGGAGCTGCAGCGGAGTGTTGCTTGTGGAAACAAAAGGCTGAGTCCGGCTGACAGAGTTAACATGCAACATGCCTCTTAATAGTCCAGGATATTACTGCAGGTCAGACATGGGGCCAAGGCTGGTTTAGATTTCCAACCAAAGCTCCCCCACACAAAACCAACAGTTGCATCAAGTATGTATCAGTTTCCTTAAACTGCCCCTGTGGTTTAAACCTAGATGGCTTTAAATACTGCAGGCAGGATGTTGACAGGGTCTAGTTGGAGAGCCTGGGACTTTGCAGCTGCCCATCCATGCACAATGCAAGGCGCTTGTTATGACCCATAAAGCTCTAAACTGCTGAAGAATAAGTTACCTGCCCATATGCTGAGATCTTCAAGTCAGGCCCTCCTCTCTGCCCCAGTAGTTCATAAGTGTTTGAAGGGAACTCAAAGGAGGGCCTCCTCAGTAGGTGCCCAGACTCCAGCACTGCAAATTCTCTCCAAGATAATCCTCCACAGGAAGCCAAAAACACCCTTTATTTGTAAGTCTTAAAAAATGTAGTAGGATAGGCTTTTGTGTCTATTTAGTTGACCTTATTTTTTCATAGCTGTTTTAATTTATAAAAATTAACTGGCCATTATTGTTTATCTGTTCTTAGAGGACTATTTATTTTCCTTAATGATTTACTATGTATTGTACTGTTAGATTAGGGTTGCCATATTTTGCCATGCACATGAAAAGGTGGGCTAGAAAAGAACTAAGTAACTTCGAAATAAAGGTATGCTGCCATTTTGGACCCCCTCTTCCCACAGCAGCTTCAACACCAACCACCCATGAATCAGGGGACCCCAGGGTGCAGCCTCTGGCACCCTGCAACCACAGTGGCTGCAACCACAGATAAACATTTGCAAAGTCCCTGGTCCATAAGCATAGAATGCTTTGGATCCTAACCAATATCTGGATAACCAATATTTGGATCCTAACCAATGGTGAAGGATAACAGAATTGAATCACATAGAGTTGTAGGGTTGGAAGCAGCCCCAAAGGGATGATGGAAGCTGGAGTAGCAAGCAACCTGCCGGAGGGTCGGCACAGCTCCCCAACGCTTTATTAAGAGGGGTCATGGATTGAGATTATGTTTGCCCAATAATAAATGTTGGAAATGTAAAGAAAATGAAGGTACATTCTTTCACCTTTGGTGGACGTGCCCAAGGATCAAGGCTTTCTGGGAGATGATATATAACGAATTGAAAAAGGTATTTAAATATACCTTCTTGAAGAAACCAGAGGCCTTTCTCCTGGGCATAGTCGGCCAATTGGTGCCAAAGAAGGACAGAACTTTTTTTATGTATGCTACTACAGTAGCAAGAATTCTCATTGCAAAGTATTGGAAGACACAAGATCTACCCACTTTGGAAGAATGGCAGATGAAGGTGATGGACTATATGGAATTGGCGGAAATGACTGGCAGAATCCGAGACCAGGGAGAAGAGTCGATGGAAGAAGATTGGAAGAAGTTTAAAGACTATTTACAGAAATATTGCAAAATTAATGAATGTCAGAATGATGTCGGATAGAAACTAAGTGGTCATTAGCCGAAATGTTATAAGGGAATATGAAAAAAAATGGTTTATTAATAGGTAAAAATTTAAAATTACAAATACTTTATGATTAACGATTAGGATACATAAAGAGGGAGGATTTGTTGAACGAATAACTGAATGGGAATACAAAAAAGGGAGGTGTGAGGAGGTCCTGGAAATAAGCAAATGAAGGCTAAGTAACGGAAGGAATGAATTGTTTTTAACTGTTTTTATTTTGTATTTTTTTTTTTTTTGTCTTGTAATATTCTGAAAACCTTAATAAATATAAAAAAAAATGGATTGAGATTATGGCTCATGTTTTAGACTCTTTGAATGGTACCCACAGGGAAGTATACCAGCTGTGCACAAACATGTATACTGGCAAACTGTTTTTAGGGCACACGTTTCTTTGCTCTTTTTTTTTTTTTGCCCCATTCTGGAGACTGTAAATGAAGCCATAATCTAGAACTATGACATCTTGTCATGCTTATTAGCAGCAGCGGGACTAGTTATGTACCAACATGTCACTGTTTGGTTCTGTTCACTTTGCAGCAGTCACGTTCTTGGATGAGTATTGCTATAGATATAATGAAAATTATATTTTTAAATTTAGATGTTTCCATCTTACATCAGTCATTGTAACTTGTGCTCTAATATTTTAAGTTTGAACTACATACATGGATGAGCAATATTGAGATCAGAGGAAACGAATGTCGCAATTAGAACAATGTCATTTTGGACACTTCTGGGTGAATAATCCTTCATTTCAACATACTGTCTGCAGTCTTGTGGTGAATACTGTCCCTGTCTTCAGAGGCTTAGGCTGCTTGAACTCAGCTTTACAGAACCTCGCATATGTCCTTCAGACAGTAAATTAAGGGAGTGTGTATTGCAGTTTCCAGTTACTACCCATGCACCCACACACTTCCTGAATGTGTGGCAAAAAAAGCACTTTGTGCCACAGTGCTTCTACAACCATGAAAAGTAACTTCATACCCCCTGTAGAAGTGAAAGAAGAGACTGGGCTCCATTACTATAAGAATTTTTAAAAAGGACTGAAAGTGACTGTACATCACACATGAGGAACCCATTTACAGTTGGAGGGCCAAATTGCCTTCTGGACATTTATTCCTGCACTGCAGGGGGTTGGCCTAGATGACCCTGGGGTCCCTTCCAATTCTACAATTTTATTATTCCCAGGGCCACATGTCAGTGACAAGCAGGGCTAGAGGCAAAGTGGCAACAAAGGCAAATGTTTCTACAGCAGGCTACTTTCTATACAGTCCTTTGTATCCCCTCCAGACAAGCAAGAGTTTCAGGACAAATACCAGCCAGGCAAAAACACTCAAGAAGGATGTGAAACAGGTCCAGTGAAGGGCCAAGCATGAGGAGAGTTCTGAGGGCCAGAAACAGAGGCATGTGGGGGCCACATCTGGTCAATGAGTCTGCTGTACAGGCTGCATGAGCGCATGTCAATGCAAGAGGCAGGGGGAGAAGGAAAGACACAAAACAGGTAAGAAAAACACCATCCTGTTGTTTAATATTTTAAAAGCATTAGTAAAATATGAGCATAAGGAAGAAAAGATCAGTTGCTGTTCTGCCATTCTACCCGCAGTGAAGTCTTCATAACACTGATGGCAAGTATCTGCACGTACACATACAGCTTAAGACCAGTAAGACCACAGCCAAACTGAGGCACACATTGCATCAATGGCTATGTAGTCACAAAGGAAGGAGAACTTGCAGTTAAAACTAGAGAAGCCTTTCAAATTTTTGCTTGGATCCAAAAAGAACTTTATTTTTAAGGAAGTTTGTGGAAGAGATGTTTCCTGTCCACTTCTCCCCACTGCGTGCATCCCCCCTTACCCTGAAAAAGAAAATCCTCTCTGGGTGGTCTGGGGGACTCTCCTGAACAATATGGAATGTGGTTCAGGGGGGAAGAGGGGACAGGAAGCTTTCCTTTCATAAAGTTCCTTAAAATTTATTTAGGAACAAAGCCTCTGCCTGAACACATGCTCAGAAAGCATGACTCATTAAAATATGTAAAGGGTCACAGAAGGGAGAAGCTCAACAATGGGAAGACTTTCCACAACAACATAACCATCTTTGGCCCAGGTCTCTCCCTACAATCCATGTAACATTCTTTTGAGAAGCAACATGACCTCTATGAAACCAAAGGTGACGTCTGTGGAAAGGTCACTCTTGGGGGTACACTGAGTTGTACATAGGTGCACAATCCAGCGTTTCCCAGCCTTGGGGTCTCCAGCTGTTTTTGGACTACAGCTCCCATCATCCCTAGCTAGCAATACCAGTGGTTAGGGATGATGGGAATTGTAGTATGAAACCAGCTGGAGGCCAAGGGTTGGGAAACCCTGCACTAGTGTGTGAATGTAATCAACACTCATGCAAAACAACACCCACCCACCCCCAGCCTTCTGTCCCTCAAATATCCCACACGGGTAAGTTTTTTCAACATGCCCTGATTTTGAAAATGAGCTGCTACAAAAATAACCTCCTATGAAGAAATCTGTGCTAAATGAACCAGCATTGTTGGGTCAGCCGCAAAACTGACCGTTCCAACCTCCATTACTGGCTCAGCAAAATATTAACCATTATCCGGTTCTCCCTTTTATCTGATTTACTTTAACACGGGACTCTGGTTGGCTTAAAAACTGGCAAACGACTGACTTTTACACTGCAGCTTTTTTGGGATTTAAAACCAGCTGCTTCAGCAGAACACCTCACATACACAAACCTGTTTCAAAAGAAGTCAGAAGAAATGTCCAAGTGCAACAGTGCTTCTTGTTGTCTGCAAGGGAGACAAAGTCACTGCAGAATGAGACCCAACAGCTGGTCACACAGCAGTGAAACAGACTTGTGTGAACAAGAAATTATGGAATTCTTTTTCCACAAACAGTGGCAAAGGCACAGTCTCAAGGGGTGGGAAAGGCTCTGGGAGGACCATAAACCTCTCAATGTCTTTTGCGCCCCAGTAATTGCATGATTCAGCAGTCCTGCTGCCATCACTTAGCGACAGGACAGAGGCTTTCCACTGGAACCCGCTGCATCCTTATAGCACCACCATCCTGTGATCTCCGCACTGTTCACACTCCCATGATTCAGGCATCATATCTCCACATCACTTTCTTTATCGTTATCATGGTCACCATCATAGAACTCATTTGAAGCCTCCGGCCTGCAAGACAAGTTAACACAGGAGGAGGCCAAAAATTAAGCACAGACACTGGAAACCTGCCCACCTAAAACTGCAGCAACTACATGCTTCTGGAAAACAGCAATCTAAACAATAAGCAAAAGCCCAAATCAATGTAGTGTTGGTTCTGGGAGGCACATATCATAGTTCCTCCAGTTGGGCTGGGGTGCAAACCCGGGACACTTCTACTTGAGGGATAAACAGAAACATGCCTGCTGTAGTTCTCCTCAGAACCTCTCTCTTCAGGATCAGGCTCATCTGGGCGATCAAAATTCAGCAAATCAGAAGGGACGTCATGGATCTGGACACTGGGTGCATGGTTCAGCATCTTCAAATTCTCAAATATAGTTTGCCGAATTTGATCTAAGTACTGGTCAGAAGAGAAGAGGGGGAAAACAGCAGGTCATATCATAGAGGCCTTCAGGTATGAAAATGTTTATAAAGTTCCAGCCACCACTCCTGCCTGGCTATCAGAAATGCCAAGGGCACTAGATTTTCTCTTACTGAATGAGTAGAGAAGCCATTTGGCCCAAGGGCCGACAGGAACCTGTCCAAATTGCCAGGGCCAAAACAAAAGCAAAACTCTTAAGGGAGTGGGAAGCAAAATCACACCACCACCCCCATACACAAAACATGTACCAGACACCAAGGACACAGCACTGCCCCTCTTCTCCCCCACCCTCTCTCTCACAAACAGAGCACTCCAGAAACAAAATAAAATTCCTCTCTAAGGAGCAGATGGGTCCTTTATCTAGGTCTAGGATCTTGGTGCTAAGCACAGCAGCACTAGGTTTAGAGATAAGCCCTCTGCCTACTCCTTCAGAGCAAAAGGCAGCATTTCCACCCACTCAGAGTTTGTGTGGGGTACAGAAAAATGCTGCTTTTAAAATCAAAGAGCAGACAGAGAGCTTATCTCCAATCTAAGAGCAAAGATAGGAGCTCCTTCTGCTGTCTTTTGTCTCTCTCAACGGGCCCATTGCTAATCTTAGCACGGTGACACTTGTAACATAAATTAAAAATCCCTTTAATTGTCACTTATGACATCAGGTGATTAGTAACGATCTGGATGAAATCCAACAATGTGAAGTCCATGTAATATATTAGGTACATTTGGCAGGCAGTTCATAGAATTAGAAAGGCAGTGCTCATTATATTCTAATTTAGACAGGAGTCGCACTCCTCTTAAAATATCAAGATTGCAGCTGGGTGGTCCTGCTTGATCTTGGTGTCTTCTACGCTTATGAGAATTTTTTATTCTCTTATTATGCTGTTCTAAATATGCATTTTATAGTGGACTTCCTTTAGTAATGTTTTCTTTTGAAATGGTCAAGATAATTTTTTTCCTAACTTGGCTGTGTTAAATGTGCATTTTATAGCTGACCTCTTTGGTAATGTTTTATTTTGAAATCTTTTCAGATAATATTTTAGTTTCCTGTTGCTTTGAATGTATACTTGACTTTCTTCAGTAATGTTTTATTTGATGTTTTAATGAAGGTTGTAAACCACTTTGAGATTTTTTTCTTAAAAATATAAAGCAGTATAGAATGAAATTAACAATGATAATAATAACAACTATTTGCCCAAAATGAATTTGCAGGTTCAGAATGATCCCAATCACTCTTACTCAGGCATAGGCAAACTCGGCCCTCCAGATATTTTTTGGGACTACAACTCCCATCATCCCTAGCTAACAGGACCAGTGTTCAGGGATGTTGGGAATTGTAGTCTCAAAACATCTGGAGGGCCTGCTCTTACTGCTTGGAATGGGCTTTGGGAAACCAGAAGCACCAATGCTGCAACTTTTGAAAATGTCAAGGCAGAAGACATGGTGGGAGGCTAAAGCAGAGCTAAGTGAAATATATATGGCCAAAGTTACTTACCTGCCTCGAGTTCTGATTTTCAATTCGAGTGCTGACATCAGGGTGGAGGGTAAAGTCTGGAGCAAAGTATTCAAAGTACTCTACATAGAGACAGACAATTAGTGTGGATACATGGATACTGATGTTTATACATTTTAAAATAAGAAGGAAATCCATGCACAACCCCTTTCAAACAACTCTACAAGCCCATGCAACAACTAACTGAACAGCAAGCTGCAGCTCCACTCTCCTGAAGGAGCAATCTCTCTCAATGCCTTGGCTCCCTTTATGTAAATTAATGAAATCAGCTGATTTTCCAGCTGCTTAGAACTGATGAAAACATACAATCAAATTCTGCTTCATCTATGAAGCCGTTATGCCATCAATTTTCCGGTGTGCAAAACACAGAATTACTGGGAATCAATATTGACGAGCAAATGTAATAACCACTGACAACTCCAAGTGGAAAAAGTAACAGGATTAAATTATCTGGTTTAAAATAATTTGCCTCCAATAATTAGAAAAGCATAGGCAGATATGAAAAGGTTGGCCAAAGGTTGGTCGCCACCTCCACCACGTAAATCTGCTTAACCCTTATATTTTGAAACAATCTGAAAGATGCTGTTGGTGAATTACAGATTAACCAACCCCAAGCCCCAACAAATCATGCTGGAGAATTTGGATGAGGTGGAGATATCCCTGCACCCAGCCCAACCCAGAGACACTGCCCTTGTTGGCAGGGCAGTTCCACCAGCAACAGGTTCCCCACTGTATCTGCCGTAACAAGGGGCACAAGCTACCACGGGCAGCATTGTTAGCAGCAGCCAAGAGCAACTTCCAAAATGGAGTGTTTCAGGGTAGAGGTGGGCTAGAACCCAAATCAGCCGCGCTGCTGCCACATGATAACAATGGGCCCAACCAGGCCTGGACACCGATATAGTGAGCTGACATTTTCCTCCACACACCACACCTGCCCTGGCCAGCACATGCAACAAGGTTCTACAGGTGGCAGCGGCTACTCCACGAAGCCTTGTCATTGCTTTTGAACTATCCCCCTAAGTTATCTAGATACTAATAACTTGGGGAAACTAAATATGCTACAAGGGACATCAGTGACGTTTGAACATGTAGGTCCTCAACTTACCACTATATGGAAGCTCCTCACTAATTGCTTCATCTACAAGTAATGATGTTTCATAAGTCCTAAAATGAAAGGCAGACTACAGTGAAGTCTTCACATGACACAAACCTGTGCCATTTTATATCCAAGGAAGGTAAAGCCCCAACCCATTATCAACAAAAGCTTCCAGAAGACTCACCAGCACCGGGCCACATTGCGAACTGTGTAGCCACCTCCTCCTAACACCAGGAGGGGTATGTTGAAACTCTTTACATATTCTACACATTCCCTAGGATTCAAAGTTATAAAATTCAGAAATAAATTCCTCTCAAACTTGCTTACATTCATCTATGTGTTGTACATAAACCATCACCCTTCATATGGCTACAAATAGGTTTTGGAAAATTTACAAATAACTAACAACACAGGCTCTGTTTACTCAGGTGTATGCTCCTGAGCGCGTTAAAAGTGGGAGGTTTATTTCAGACTGGTCAAAAGCCCAGAAAAATATATGCAGCACAAAGAGTCAGTGTGAATTTCTAAAGTCCTAAATATTGAAAAGATTGAGTAATGTATATTATGTATAAATACACACCAATAACTTATTCTGAGCTAAATGCTGCTCTTTCACTACTGGCTTCAAAGGTGAAGGTTGAAAAAAAGTAAAGAGAGCCTAGGTAGGTATGTACTATTAACCCATCTGTAGCACCTCAAGGTAATTCTTAGTATAACTGTGGGAGGCATACACAATTAATAAAGAACAACCAAAACCTGTAAACTTTCTGCTTATCTTGTCTTTGTGAGAAAGCAGATAATTGTGCCTTATAGAACACACCTGCTTACAGAGGGGACAACTGATCCAAGCATGTTAACAAAAGTGGAACAACAATACCATCACTACTACAAAGCACCAAATCAACAAAGTTTGACATAACACTACATTATTGCTCAGAAAATCAGAAACGAATCCTCATGAGCCAGGATGAGAATCAATTCTCAGAATGGGGAGGGGGAGAGACAGGGTTTCAAACTGCTAACTACCAAGGACCAAAAAAGATGTGACACAGAGATACATTAATGCAGGGGTCGCCAAAGTTTTTGGAGCAGTGGGCACATTTTGAATTTGGGGGAAGTGCCTGTCACAAATTGACTGCTGTTGGGGCAAAGCACAATTAGAGCAAGTACACGCACTGCTGTTTCCCCCTTCCAGACCTCATGCTTATTGTGGGAAATAAGCTATGTCCTGCTTGTGGAGATCACATGGCAATTATTTACACTATTAGGAAAAATAAACAAGGTGGCCACACACACGCACACCTCTCTCTCTCTCTCTCTCTCACACACACACACACACACAGAGAGAGAGAGAGAGAGAGAGAGAGAGAGAAAGAGAACCGTCTCTCACACACACTTCACAAATGCCTCTCCCTCTCCACCCAAGTGCATCTTTCCCTCACTCAAAGCACACATTCATCCATACTTCTTGTTCACATACGTGTCTGTCTCTCACAGACCATACGCATGACTCTCCCCCTTCCAGTTCTCTCTCATACAAACACAACACTACACATGCATTTCTCATCTCAAGTGCATTTCTCCCAGTTACACGCAGAACCCCTTCAAGGGGTGAAGCAAGTGGACACCCCCAGCTCCACATGACTGGCAGGCAGCAAGCAAGCAAAGAGGATGGACCACTAGGTGAGCAGAGAAGCAATCCCTGCCACTTCTCCCCCCTCCAAAAGCAACCCCTCAAAAGCAACCAGAATGCAAGGAGGTCAACCCTTCCAGCTTCGCTTTATTTTTAACTGAAGCAACCACAAAGGCTCTGATTTTTATCAGACCAGCAGCACTGTTTTTGCAATATAGTTCATTCACCATAGCAAGCAGCTATTTAGCCTATATCAGGAAAGAAATATAGTACAACTGCATTCTTCCACTGTGGGGGCAATAGCAAGTTCATCAGAAAGCAGATTTTACTGAAGCAGAACAGGTGGGGGTGTTAAACTTTTTCTCATACTGTTTTTCAATCACATACACACCAATTAATTCCACTGTGTTTTTCTGCTGCAGGGCTAATAGTCGCTTTGTGGGAGGGCTCAACCTCTCCCTCACCCCTCCAGCACCACTAGTCCAAACAAATGTGAAGCTCCCACAGCTGCATTAAAGGGTAAAAAAGGTGGGAGATCCAATCACATCAGTTTCAGTTCCAATGTGCCCTTTTACTCAACTCATTAAAGGGACTCACCCATGTCCTCTTATGCTGAGGTTAAAGCAACCAAGACGATCACAACCTAGCGAGTCAGCACCACACTTAATGGAGGCAAAGAAGAAGAAATGAGGAGAAAACAACAGTATCGGTGCACTAGCTACTGATTATCCAAAACACTCACAACAGAATATCAGGAACGCATCTCATCCCAGCCAGCCCACCTATCTCCCAACCCTCCCCACACTAGTTCTTCTGTGTGACCACCAAAGGAAATTCAAGTCCACACCCATGACTCTCACTGCTTAGGTCTTCCATCCTCTTACCTGCAGCACTATGCATGTGGGCTGATAGAACTCTATAACTTGATTAATGACTGGCTGGAAGAGGTGTTTGTAACCTTCAAAGAGAAGACAAGACTCTGCTGTTATAGCTCCTCTGCTGCAATCTGCACAGAAGTCAGAGTATCCAGCAAGGCCCAAGAGAAGCCTTCCACTTACTTTGGTCATCGATGCCATCACGCAAAGGTACGTTCAGACAGTAATAACGGCCACTCTCAGCTCCCACTTCATACATGTCACCTAGCAGGTGAAAGCAGGGCAAAGTGCAGAATTCAAACTTTGATTTTTAAAATAGGTTACTACCTAGCTAATCCACAGCCTGAAGAAATCCCATCTCTGTTTTCAGCTAACCACTGGAACATCCCCACACTAATGTACCTATCCTATATCTAAGCACTCTGCAGGTATCCAAAATGAAATCTGTATTGCATCTTTAATCCAGCTTATAATAAGCAATAAAAAGTTTTGTACCTGTACCAGGGAAGAAGTAGTTTCCATATTTGTGAAAGGACACCGTCATGACACGGTCTGTCAAATAAAAAGCCTCCTGGACACCATCTCCATGATGGATATCTATGTCAATGTACAGTACACGTGGGTGATATCTGTCAGAAACCCAAAGACATGTTAGAGAAGCAGGTGGAAGCTGGCAACACCAGGGTGAAATCCTGTATCCAAGCTGCACAGCCACTCCCCTCACTCAGTTGCCAATCCAAGTTTCTTACTCACCAAAAAGGTGCATTTCATGTCGTAGATCAGAAAGGGAAACATTTGTATGTAATTTATAGTTGGGCAGCAGATAGGGAATGGGATTGGAGACAAGCAGGTAATGTGTTTAAATTATCTGTAAAGCCAGACTGGAGGAGGAGGAAGGAATAACTTAGTCTTCTTGATGAAGGGAGCAATGCCAAGTAGTGGAAGCCAGTGTAATTTATGCCAGTTTAAGTTAAGCAAGCATAAAGTGCACCAGAGCCAAACCCCATTCAAGGTGGGGTTTTCAAACACAAGACTGCACCAAAAAATGCCAAGCCAGGGCTTAATTATTGCATTTCTTAAACTGGAACAAAAAAGTGCAGGTAGGAAAGAAGTGTACCACATCTGGACTCAGCCAGACACAAATAAACAAGAATTATCACATTATGATCAAACACTTGAAGAAGGTTCAATGGAAAGGGAATGGGAAGGGCCACCAGCACAAGAGAAGCCATTTAGACACACAATCTCTAGTGCAGCTCCATTATGCCATTTACAGCAACACCAACTCCCCCCTCCGCCTATGCACCGCTTGCACCAACTCCTTACTTGAGAAGCTCCAAGATGCCGATCACAATGTCATTGACATAACAAAACCCAGAAGCCTGAAACACAAAAAAGGCAAAAGTGAGTCAGTGAAAAGCAACTAAGTTTTCTTTACCCTCCAAAGCAAGGAAAGTAGACTTGCCTCATTACCTCAAACTTCTTGGCATGGTGAAGACCTCCAGCCCAGTTTATTGCAATATCACAGATCTAAAGACAGAAGGAGTACATTAGCTCAAATGAAAGAGGATTATGCTGCCTTAACAGCAACACTTACCAAGGGATGATGAATCCCTATATCCTAAGCTAGCCCATCCACTCTGCTGACTTCCTTTGCAAAACAACAACAACAACAACAAACAACTGTTAAGGCTATCTGAGTTATAGTTTTGTACCCATGAGAGTATTTAGCATTTATACTTCCTAGCATTCTAAGCACTTCATTGCACTCCTCACAAAAAAACCTATAAAGTAGGTCAGAATTAGTACCTCCATATTGGAGATGGGAGGCTAAAAACCACCAAGTGAATTCATGCCCCAGATAGGATTTGAACTGGGGGGTTCCTGAGTACCCCACCACGCCATATCAGATATCATGAAGTTCCCCCAGAGTCAATGATTATGAATACCATTTAGTTGCACAAAAAAATTACAGAGCAAATTTTAGAGCGACCTGGTTGACAGCAACTTAAGGATGTGAAGAAGGTGAAGATGACATCACCTTGTTACCTTATTATTCAGTTGTGTTGCTCCTTGCAATGAAGCCCCAGTATATCGAGAACAAAATTCAAACAGCCCTGGGAACACTGGACTATGAGAGAACACAAAATTACACTTAGTTCAGGATAACATGGCAGAAACTTTCCAATCCAAAATAGCTATTTGGGTATGGAAGATCCGACCATATCACTAGATGTGAGTAAGAAACACAAGACAGGCAAGGCAACGTTTTTGTTTAGCAGCCACAGTTGAAATAGGAGTGTGCAAGTCGTCTAATAATTCAGAACTCTTCATCTGCAAGGGTCCATGGTTCTACTTGCCAAGGCAAGTGCCTATCCCCAGCAAACATGACAAGCCCTCTCCCAATTATGGAGCAGGGGCTGGGCATCACCCACAATTGGAAACACAACTGTGTTTCCAGAGATGCTCCAAGTACCCTGAAAAAACAACAAGAAGAAGAGGAAGAGTTTGGATTTGATATCCCGCTTTATCACTACCCTAAGGAGTCTCAAAGTGGCTAACAATCTCATATCCCTTCCTCCCCAACAACAAACACTCTGTGAGGTGAGTGAGGCTGAGAGACTTCAGAGAAGTGTGACTAGCCCAAGGTCACCCAGCAGCTGCAGGTGGAGGAGCAGGGACGTGAACCTGGTTCACCAGATTATGAGTCCACTGCTCTTAACCACTACACCACACTGGCTCTGGAAAGTCCATAAACAGCATTCCCACTACTCCTGTTCCCTGTATTGTCTCTGATAATTGAGGTGGCATACAGAGCAATCCTAGCTGTATCATCCTTCTATTTCTCCAACCCCCTTTTAAAGCCATGCAAGTTGGCGGCCATCACTACATTTTGCAGTCTCAAATTCCACTATGTGATGTTTAAAAAGGTACTTCCTTTTGTTTAGCCTGTATCTTCCAGCCTTCAGATTCATTGGGTGGCCCTAGTGCTTAGCGGTATACTGCCTCTGACCATGGAGCCTCCTTTTAGTAATAATAGTTATTGATGGACCTATTCTCCGCAACTCTTTCAAGTAGCCAAGGAACTGTGCACAAGGGCAGAATCACCCATCTCTTTCAGTACTGGAGTTGTAGCTGCACAGAGAAGCCAAATCAGCCTGGAGAGGGTGGCAAGGGGTGAATACAGCAGTGCTTGCCAGGTCCACCCACTCTCACGTTGGCTTTGAGGGCTGGCTCTGGTTGCTTTTGAAGCTCTCCTTATTGCTGTCTCTCAAGATGACATAGAAAGCTGAGAAAGCTTGTTGGAACAGAAATGTCTTCAGATGTTTCCAGAAAGTGCAGCTATCTGTGACTTCACTATCTAAGCAGGAACACTGCTCCTCAAAACAGGGGCCACCACACTAAAAGCCCTGCTCCAAGTTACTTCTGAGCAGGCTTCTGATATCTTTACGGCTTGACGGAGAAGCTCTCCTTACTCCTACTGGGTAAGGCTGTCTCTCAAGAGAGTTGGTCATTGGTATGTGAGACCCAGCCCAGTAGGAGTGTCACTTTCCCTTTTGAAACTTGTCCTGGTAGCAGATTAGCAGCCAGTGCGAATCCAGAAAATACAGTGTTGCATGCTGTCGGCCACTGGCTCCTGCAAGCAACCCAGCTGCCATGTTCTGCACTAGCTGAAGCCTCTGGGCTAACCTCAAAGTAACCCCACATAAAGCACCTTGCAGTAATCTCCCCCTTGAGCTTGACAATGCATGACTGTAGGCACACAGTAATATTGTGTGTGTGTGTGTGTGTGTGTGTAAGAAAGCACCGGCTTTGCTAGTCCTTAGGCTTTAGTAAGCCTCCTGGTGCTCCCATAAGCAGGGCCGACCCAATATATTTTGGCACCTGAGGTAAACCACAAAATGTTCTGCAGTGGTCGAAGTGTGACAGGAAACTACGTTTTCCTCAGTATTTTCTAGCCTAACTCCATGTGCTTTAACATCACTTCAAGAATTAGGAACCTTTTAGACTTTTCTTAATTAAGTTATAACTTTTCTCTAAAAAGCTTTGGTGACATTAAGATTTCTGCATATGAGATCTTCAGCTCTATTACAATAGTACACATCCTTGGTGAAGCCAGGAAAATAAGCAAATATTTACTGTTGGCTTATGTTCATAGAGCACATGAATAAAGGTTGAATGAGTGCCTTCCACTTATCTCCCCCTAGTCAATCTCTCTGCATGGCATTCCATTTCCCTTCTCACACCACATTCACATCAGTCAATCATCTACCCTTCTACATCCTCACATATATTTCCACATATAAATCTTTGTTTCTAACCAAACAAAGACATTATCTTATTTCTTCTGTCAGTCACATCTGTAGTAGATTTATTTAGCAAAAATTTAAAACCACTTGATTATATGCAGAACCCCCAAGTCATTTACAAAAAAAATGAAACAAACAATGAAAGACCAGTACTTTTTTGTTTGAGCAGGCATTTGGGACCTCTGTAATATCCACCCTGCCCACACCACACATTTTGGGCCCTATCTACCTGATGCATCTAGAAGATATGCAGCACTTACCAGTCATCCCCCACATTGAAAGCATTGAGGCTCTTGGTGAATCCTTGCATGTTATTTGGAGACACTCGCTGAAGGAAGTCAATGTAATCTTCTGAATGAAAGCGGCACATATCATGTTGAGATGCTTGATATGGTTTAAATACCTGCAAGAGAAATTCCTCCCATTCAGGACTGAATTCAACAGCAGAGCAAGGCTGTACAGCTGTCAGACTCAAAGTTCCAGTTTACACTATCCCTAGTCAGACTTCTATATTTATGCTCACCATGGCAAGTGAGCTGTTGCAGTTTTATGAACTTAATGAACAAAGCCTTCCTCCCAGACCTGAAGCTACAGAGGTGGATAGGAATTGTCCTGGCAATTGTGCAGCAATTCCCACTCTCAAAGTTGGGTATCCCAGCCAAATAGGTAACAACTGCGGGAAAGGGACGGGGGCTTTCTTAGCACAAACTGGAAAGGGGAAGGTCAGAAAACTAAAATGCTTTGGCTTGGTGACAAAGTCAATAAAATTGCTGAGTCCTGCCTCCAGTGATTCCACACTTTGTGAGAGGCTTTACATGTAGTGTATGCAGATTCTGAAATATACCTACAAAGGAATGGATAAAAATGTCCTAAAATAAATATTACTGCCTTGAAACCAGCAGCTGTCTTTGACCCAGTAAATGCAATGCTTACAATCATCTTCTTATAGAGTCCATAGTGCAGAACCAGACTGTGGGTCAGTGCCAAGCGATGAGGCTTCATGGGATGTCCCGCTCCTAACACAATAAGAAAGAAAGAAAAAACCCACTGTGAAATCAACATTCCCATACCAGAATCAAAGGTTCATTAAGACCTAGCTTATTACCAGCACTCGTCCATAGAGAAAGAAGTGCAAACAGAGATAATAGTAGTATTGTGGGAGAACATTATGCTGATACATATGAGTCCCTTATAGTAGAAGTATAGCCCAATGATTAAGATTTACATTGTTAAGAACAGTTGAGTGAAGTACCAATTAGTTTCATTCATTGTCTAACTTCTTCTTTGGCAATCACTCATAGCCAAGTAAGATTGTCTTCCATAAACACGGTTTTAACAATGAGTCTGTAAGTGGCTGTGGAGGCCAATTTTGGATCCGCACATCCTTCCACAGTGGGGACATTGGTTTCCGTGCAGGAGTTGATCACGGTGTGGATTTGCCAAGCACACCTTCCTCTTAGCATGTTTCTCCCTTGTGTCCTGAGTTTGAGTGTCTTCAAAGCCCATGACACCTTTGGTAAAGGCTGTTCTCCAACTGGAGCACTCGCAGGCCAGTGTTTCCCAGTTGTCAGTGTTTATACTACATTTTTTAAAATTTGCCTTGAGACAGTCTTTCAACCTCTTTTGCTGACCACCAGCATTACGCTTTCCATTTTTAAATTGGGAACAGAGTAGTTGCTTTGGAATACGATCATCAGGCATCCGAAACTTATCGTAAGAGTGTTCCCTAAATTAAGTAAATACAGGTTCCACATAATGTATGTGTGGTTGTTTGGTGGTGTGTGGTTTTGTTTTGGTTCAGTCAAAATATCCTTTCAATTCCCACCACCCTTGGTTAGGAACACAGGAGAGGGCCTTCTTGGTGGCTTCTCCCAGACTCCCCGTGATCATTTTTACTATTAATTTACTTATTATGACTATGTCAAACGGGGACTCGGAACTGAAAATACAACCATGAAGAGGCAATCAAACGACTACACAGTTAAAACTAGATATAAATATAGAAGATCCACGAGAGTGGATTTAAAAGGGGTTGGGGAGGAAGCGAAACCTCCGTGACTGGAACTCTTGCTGCTTATTTTTAAAGCGGGGGCTGTTTTCGGAAGGGCAGAGGCAGCGGGCCCCTCGGCAGCAGACGGCCCGCTCCGCTCCGCCCGGAAAGACCCGACCTGCGGCCTTTTCCGACCCACCCCCGACTCCCCTCGCACCGGCCCCCGCAGAACCCGCCGCCGCGCCGCGCACCGTAGTGGAAGTTCCCCACGTCCGGGTCGTAGAAGTAGGCCACCGTCTTCGCCATGGCAACCCCTCGCGGAACGGCCCCGCCGAGTAACGGGCGACCCGCGCGCTGCCACGCCGCCGACGTCACCACGCCGCCGACGCACACACGGAGGCTCCGCCCATAAGTGAAGCGCAACACCGCTCGCTCGCCCGGGCTCCTCCTGGCTTCTCGCCCGGCAGCTCTCGCGAGACCCAAAGCGGGAGGCCGGGTTCTTCGTGGGAGGAGCGTGGGCGGAGTTATAGCGCGACTTGCTTAGGCTCCGTCGGTCGGGATTGGCGCGTCGGTAATGAAAGTAAATCGTGGCTCCGCCCCTCTCTGCCCCGCGCACGCGCACAGGCCGCGATCTCTGCGGCGGTCCTGTTTTGAGCCAGCTGCAGCGAAGGCTCAAGAAAAGAGAACCGAATAGGAAGTAATTACATATCTGTCGATGTCGATATCTGTTTATAGACATGTATACGATTACTAAAGGTCCGGAGAAAGAAGGGGAAACCTTCCATTTTATTTATTTATTTCTTAAAATGTGTACACTGCTTGATTGTGAAAAACCTCAAAGCTGTTTACAGAAAGGTAAAATCAAGAAAAATCCACAACTCTGCTTTAAAGCATTCAAACGTTAAAATACCAAAGCAGATTAAAATCACTTCCAACTTCCTAAGCATCTGGGCAGGCTTGTCTAAGGCGCTGAACGGAGTATAGGAAGGTGCCTTCTTGATGTCAATAGGCAGGGAGTTCCAAAGTGCAGGCGCTGCCACACTAAACGAGTATGTGGCAGCTGCACTCATGGGTCCTTATGTCCACTAAATGTTTACTCCCAGAATAATACCCAAAACAACAATGAACAGCAAAGCTTCATGTGTGGCTGTAATACTACAGTGGTACATCTGGTTATGTACTTATTTCGTTCTGGAGGTCCATTCTTAACCTGAAACTGTTCTTAACCTGAAGCACCACTTTAGCTAATGGGGCCTCCTGCTGCCACCGCACCGCAGGAGCACGATTTCTGTTCTCATCCTGAAGCAAAGTTCTTAACTCGAGGTACTATTTCTGGGTTAGCGGAGTCTGTAACCTGAAGTGTCTGTAACCCAAGGTACCACTGTATTTGAATTTAGGTGTTAGTAGTTACACAAAGAATTTTCCCAGATTCAAAACCACATTCTTATTTACCTGTAACACTTGAAAGAGACCCCTTGCTTTATCACTACAGTATAAAATCTCCTATATGTGCAAGTGTGTGAAGAAAGGAGAACAGAAAAGCAGGATAATTAGGAAACGGTAGAATAGCTTTCTAGAGAAATGAAGGCAGGTGGGATGTATTTTCTTTAAAAGATGGAGCTGTAGATCAGGCACCCCAAACTCAGCCCTCCAGATGTTTTGGGACTACAACTCCCACTATCCCTAGCTAACAGGACCAGTGGTCAGGGATGATGGGAATTGTAGTCCTAAAACATCTGGAGGGCAGAGTTTGGGGGTGCCTGCTATAGATAAACCTGGCTGGCTTAAGGAAGGTGGCGGGAGAGCTCTTATACCCCTTTAGAGCACCACTCCTCCCTCCCTAAGCCAGGCAAAAGAGCTTTTAGGGAACTAGCCTAGTCCCCCAAGTCCACTGACCGCTCACCACTGCTGAAAACTAAAGTCTGGACAAAAAAAGAAAAGTGTTTTATTTAGCATTGCAAGCCTACATCCTTAGGTTGGGCTGTCTTTCCCAGAACTGCTTCCTCCTGATAGAACATTTTGTTTCCCACTATCATTATTTGTCCTATGGACCATATGCATTTCCTGAAGGCTTTTCATGCCGTTGAAATCCTCCTTCACTTTTAAATATATATGCATATATACCATATGTCTAGCCATTGTGGAAGCAGTAATGAAAACCAGAATTAACCCTCATCATTTCTTCTTTTTTTTAAAATGATATTTATTGAAAAATTTTTAGAATTACAAAAGAAAACAAGGTAGAAAAGGAGAAAGAAAAAACAAAGAAAAAACAAACCACATCAAACAATACAAATTAATAAAAATCAAAATCAAAAAATAGCACAACACGGTCAAAAAACAAAAATATACCACAAACATTTAAAAACAAATCAATTATTCTCAAATCCTTAACTGTCATTACCTTCTTTCTTTGACGACCTCCTCCTCCCTTTTTTTGTATCCTAGTTGTTAATTGTCGCAGCAAATCCTTTCCATATTTCATAATATTCTGTCATTACATTACCTTAATCTATTTTAATGTTATCTTACTATAAAAAACCTTAAAACCTAAAACTTAAATCTTATTTTTACCAACTTCTCATAACCATAATATTCTAACATAATTCTTTAAACATTTTTGCTAAAGCCAAATAATTTCGTTCCAACATTTTTCTAACATTCATCAGTTTTATAAAACAATCCTAATAATAAAAAGAAATAAAAACAATCCAATTTTCATCCAGTGTCTCTTCCTCCTGGTCCCGGGTTTTGTCAGTCCTTTTTATCTCATCAATCTAGCGCATTAACCTGGTAATCTTATATCTGAGGCCCTTAAGTCCCTTCCATGTCCCTTCCGCGGCTCTTCTTCATATTTATAACTGTATTTTCCTTTGTCTCCTGCTCCTTTCACTCATGGGAACTCCAGCTTAGCAATGTTTTTGACCCTTCTCGACATATCAGCCCCTTTTCCATAGTCCACACTAAACTCCATGTGATATTTAAAAACATGTTTCAAAGTCTCTCCAAAATTAAGAGCCCCACAACCCCAAACATCTCACGGCCCATTGCCAGACTTGAAAAGTCCAAACATCCTTGCATAGGAGGGTCTATCCACCCCCCCGTTTCCAAACCAAACCAAACTTTATCTTTCCAAATCTGGCTTTTTCCAAGTTCATTTGTCAAATCCAAAAGCTCATGTTCCTGCTGGGCCACAGCTCCCTCCATCTCTGGCGCCCAAGATTCAGCAACATCCTCTTCCCTCATCTGTTCTGTCAGGGCACACTCCTGATTTAATTCCTGAGTGGGCTCCACATAATTTCCCACTGCCTGTTCAAAATTTTTGATTGCATCAGTCATCAAGTCCGTCTTCTCATGTAGCTGTTCCAGTAGGGCACTTGTTTTACAGAGAGCACACAGCAGAGCTTCTGAATACATTGTCCTGCAAGGTCAGAAGTCTATTCCCACGATCGTAATCTGTAACAGCTGCAAGCTCCCCGATTCAGAATTAGTTACAGTTTCACAGGCTCCCTCTAGGGGAAAAACTTCTATTTGTTCTTTTCTTTTAAAGACAAATCTAACAACAAAGTTTCCTTTTTCAGATATTTTGTCAATATTTATTCCTTTAAAATGCGAAGGGGAACAATGGAATCACTATGTTTCTCTTCTTTTAGCTATCTGTCAAAAACGTTTGTCTCTGGTCAATGAGCTTCAAAAAACGTCAGTCCTGACACCCCGCTCCAGGATCAAGACGGTGGAAAGTTACTTTACTTTACACTCACTTCTGCAGGTTTAAACAGTTCAGAAAAAATCCCCCCTCTTCTCCTGCTTCCGAAGGGGGTTCAACAATCTTAAATGATGAAAGTTAGTCCTTTACAAGCGATTTTCTGAGCTCTAGTTTGCCATGTCTTTGCTTTAATCTATCTACAAAGAAACGGAAGGCTGACTTACTGTTTAGACCTTCCCGTTTCAGTGCCAAATTGAAATAAACTTTTAAGTCCAATTTTCCTTTCTGCACGCAAGTCCTTATTTAGAGTCCAATTGTCCGAAATTTAAGTACTCACGGGTGATTATTTTAGAAGCCAAATTGTCCCAGGAAAAAGGCAGCGCTCTCCTGCAACGGCTGTGCGGCTTCACTCCACGGAAGAAGCAGTTGACTCTCAGCACCGCGCCACTTCCCCCTCTTCTCTCCGGAGCCCGTTAGTGGGTTCCTTTGCGGGTTGGGGGGGGCGCTAAAGGTGCCTGCCGAGTCCCATGGTCACAGGCTTCATCCGCCTGTGATTTTTGAAAGGGTCCCCGCTTCGCCGTAGCGGGAAAGACCCGTTTCCCGTGGAGCTGGTCCCTCCAGATCAGAGGGAATCCGCCATTACCGATGGCGCCACCCCGGAAGTCTAACCCTCATCATTTCAAATCTATATAATGTTACAGAGAAACATGTAAAAGGATCAATTCACTTTTTTAATTCTTTTTTTTTTGCTTTTTCATTGGTTTCATGCAACAAAACATAGAACAAGGATAACAGCCCTCCAGCTATAGTTAAGCATCTAAAACAGTTCTTATTAAATTAATTTGCTTAATATGGACAAACATGATAATACATTAGCTGTAGTCCTTTCCTCTGGCCCAGAAGTGCCATATCAGGTGTGCCTTTGCCACTGTCACAAAAGATTACTTTGGGTAGAAGCCCAGTTTAATTGGGACATCCCTGCTTTGGCTCAGTATGCCTGAGTGTTTCAATGTCCATAATGATTGCACACTTAATGTTCCCTCTGGACTATACCAGAGGGTATGCAGCAACCAATTAGAACACAGAATTTGCATTTAAGACAATTAAGTCCCATTAACTTGTGGTCTGTGGGTTGCAGCATTAATCCCATCACACCTTTTAAGGTTGGAAGACATTAATTGCCCTGTTTAGCAGCTGTTGAGTGAAACTGCTGAGCGGCTGTAGCCCTGAATATCCTGTATAGGGAAGCTTTTTAATGTGCAATGTTTTATGTTTTTATATACCTTGGAAGACAGCCAGAGTAGCTGGGGCAAATCAGTCAGATGGGCGGAGTACAAATACTACTACTACTACAGTGGTACCTCAGGTTAAGTACTTAATTCGTTCTGGAGGTCCGTACTTAACCTTAAACTGTTCTTAACCTGAAGCACCACTTTATCTAATGGGGCCTCCTGCTGCCGCCGCGCCGCCGGAGGACGATTTCTGTTCTCGTCCTGAAGCAAAGTTCTTAACCCAAGGTACTATTTCTGGGTTAGCGGAGTCTGTAACCTGAAGCGTATGTAACCCAAGGTACCACTGTACTGCTGCTGCTATTCAGTGCATGTATGAGAAAATGAATAAACATAACTAGCATTAGAGACATGCCTACTACTAGTAGATCTGGTAACTAAACTGTATTCCAGGTGTACCCTCCCGTGTTTCGCACTGCACCAACTTCCCTGCCATCTCACCCCTCTCCCTCTTTGCAGGCAAGAGCACCCCATGTGCCAAGAAGCTAGCATGCCTCCATCCTGTACTGCAAGCCACTTTTGCCGCACACCCTTTAAAAAAACCCACACTCATTGCATCAGGATAACAGCATTGGACCACACTTCAGCATTAACCTCACCCCCACCCCAGCAAAATGGGTATTAAAAAACTGGGTGACTTTACAGGCTTGGCGTAACATATGCTCTGTCAGCCATAGCCTATGATGTCGTAAATATCTATAAATGTTGTAAAAATTTACCATTTCAAGGAAGGGACAATATTTCTGGCTAGATAAAAGATCTGAGTTAGAAATATAAAGAACTCCTGTCTTTGCTGCTACTTTTTATTTTTGAGTTTACACACTTTGCTGCTACTTTTTATTTTTGAGTTTACACCCAGCTACAGTTACACTCAAATTCTGGATTTCCCCAGAGCAGCATACAAGGTAAACAAACAAACAAATATGCCCCCCATCTGACTGGGTTGCCCCAGCCTCTCTGGGCAGCCTCCAGATCGTAGACCAGGCAAACTTTTTCAGCAGGGGGCCGGTCCACTGTCCCTCAGACCTTGTGGGGGGCCAGACTATATTCTTGGGGGGGGGGATGAACGAATTCCTATGCCCCACAAATAACCCAGAGATGTATTTTAAATAAAAGGACACATCTACTCATGTAAAAACACACTGATTCCCGGACCGTCCGCAGGCTGGATTTAGAAGGCGATTGGGCCAGATCCAGCCCCCGGGCCTTAGGTTGCCTACCCATGTCATAGACAATAGGTGTCTCACTCCAACCTTTTCTTTGTCTAATTGATTAGATCTGGTTTCCTAAATGTCATTCATTGCTATTACTTCAGTCACCCACTAAGAACAATGAAAGGTATGAGCAGGCAAATTTATCACAAAACAAACAAGTACCTGCACATTTTGCCTCATACCTCAGGCTCTACAAATGCCAGAAACTTAGTTTCCTTTTGTTTTCATTTTTAAAGTATGCTATGTATCTGAAGGTTCTGCCTCATCCTGGCACATTCCCATGGTCTTTGCTCAAAGAATTGGACTTTTAAATGATATATATTCAGATTTGGCTCTATGCCTTATTGAGAGGAAGAGGGAAATTATTTGGAAATAATCTAGTGAGTTAACCTGTCAAGCATACTGTATATCCATCTGTGCTTAATGCACCACAGGTACCCATCCAACATTTTCCATGTATTTTTAAAAAATGTTAATATTAAAATTGCAGTCAATTATAAAAGGAAGCAAGCATACTTCCTTAGATACCCTATAGATCCCAGCACAACTGTACCATTACGGGATTGCAACCACCTCCTTATTTTCAACATACATTTATCTTCCTATCATTTAAATCCTTTGCTCTTTCTGTCATATCCAAAAATATTTGAAACTGGCAAACAATATCCCTTCCCATTTTAATATTCTTTCTTGCCTCTAGTTTTCAAATTGGCTCAGACATTAAAACAGTTTTGGCCACCCTGAGGATTGGGAGAGAACAGGAGGCCTGGAGGGTCCCCCAGATCAGCAAGGTGCAAGTGTGAGATAAAGTCAGCACACTTCCTTAAAGCTAACTACGCCATGGGGCCAACTGCTGCATTTACCCTAGCAGGAAAAGAGGTAAGAATATATTCCCTTTTCAAATACACATTTTTCTCTCATAGACAGAGAAATAGTAGCCATTTACCATTAGAAAAAAAATCCAATTATATCTGTAGGAGAATAGCCTTATTAGGACCAACTAATATGCATAGTGGGACGTGGGTGGCGCTGTGGTCTAAACCACAGAGCCTAGGGCTTGCCGATCAGAAGGTTGACGGTTTGAATCCCCCTGCCTTCTCTCTCTTTCACCTCCAGCTCTCTTGCTGGCAAATGAGCAGTCAACAGTGTTGATGGAAAGCAGCAGCAACAGCCAGGGGCAATGACAGCCTGTTTGAGCCCACTGAAGTGAGAAGTGGACACACAAATGTTTTGCCTGAGGGCCCACAGCATCCATATTTTTGGACTTGCACAGAGGGCCATTCACAATAACAAGGTATTAACACAGATATATCAGCATTGGTAAGCCAAATTGTTCATACAGTGTTATTTTTTTAAAAAAATAAATTAATCTTTGGTTGCATCCAGTGTGCAAGTGATAGCTCTCAGCCTCTGGAATAACTGTAAATCCAGCAATTTCATGGAGCAGTCTGTCCCTTAAGTTTGCTTGTTCCAGTATGGCCAATCAGGGGTAACTTACAAAGTGTCCTGGGAAGCTGAAATGAGCACAAATGGGACATCAGTAAATATATATAAAGTTAAAACACAGGCCGAGTATGGAGGTTATATGTGGCTTTCTGACTTCAGGCTTCTGGTGAGGGCTCATATAACTGAATGCTCTCCTTTAAAGGAACATTCCTATGGCAAGATCCCTTGGAGGAGCAGCTTAGGATGCATCAGATCTCTGACTCAGTCAGCATTAAGTTCCCAAACCCAGCTCAGCAGAAGGTTTGCCGGCATAAGTTGCTCCTCCTTTTGCTCCTGTCAGCCACTTCTGGAGCCGGCTGTATGTCCCCTACCCCTCTCCCCCAAAGAGCATTTAAACCAGGCTCCTCGGAGTGCAGCAAGAACAGTGCCAGAAACGTTATTGTTGGTTGACTCTTGTTTTGCTATTCATTTATGTACCTAATAAATGAATAGCATTTGCTTCCATCTTGTAATGTTGAATTTATTCTGTGTTTGCCAAATTGTCGATTTTGTCATTTTTGAATTCACTGGCACATTCTGTATTTTATATGTTTGAATTTCCATGCTCTGTATTTCATTGTTTTGAATGTTTGCTATAAGGCACTTTGGGCACAGTTCATGAATGAAAAGCTGCACATAAGTAAATCAGTCAATCAACCCTGGCTCAGCTGGGGCTCAGCCAGTGGAGCTAAAGCTGCTTCAGCTGAGGCCAGTTTAGAGAGCTTGCCAGGAGGAGGTGGGGCTAGACTGGATGCTTAGCCAATTCAACTCTGGATAGAATACTATTTTAAAAGCTTGTTTTCCCTCTTCCTGGCTTAGGCAGGGAAGCAGCTGTGCTGCTAAAGGAGTTTGGATCTGGTGTAACTTTACATTCACATAAATTGCACCAGTTTGCTTTACGCCAGATGCTTGAGGGATTGCTCCCCAAATCTGTGGCTGTCTTCACACTCCTGTTTACTGTGCTCTCCCTGCATTTTCCAATGTGGGCTTTTAAATCACAAAGCTATCCAAAATGCATATGTATCCAGCACTTTGTTATAAAGTACTGCTGTTTGATGTGTTTCTCAAAGCAGCTTGACAACAACTGGAGTCGTTAAGCCATTCTTATTTTGTCTCTAGACAAGTTATCCCTGTTCCATTAACAACCTCTAGTGTGTACTAAAACAAATCTGACATTAATGAAGCTCTGCTGATATGAAGTTATAGTAATAATAATTTATTATTTATACCCCACCCATCTGGCTGGGTTTCCCCAGCCACTCTGGACAGCTCCCAACAGAATATTAAAAACACAATAAAACATCAAACATTAAAAACTTCCCTATGATGTCTTCTAAAAGTCAGATAGTTGTTTATTTCCTTGACATCCACTACCTAGAAGACCGTCTGCCTGGTTCCCTGTAACCTCACTTCTCACAGTGAGGGAACTGGCAGAAGGCCCTTGGCTCCTTCAGGTATACTGGGCCAAGGTCATTTAGGGCTTTCAAGGTCAGTGCCAACACTTTGAATTGTGCTCAGAAACGTACTAGGAGCCAATGCAGGTACTGGTATTTCAGGACAGGTATTATATGGTTTCGGTGGCCACTCTTGATCACCAGTCTAACTGCCACATTCTGGATTAGTTGTAGTTTCCAGGTCACCTTCAAAGGTAGCCCCACGTAGAGCGCATGGTAGTAGTCCAAGTTGAGAAGTTGAAGTTGATATGAGTTGAGAAATGCACTAGAGGAGTGGGGGACAACACACTTTGCTGTGCTCTGAGGCAGCAATATGAACACACAGTAATTCCCTCCACGTGGGAAACTAACATTCCAGGGAGATCCAGTGGTGCCTCGCAAGACGAAATTAATTCGTTCCGCGAGTTTTTTCGCCTAGCGAATTTTTCGTCTTGCGAAGCATGGTGTCGGAAAAGTTTTGGAAAAGCTTCAAAAATCACCAAAAACCTCAAAAAAGGCTACCACACCGCGTTCTATGAGTTGCTCCTCGAAGTCAAGTCGCAACTGTATTAACGGTGTTAAGAAAAAGGAAACAAACTTGCAAGACGTTTTCGTCTTGCGAAGCAAGCCCATAGGGAAATTCGTCTTGCGAAGCAGCTCAAAAACTGCAAAACCCTTTCGTCTAGCGAGTTTTTCGTCTTGCGAGGCACTCGTCTTGCGGGGCACCACTGTGTTTGGGGACTACAATTCTGACCACTGGTTCTGTTAGCTAGGGATGATGGGAGTTGTAGTCCTCAAAACATCCGGAGGCTTGAGTTTGCCTATGCCTGGCTTAGAGTATCCACCAGCAGTGTGATATGATCCAGCCCAGACTTGGCCTTAACAGGATCTGGAAAGCCTTCCAGTTACTGAGCCTGATGCCGAACCTCGGAATATCAACGTTTCGGCGGGGTCAGATGGTGACAGGCCTTCCCTCCAAAGTCTGTGTGAAAGGGCTCCTGGAGGCGCTTTGGCAGCTGCTGCCTCTCTCTCGGTCCCCAGACGGTGCTCTCTCAGCCTCTCCCCGGGCCCCACCCGGTTTCTGCCTGAGAGATTTCTGGAGAGGTTGTGGGGAGGCATAGTCGAGCCCTGGTGCTGAAGGCATGTGCGCGGCTTGCCCGTCAGGCGTCAGGGATGCTGCGAGTGGTACCCGGCCTCGGAGTTGCGGGGTTGCTAGGAGACGGGAGGCAGAAGGGACAGCCTCGCGGGAAGAAGGGCGCTTCAGGTGCGCGCCGAGGCGGTGGCAGCGCGTCGCTGCTTCGCCCGCTGGAGGCGCCCGCGCCATCCGAGGGAGCGGAGGGGGCAGCAGCGCCTAGTGGCCCGGGGAGAAGGATTCGCCCGCCCGGCTCTGGGACGCTCTTGGGAGGAGGCTGAAGCCCATGCGGATTCCGGGGAGGCCCGGCTGGCGCGCACCTCGCCAGGAAGGTGCGCGCGATGCTCTGGGCTCCTGCGCGCGCGGAAGGTGCGCGGCCAGCTGGGGGCCGCCTGGCGAGCAGCTGCGGAGCCTGCCTGGTCGCTGCTGCGGCAGCCGGAATGCGCTCCGCTGAGCTCTGACTTGGGCGTCCGGGGAGGAGAGCCTCCTTGTCGGCCGTGAGTATTTCGGACCTGCAGTGCCTGGAAACCGAGAAGCAGGACGAGGGGAGCGGCCGGGAGCGGAGGGGGGTGGGGAAAGGTGCTTGCACAGGAGGAAGAGGAGGAGGAGCAGGGAGGGAGCCGTCGCGCCTCTTCGGAGCGAGGTTTGTGCTGCAGAGGCAGCGGCAGGAGTGCGGCACCAGTCGTGTCCTTGAGAAGCACCCTCCAGCCCAGCCGCGGAGGTGGAAACAGAGACAAAGACAGACAGATTGAGAAAGCGAGAGAGAGGGAGGCCGGGGGATGCTTCGTCCCGCCGAGAGCGGAGGAGAGGGCGGCCGCGCGCTCGCAAAGGCTGGCGCCGTGTCCTTGGAAAACCTCTAGTAGGGGAAGGAGAGAGGGAGGGAGGGAGAAGCAGGGTTCTGGTCAGGGAACCGCCAAGGCAGAAACGGGAGGCATGAGGAAACGCATTTCTCAAGTCAAAGCATCTCAAAATGGAAGCAGGACGTTTCCTAGGGAAGCAGCAGCAGCAGCTCCTTTCTCCCGGGGATCTGGCTGAGAATCTTTGCCCTTGGACTGCTCGTCCTTGCGCCTGACTTCTGAGGCAGATGGCTGCGAAAGACCCTTGGTAAAATCTCCAGGAACCTCTTTCTGGAAGTCAAACGAAACCTCCCTGATAAACTTTCCGCAACCCCTCAGTAAGGCTTCTCACCCGAGGGGTGCTTTTCGATTAGTGGGGGAGCCCAGGAAACAGGGAGCTGAGCCCCGGTACCTGCCCAGGGCACCTTGGCGCCACTGGCCTGGGTGGGCAACGAGGCACGTGGGCACCTGCGGGCCCTGAGCCATGCGCGCTCCCTCTCTCGCAGATCCGAATGTCGGAGCACAGCAACGACGAGGGGGAGGACGATGCCGACCACCAGCACAGCGTTTCCATGCTGTTCCTGCTGGTCCTGGTCTTCTTCGTCATGGGACTCGTGGGATTCCTTATTTGCCACGTCCTGAAGAAGAAGGGCTACCGCTGCCGGACATTCCGGGATGAGCTCGACTCTGATAACAAGGAGTCTCTGACCCAGCTGCAAGATGGTGAGTAAAGGAGGAGGGGGCCCAGAAAGAAAGCAGCGAGCGGGGGTCTTCTTTCTTTCTCAGCACGAGGCTCCCCGCCACCCGCAAGCGCAAAGCGGTGTTCCTTCAAGACCAAGAGTTCGCCAGCCCTGGGCTAGCAAATAATGAGTTGGAGAAGGGGGCATGGAGAACTCTACGTTTAAAAAAGCATCACTATTTTACCCCACCAGCCTAAATTCTGCGGGTGCAATTTGCTGGAAGGATTAAAGTAATCATATGTGGGCTGCTTTCAGAGCAGCCGCTTCATCCGTCTTGACAGCTCCCATCCTTTTAGGTTTTGAGACTTTGGCTTTGCTCTGCTCAGCTTCGCTTTCCCCTATCATGCAGCCCAGTCTTATTCACGTTTTTCTTGCTGTGTTCGATGGGAATGACCCAGATCTGAGCTGAAATTTCCGGATCTAAGCAAAAAAACGTTACTGGTCTCCCTTCCCTCTTCACCAACTTTGCAGCTCATTTGCACGTTGCTTAAAGTCACCTCGCTAAATTGGAGCTAATAGCTCATATTTAATAATTTGCAAAACTGTAGCCTTGGAATAATGCCAGCAAATACTAGATTGAGGCAAGAGGTTGAATCTCTTGGTTCAAATCCCTGCTGAACCATAGCCAAAGTCACCCCTCTGCTGTTGGAATTTGTGCACAGAGGACAGCAGGATAGCTCAGTTGGTAAGAGCATGAGACTCTCAATCTCATGGTCTTTGGGTCGAGCCCCATGTTGGGCATAAAGAGTCCTGCACTTGATGACCCTCGAGGTCCCTTCCGACTCTATGATTTTATGAAGACCAAGGGTTTAATAAGCCAGTGAGAGACCATACTTCTTCAAGCACCTTGTCCTAGCCTCGTGCCAAATCAACTGAAACACATAGGAAAATAGGACCAGAATATCATGGTGGATTGCATGCTAGAATTAGGGGCATCTGAACTTAGGTGGGTGTGAGTGGTTTTCATTATTTTATCCTACCTTTGTTCAAGGAGCTCAGAGTGATCTTTCCCTGCATCAGTCTATTCCCCCAAGCAACCTTGTGAAGTAGGTGAGAGGCTAGAAGACTCGCCCCAAATCAGCCAGTGCCCTTCATGACTGAGTGAGGACTTGAACCCAGGTCGCTCCACCACAATGGTTTTCTTGAACTGAGTGGCAAATAATATTTAGGACTCTGAATCAAGGTAGGATGGAGGGCAACAACAGAAGAGAAATACTGCCTTTTCTGGCAGCTACAGCTGAACTCTTTCCATACAACTTCGACTAAAGTTGGATGACGAAGGAGGAAGTGGAGGCTGCTCCATTAGGGCAAATGGGGGCACTGCGCCATCGACCTCAGTCTGCCCTCAACCAGCCCCAACCTGCCTGCCCTTCTTGCATCCTGTCCAGGAGGCAGGCACTGCCTATTGGCTTCCTCCTTCCATGGCTCAGGGCTGCCCTTGTAGGACTCAGTAGGGAAGAGGGTGGGACAAAATTAGAGGGAGTTGGCTCTGCCTGTCATTGGCCCTGGCTCTGCCTCCTGCTTGAGTCCCTGCCTTCCACCTGACCAATCGGTGGGTACCAGCCACACCTGAAAGCAGGATGTTCCAGTGGGCATAGCTCATTCCTGCGACAAGGGCTGGTTTTGATACCTCATTCTTTTTTCAGGCCAGGAATGTCCTTGTAATGGCATGCCTGAGAATTTGATGTGTGCGCTTGGCTATTATGCTCCTCAGACTTGCTTGTGATTGCGGCCTGAGCCTCATTGTATGTGATGCAGCTGTGGGCATTTTGGGGGCACATCTCTGCTGTTTTCCAAATGTGAAGAGGGAGGGAGGATAGGTAAAGATGAGCAGGGAGAGAAAAAGAAAAGCTGTAGTAGGTAGTTTTTATTAGTTTTTCATCAAGGTTGCATTCTACTTTCACCTTAAAGAGCTCAGGTGGCACACATGAATTTATCCTCACAACAAAGCTATAAAGTGGGCTAGAATAAGAAATTGTGACTTGCCCTAGTTAACATTATGGTTGTGAGGAGATTTGAACCCAAATTTCCCTGCACTTCCTGTGCTGCAGAGCGGCATCAAAAAGACTGTAGCTCCGTTGCTCTGAAGGGCATTGTGGCAGCCTTAACCTTGCTACAGAGTTTTGTCTTTTGTAAATGGCCGTTTTCCATTTATCAAGTAGAAACACACAATTATTGAGCTGTTTATAAACAATCTCTGTGGGCTTGGCTTAGCTGTTCTACATCTACTGGAGAGATGTCAGGTGGCCAGGAATGCAAAGTTTCAAGAGTTTGTGCATGGCTTCTGTCGAATTTAGATTGCAAAGGAGAAGCAGCATTTAAGAGAGATATTTCTCTTTATAAGTACAGTAATTGTTTCTAACAATTGCCACATTGTGTAGAAGCAGTGGGTTGCCAAGAAATACAGATATTCCTGAGGAATAAACACAGGGACTGAAGTGTGTGGGGAAGTGACTGACTTCTTTGAATGGCACCCCTGAGTTTGGGAGATTCAATTCAAATTATAGCAGGATGATTATGGGCAGACTGTGCTGCTATGTGATCTGCTAGAGCAGGGCTGGGGAACCTTTTTTTCTGTTGAGGATCACATTCCCGCAGGGCTAATCTGTCAGGAGCAGGGCCAGCAAGATGAAGCAACTGCCTCAGGCGGCAGGATCCACAGAGGCAGCAGATTTGGCCTGCATGGAATGTATCACCTGCCATTGCACTGGTGGCAGAAACAGCTACATCACATCCCTTGGAGGCCGGATCTGCGTCTCTTCAGCAGCCCCCCCCATGTTGCCTCTACAGAGGCCTCTTGGCGAATAGGAGGCCCTGCTGCTCTCCCCCTGCCCTTGTTCCATGGCAGGGGCATGCACACCATTTTGTGGCTCACCCCAGGTGCCAAAATGTCTTGGGCTGGCCCTGATCAGAGGCCACATGTGGCAATGGCAGGGAGCGATGGAGCCACAAATGGTGTAGAGAAGCTCATTTTCTCTGTCTCCTTGCCCCTGCATGAAATCAGGCCAAGGGCTGCTTGTGGCCACAGGTCGTCCCCTTCCCCGTAGCTTGTTGGGTGGGACAGGACTGCTAGGTTAGCTTCCTAATTCACTGTTGCTTGCCAGGGCAGAGGGTGCAAGGCAGCAGGGGGATTGGCACAGTGCAAATGCACCAGCTGTGTGTCAGGTTGGTTCCGCTGATGGTTTGCACTATGCCAACCTCCAGCCCCCTTGCCTCTCCTTCTTGATAGTACCTCACCTGCTGGGAAGCTGCAGTAACAGCTGGGGCCCCACCCAGCAAGCCATTTCTGTTTGCACACCTCTGTTAGAGAGAACAGCTTCCCAGGTCACTTTTGCAGAACCATGGGGCTAGCTGTTCCTTGAGCATTTCAGGGTTTTTGATGCTGTATGGAGATTTATCCCGTCACAAAAGTTCCTATGTTTCTTCTATCACTGCCATATCTTTTCATTTCAGATGGAGATGAGGAGCTGAATGAGGACACTGTAGAGAAGATAGTGAAGTGCATCATTCAGAATGAAGGTAAGGCTTAACCTTGGTTTAACGGTTGGGAAGTCCCTGTACATGAGGACCTTGCTGTGACACATTTCTTCTTTCTCCCCTTCGTTAGCAAATGTGGAAGTCCTGAAGGAAATGCTGGGAGATGGTGACGCTGATCTCCCACTGCCAGTCCCTGTGCCCAGGTGAGGACAGGGTCCAGGGTCCATAGTGCCTATCGCATTTTGGGAATCTCTGCTATGCCATCCTTCCTTGAAGACTGGGCTAGAGGTCAGCTGTCAGTGAGGAAGAGATGGAGAGATTAAAGCCCTTGTCTCTGTGCTAGAAAAGGGCAAAGGGGAAGTCCAGTCTTGAATCCCTGGAGTTCATATGGCTCCCTCAACATTTCATTTCATTACAGTTCGGGTTGTTTTTGGTTCCTGAGGCAGAAAAACCAAATGGGGTCTTCCCTCCCCAGTCCATGCTGGGATTGTATTGTGGTGGATGCAGGTAGTGCTGTGGTCTAAACTACCGAGGTTGGCAGTTCGAATCTGCTCAACAGTGGTGAGCTCCCTTTGCTCTGTCCCAGCTTCTGCCAACCTAGCAGTTCAAAAGCACATCAGTGCAAGTAGATAAACAGGTAGCATTGTGGCAAGAAAGTAAACAGCATTTCCGTGTACTCTGGTTTCCATGACGGTGTTCTGTTGTGCCACAAGCGGTTTAGTTCTGCTGGCCACATGACCCAGAAAGCTGTCTGTGGACAAACGCTGGCTCCCTCAGCCTGAAATGAGATGAGCACTGCACCCAATAGTCACCTTTGACTGAACTTAACCATCCAGGGGTCCTTTACCTTTATATCTTTTGTACTGTGGTGGTGGGAGGTTGTGTTTTTGTATCGTTCAGCTTTCTCAGGAGAACTTCCTGGTAGATTGAACTCCGTGGGTCACATTTGTCTGTGTGAATCTCAGAACCTCTTGTGTTTGTCTCATGGTAATGTGCTGGTCACGCCTTGAGGGTTGCATCCTTCTGTTTAGATTGAGTGGGGCAATTATGTTCCGAGTTCAATGACTATTGTGGCAATTAGCTTTCTGTTCTCTTTTCTCCAGCAGCCTCTGCCCACATCGCAGCAGCCAAGATGCAGGCCTGCCCCATCACCACACGGTGCACTTGGGCTCAACGCAAGCCCCTTGCATCCACTGCAGTAGGAAAAAGAGGCACCCACTGCATCGACAGGGCCGCTCCAAGGAGGGCAAGGGCAAGATGCACCCGGGGGAGACCACGGTCTTCTCTGTGGGCAGGTATTTATCAAGAGACAGGCCTTTCTTTATTTCCACGCCATCCTTCATTTTACTTGATTTCAGCATAAAAACATAATGCAACATCTTGGAAAATCAATGTAAAGGGAGTAGAAGAAAGGCACTTTGCAATTCTTCGGTTGGGACAAGGCATTCACCATAGCAGGTGGCAGGGCAGGAGCGAGGTGCGCAAGGGTGCTTTCTCCAGTTGTTTTGTTTTTACATTTTCCCTCTCCTAACAAACGGGGGTTTTTTAATATAAAAAAAGTTAGAATATTTGTAGACTGCACCCTCAAATAAAATATTAAGTCACTGGTAGAATAAAAGGTATGAGTGCAATAAAACATACCATAAAGTAATAATAAAATGACTGGCTCATCTTGGAACAAGTCAAACAACTACGTTGTTGTCTGCACCCATCTCTCTCAGGAGACAATGGAGGAGTGCGCCTTTGGGGGTGAGGGCAAACTGTTAGAAAGTTGCAGAGCCTGCTGTGGTTGTAGAGACCGACATAGGAGAGACATTTCCCCCCCCCCCCATAACTGCTTTCCCCTGCGTTGTTTTTGCTGCGCTTGCAGCACCAAAGTGACCTCTCTGGGGCTCAAGCCTGTGCAATGTGTCTGGTGGTCCTGGGCTGCCCAGACGACAAGATCCCCCCCCCCCGGAGCCTTGCTGATGTGGTCCAAAGGAAAACATTTGGCACCAGCTTGTCTGCAAGAGTTGCCAGAAGGAGGCATACAAGACGCCATCCAACCTCCTTAGGGAATCCACACCAGCTTTTGGTAGGGTTTATATAAACAATAACTATGCTGGGGTGGGCACTGAGACACTCTGACTCCCGAGCTAGCATAGTTTGATCTCCATTTTGGGGGCATGTCAGGACGTGGTCAGGTGTTGGATACTTGAAGCTGAGCCTCCCTCTGGTCCAGCTCCTTTTTGGTCCTCCTAATGTTGGTAGGGCCAGGACTACAGAGGTTTCCAGAATGGTGAGAAGGTGGGAATCCAGCACTGCATCTCCCTCTCCAAGGTCAGAATTCTTGGCCTTCCAGGGGCCACGGAATGGCAGGGCCAGGCATACAAAAAGCAGCAACAAAAGGGAAGAGCACACATCATTTCTCACATGGTGAAAAGGAAACTTGCCGCACCAAAACCAATCTGTTTTGAATAAGAGGTGTTTAATAAAGGCACAGTAGAGGACCCCTTGAATGGGACACCCTCCAACGGCTCATCCAGTGCCTCACAACACTGAGCCCACATGAAGAGATTTGCCCTTATTCTTAGTGAGCGAATGGTGCTTGCCTTGGCTCCATAAGAGAGAGTGTATTTATATTCTCAGCTAGTTGATTAGGCATACTTGTCAGATGAAAAGTGAAAATAAATCAAAGGCAAAGAGTGAGGGGGTCAGAGCATCAGCTTGATGAATAGTGTCTCATGGGTTGACTTGGAAGTGTTGCAATTTTAGCCTCTTTCCTGAGTCTTTGAGGAAAAGATTTAAATTATGTGAGAAAGGACTCCCTAACTGGTTTCCACAGGACTCATGCTCAGTCTTTTCTCCCCATTCAAACGTTCGCTCCTTTTCCTTAGCATGTTCTTCTAATCTAGCATCCGTGGGGATAGTGAGAGGTGGACACCAAAATACAGGAATAATAAACCTTTTTGAAAGTATCCAGGGAAAAGGTATTCTATTTTGCATCGGAGAGTAGCTAGTAGGATATGGTTAGTATTTTAGCCACAAAAAATATAACCAAGTGCCTCAGAGTTTTGCTTTCTGTTCTGTCAGGAGACCTTGCAACCCAGATAATGAGGGATCTTACAGGGTATTTTGTCACTGTTGATTCACCTTACTTCCTTTATCCCCCCTGCCCCCCAGATTTCATGTCACCCATATTGGGAAGAAACAGGAGGAGTCTCTCCCTGGTAGCAAACAGGACCTTGGATCTGCTGACGCAAACCAGGAAACCCACAGCAACGAGAAACTCCCATGGGAGGGGTCCCAGAATGGAATCGTTCACACAGGCGAATTTCAGCAAGGAAGACTCCAGCAGGCAGATCCTGAAAGTGAAAAAGGGTCCAAGGAAGAATGGGCAGATGAGTCCACTCAAGGAGAAGGCCCCTTGAACACGACGGCCAATTCAGATGTCTCCATGAACGGACCAGAGAGGAAAGAAAACCCTACGCCCTGCTCATTGCAAGAGGCCAGCCTCCTAGGGACTGCGACAAGCAATGCGTCTGAGACAAACTGCTCTACCGGACCCAAGTGCCTTGGGTCAGAGGATCTGGAGAGGCTGGATAAGGACGTGGCTGCCTCTGAGGACGAGGGTGTTCAAAGGGCAGCTAATGATGTATCAGAAAAAGTAGCAGCCAGACTAGATATATCAGGAAACGAGATCAATAGAACAAACAGCACAGAACTCCAGGTAGATACTGTTATGTCCTCTCTTTCCTCATCTTACGGAACACCCCATTTCTCTTTCTGTGCACAGGGATACTAAGAGCATTGTTGACTAACAGGTAACAGCCCACATCCAAACTGATGCCACTGAAAGGGCCAGGGTCTGCGATTCACAGATTCTCTTGAGATAGTGGAGGAGGATAAACAGCCAGTGGGTAACTGTTTACATGTATCAAAAAATCCAATCTTCAAGCAGGGGCCACAGAGCACCTAGCACTGAGAAGTAAGGTGTGTCTGTGCCCACTTACCTACCTACAGAAGCTGGTGCAGCACTGTTTTCCCGCTGCAGGGGGAGTTCTAGTTCCCCTTCCCTCCTCTAATGACACATGCACCCAGTGATGGAGGAAGGGGGGTGCGTGGGGGGCGCCGGTCCGCCCCAGGTGTCCTCACTGAGAGGGGTTACAAAATGAGTTTGTGTTTTTTTTAAATGGAGGCCCGAAACCTTTTAGGAGTGACGTGGTGGCTTAGGCGCCTGCAGGTTCCACGCTGCCTAAAACGGCAGTGTGGGACTTGCGCCTGCCTACTGCCTCTCCCTCAGCTGCCCTACAGCTAAGGGGGAGGCGGCGGAGAGGCTCACCCTGCCCCACCCCCACGGGTGGATTGCCCCGCCCCCGGCTGCAGGACATGCCCCCACACCAGGCACCCGAGTGGCTAGCTACACTGCTGCATGTGCCGGACTCTGAACTATTGTTCTTGGGCAAAATGATCTGAGGGAGGCTCTGTATCTTGCCAGAAAAGCGGGAAATGCATATCCTAAGTCGTCCCACCACCCAAAATCTATTTGTGTCTGTACTAAGCAAGAGTTCTCCAAAGGGAAGAACTGTGATGAAAATAAGGGCAGCAAGGTAGCTGCAAAAGGATTTCCCAGTGCAGGATAGATTTGGGAAGAACCTTAATCTTCCAAATGTTACAGCACTAAGAATTTTAGTTCCATGAACATCAAAACATTAAAAAAAACATATAAGGATAAAACTAGGAAGGTACAGGACTGTAATGAGTTCAGGTAATAATGGTGATACAACAGCAAAGAGGAGAGGAAATAAGTGTTTGAACTGTTGCTTACTGCCAAAAGCAAGCAAATGCTGATGAAATGAAGAGTTTTTGCTTCAAACGTCATTGTAAATAGTGAAATGCAGGCCAGAGAGGCAGCAGAGGCACCCTTTACAGAATGCTTGGGTAAAAGCTATACAAATTCACAAGTATTGTTTTAATAACTTCTAGGATGGCTGCCTTGTTGTGGTTAAATGATGGAATGCAAATATATTCAGGAAAACAGCATACAAGCTGAAATCACCTTAGAAGCAGTAACATTTATATTCAGAATATCCATGGAGGGTTACGAGGTCAAAAGATATAGAAACCAATCTATCTCTGAAGTAGCAGAAATGAAAAATTGCATAGTATTTGAAATAGGACACTCAAATATCTGGTATATTATTATTGCTTAAACTGGGTTTCATATTTGTTCTTGGTGTGTAACCTCTTACTCCATTTACACTGGCATTATTACATATCCAACCTTTTCTTCGTTTGACAGAAAGAATTTGGTAGGTGGAGGAGATGGAGCATAGAGTTTTATATAGACAGGATGCTACCTACTGTACCTGCTAAAACCACAATTTTGAATTGCATACCACTTAGAGACAGCCCAAGTTATTTTAGCGCCTGAAGCAGCAAAATATAAATATAACCTCCCTGGCAGTAGTAAATAAAATTATTAGTAATTTTACTAATACGGCAGGTTGCTACCTTTTAATAATGCCCCATATCTGCTATCTGAGATGTGCCACCTCAGCCTACCTAAAGGTAGAACAGGCCCATAAACTCATATTATTTTAAGATGTGCTTTCCTGGTATACATTAATTTTTTTAAAAAAGAAGACATACCTTTTAGCAATTGCATATCATGAGTCTGCAGTGCCCATTAAAATTGTCACATGTAAAATGGTCCTTAGACTGGATTCCACCTCCTTCCCCGACAGGCCTTTTTACAGAATCATTGCTGAAGCTCTCTAATCCCATATCTACCTCATAAGACTTCAGTGAGTGCCAATTAGCTCATACCTGTAAATCTCCTTGGGGTTTTCACATGCTTAGGAAGAGCCATGATTCCTAAGCAACTCCTGGCACCAGTGCCCACCATCAGGAGTGCCAGCTTGGCCCTGCAACTGTGGGTGCCCAGGGCCGTGGGTACCATGCAGCGTGCATGGCCCTGGCACCAAAATTTGTGGGTGCCCGGCCCCTTCATGGGGAATTTTGTGGGTGCTCAGGCACCCAGGGGCCCCAGGGAGTTGGCACCTATGCCCACCATTCTGGGCACTGGCATCTCTCTCCCACTCATACGGCCTACCCAGTTCCCATCCCTTGCTATTGTTGGCACAGACCATCTGGCCAAATCCTAGCCAGTATAGGGACCCCTAGGTGTTCTTCCAGGACCCCTAGAAGCCTCGTTGCCACTCTTGCCCCGCTCCTTAGGTGATATGTGGGGTTTCTGGGGTTTTTAGTAACGTAAACTGCTGGTGTGACCCTTTCCCTGCTTGTTTCTTGCCTCTTTTCTCCCAGGAGCAGAGGCTGGTGGTGCAGGACCCAGGAGTATCCATGTGACGTAAGTTCCACACTCTGCTTGTCAACAGCTGGGACTGAGGGTTTGAGTGTCGCCACAAAGCCGCTCCCAGCGTTATGCTGGGGGGAGGCCAGACTGCCTGACAAAGTATGTAACGTGCAGGTCGGGAGTAGCTCTGCTTTTACTGGACTGGCAAGAGGTGACGGGATTCTTTGGCACACGGAAACCAGACGGGGACTGCTGCTCTCTGGGCTTCTCTTTGTCCTCCCCAGGCACCAGAGCAATCTGAACCACATTGCTCTGAGGTGGAAGCTTCACAGCCTGCCAGTCTACTGCTGCTCCCCAGGGGAAGATAGCTATCCCTGTACCAGGCCCAGACTCTTTCCGGGGACACGTGAAGTATTAGGTTAGGGTTTCCACCTACGCAGAACATAGGAGAGCTCAACTTTCACCCATCGTTCACCTCCTCACCCTTTAAGCACCCATCTCCTCACTCAGCGAGGAATGGTGTTGGGGACACTGTGATGATAGCCATTGACCCGTTCGGCAGGCATCCTGCCAAAAAGCGTTCACAGTGATTCCTCCAGCAGATCTAGTGCCATAGCTCATCAGATTGGGCCCATAAGCACATATGCCTGCTGCACCCACAAGATCCAGGGCTCTCCTTAGGTGACCCCCTGGCAGCCCCAGTGTGGACAGCAGAAGAACAGCCCTTTTACCACGTTTATGGTCAGTTCCACACATACCTAGAAGCAGTGACATTTTAGTTAAAACTACCAGTCAGATCCACAGCCCTGTAAGGTATGGGCAGGCTGAGAGAAGTTATAGGGCTCCTCATTTGCCCCAAAGAAGGGTTCACATCCCACCACAGGGATAAGGCTTTTTGGAGGGTAACACTTCCAGGTGTGTGTGTTTGATTGATTGCAATGTAAGGGGCTCACACAGAAAAATATGAATTATTCTAACAGCCATGTCACAGTAAACAAAGACTCTGAGCTGCTTAGAATGAGAGAAAAAGGAGAGAGGCAGTTCAGTCCTACCACATGGAGATGGAAATCCAGCTGCTGGAAAGCAAGGGTGGGCGGTCTGCGTAGCAACAGAAATTTCAAAGCAAAAGTGAGAATCAGTTCATACCAGGAGGCAAGAGGGTGTTAACCTTTCTTGGTGGAGGGCGAGGATGACAGGAGGACACAGTAGGGCAAGGAAAGGGATCACGGTCCTAACATGCAGCCAGTTTTTTACCCTGTGTGAGAAAAGGGAGACCCATGTCGCCCGCCCAGAGAAGGGTTCAAGTCTCCCAGTGGGAACAATGACTGGGGGGTGGACGGACGACAGCCCTATTATAATGGAGTGAGAGAGGAAACATCTACTTGGACAAGCAGCAATGGAAGTGACAACAAAGCAAGGTCACAGGAGCCAAGACTGAACCGGCCAGGAGGATTGGGGAGCGGGAGGGAGCAGGATTAGCATTGCCACATAAAATAGGAGGGAAATGGTCAGGTCCCACTCCTGAGGACTTTGCTCACCAAGCTCTCTTTTAGCATTTGACTGGAAAGAATATTTCTAGACAGTGAGGGCAGGAGCAGGAAGTGATGCCACTCCTACGCTACAGGGCAATTCTCCACTTGCTGAGCCAGAAGATCTTGGATGGGATCTCTCTAGTCTTGCCCTGTGACCTCTTCTCCCTCTACGCCCCACCCCGCTGCTGTGAGTGGGATAACCCCAAGCCACACAAGCTACTCCTAAATGACCCGACTGTAGCACCTGTGCAGGTACAGTCCAGACAAGGCCCATGGTTCAGTTGCTGGCTGTGGACTCCTAGGAGAAAGGGCTGGGAAGAGACGCAGGCAATACAGCGTCCAGCACTGCAGAAGATGACGGGGTTGGGAGTTGACTTTTGGCAGTCCAACTGCATGGCTGATCTCTGCAATAGTAACCAGGGGGTAGTGAGGTGTGAAGAGTCAGCCCCTTTCTGCTTGCCAGAGCATAGTCAGGGGTGACAAAGATACAGATCAGGAGTTCTGCTGGGCAGTATTGCTCATGATCCACCCCCTCCGAAGCCCTTCCCATTGAGAATCCCATCCTAAAGACTAGTGAGCAGCGCTGGAAACAGGGTTGTAGCTAGCTGCTCTGGCACCCAGAGTGGCGAGGGCGGGGTGAGCTGCCCATGGGGGCGCTGTGGCGATCTGCGCACGGGAGTGCCGTGGCAATCCACCCAGGGGGGCGGCATGGCAAGCTGCCCACGCAAGCCCCACGCTGCCATTTTGGGCAGCGCAGGGGCCCGAGCCACCACGTCACTCCCAGGAGAGGCGCGTCGCTTGGGTGCGCTGCAGGCCAGACCCCCCTCAAGGATGACATCCGCACCCCCCGGACTCCCCTTCCTACGCCCCTGGCTGGGAAACGGCCAAAGTGTGTGCTGAACAGCATCAGTAATAAAAGCAAGCAAGGGCAGCTCCAGCATGAGCCACAGCGAGCCAAGTAGCTCAGGAGACAGGAGGATGGAGGAGCATGTGACCCCTCCTGCCCACCTAGGGAGGAGGGGCACCTCCATCACTGTTGTTCTGGCCTACCACTATGGGCTGCATTGTGGAGTCATCCTTTTAACCCCTTGTGAAAAGTTGCAGTGGAACTCTGGCTGCTTCCAGATGGAGGGCAGTTACCACTATCCTTTGCCTTTGGTAGACGTTTCTGTTCACGCTCCTTCCTTCAACATTTTTTTTCAGAGCCTGCCTGCTCCATGTTCAGGGTTGCAAAGCAGAGAGATGCACACAGAGCCAACACTAGGTTCACAAGAACTAGGCGGCCAGAACGAGTCACGCCTGGGCCAGAAGAGCGACACCACGCCTGGCAAGGATGTGCCACTTCCACTAGTAGAACTATGACACTTGGCAAGAGCCTCATCCCCATTGCAACAGCTACTCACGCAGCAGCAGCGGAAGAGCGCAGGAACGGGACCGTGTTGTGGCGTTATCCACCTTGCTGAAACCTCATTCTGTTGAAAGCTTTGCTAAGGCACCTGTCTGCAACCATGCGACTTGTGCGGTGGGATGGCGGGACCCACCGGTATGCCTGAGCTGGTAAGAATCCCATTCTTCTCCATGCTGGGGCTCAACTTGCGGTGCTTTGAAGAATCCCAGATTTGTATCTCAGGATCCTTCTCACATCCCGCTCCAGGCGCTGCCCTTTCAGCAATAGCCCATTTTCCTGCATGCCAGTCAGGTCTGAGTGAACGATTAGTGTTTAAAAAATAAAATACAGCTACTGCTTACAGCAGGAAGAGAACTCGGCCAATGTGGGTGGAGTGAGTTTTGAACTAAGGGGAGAAGGCCCTTGGCATTGCCTGCTCTGCTCGTAGCTGTGACTCAGCTTAGCCGGCTTAAAGTCTGAGTGTCCACTCCCATCCTGACCAGGGAATACAGTGGCCCTGGGGGCTGCATTTAGGCAGGTAGCTGGACCCAGGGTAACCTCCCTGGTTTCCAGCATTCACACAAGACAATCAGAGGAGCTAGAATTACAACTCAGGAGCAGCAGTTACACAAGAGGAAATGTGAATTCTGCCTCAGACCGCAATATTTACAAACAGGCACTCCCCTAAGTGATAAATCCTCGCAAAGATCCTGCTCTAGTGTCTACTAACCACACCATCCTCTTTGAAGCAGCCAAATAGCACCTAATTCTGAGCCCCTTTGCTGTGGGGCTCAATGTGGTATGTGTGGGGACTTGCATGGGGTGGGGGTGGGGGCTGCTTTGCTCAGCACAGATCCTGGAGACTCTCGTGGCTCCGGATAGGCTTTCCTCCTCGCTAGGAGACCAGAACTTGGCTTGGGAGATGAGCCAACTAAACACTCCCCCAGACCCTGTGATTTCTAGTCTTCTGTGTTCTAGTTAAGCCATGACCGAAGGCCACCTCTGCCTTCGCCCTACATCTTTTCATGTTTAAGTACAGTGTAAACAAAAACTAACCCTATTAAAGATGCTGAAGACGTGCAGAATGGTGTCTGTTTATTCGGTCAGTACCTGCCCATCTATTGCCTCTCAAGGACACAGCACAGGCGCCAGCTCACTCAGCAAGGGGCAGCAAAAGAACTGCTGGCTACAAGAAGAGCAGCAGACCCGGCTGTTGTCAATAGTTCTGACAGACAAAGTGCAGACAGATGCTAGCTAGCAGCATTTAAAGCAAAGGGAGAGACCTGCTCCCATCTCAAACCACAGGACAGGAAAAAAAGGAAATGCTTGGCATTGTCTTGAGTAGCAGTCCAAGGAATGTCAAGGGCCAAGAGAACTTGCCGTTTCTAGGTCCTACGCTGTGGGGCTCGACCCAGTGCAGAAAGAAAGACAAACTTGTTTTCAACATTCCCTGGCAAGTCCATTCTGGTGCAGTCCATCCATCTGAGCATGTACTCATGTGCTGAGGTAGAGAAGCTCATCGCAGCAGCAGCAGCAGCAGCAGCAGCAGCAGCAGCAGCAGCAGCAGCAATGCTCCTCTCAGCACCTCCGTCCCACTGCTGGCTTGCTGGTGCTGGAAGATGTGAGCACAGGCTCAAAAGCAGCCAGAGGCACCCAATAACTCCAAGCAGAAACGGATTTGCTTGTGGCCCACCAGCCCCCAAAGCACTCAAGCCTTCTTGGGAAGCCAAGTCCCTGGCAGATGTGGACTTAATCGTGGCTGGGCAGCGAGTCATCTTCTGCAGCCTTCGATGGTGGAGGTGGTGGAGCCCGAACCTAAAAAGAAAGGGCGGGGGAAGGCAGCATTTCTGAAGGGTGTAAAGTTCTTGCACTGCATCTTATGCCCACAAAGGGGCAAGCTTAGGACCCTATTAGTGTTTTTCTCAAAATCCATCAGAAGGAGTCTGGAGTATTGCTGACATTTATGTTACACTTTATCTCCCATGTTTTTTTAAACATCTATATGAAACCGTTGGGAGAGATCACCGGGGGTTTGGGCTGGGTGTCCACCAGTATGTGGATGATACCCAGTTCGACCTACTACTTAAACTGGAACCAGTGAAGGTCCTGTGTGAGTGTCTGGAGACGGTTGGAGGATGGGTGGTGGTCAATGGATTGAGATTGAATCCTGACAAGACAGAAGTACTGTTTCTGGCAAACAGGGAGCAGGCAGGTGTGGGGGAGCCCCTGGCCCTCAAGAGGGTAACTGTGCCCCTAAAGGACCAGGTGTGCAGCCTTGGGGTCATTTTGGACTCACAGCTGTCCATGGAGGTATAGGCTAATTCTGTGTCCTGGGCGGTTGTCTACCAGCTCCATCTGGTATGCAGGCTGAGATCCCACCTGTCTGTGCAGTGTCTCACCAGAGGGGTACCGGCTCTGGTTATCTCCCGCTTGGACTACTGCAATGCGCTCTACGTGGGGCTACCTTTGAAGGCAACTTGGAAACTACAACTAATCCAGAATGTGGCTGCCAGACTGGTGACTGGGAATGGCCACCGTGACCATGAAAACTGGTCCTAAAAGATCTACATTGGCTCCCAATACCTTTCCAAGCACAACTCAAAGTATTGGTGTTGACCTTTAAAGCCCCAGATGGCCTCCCTGTATACCTAACGGAGTGTCTCCACCCCCATCATTCAGCCTGGACACTGAAATCCTCCTCCAAGAGCCTTCTGGTGGTTTCCTCACAGCCAGTAGTGCAGTTACAGAGAACCAGGCAGAGGGCCTTCTCGGTAGTTGCACCTGCCCTGTGGAATTCTCTCCCATCTGATGTCAAAGAGATCAAGAATTATACAACCTTCAGTAGACATCTGAAGGCAGTCCTGTATCAGGAAGCTTTTAATGTGTGATGTTGTGTTGTGTTTTTGTATATTCAGTTGGAAGCTGCCCACAGTGGTTGGAGTAACTCAATCAGATGGGTGGGATACAAAAATTATCATCATCTCAAGTTTTTTCTTCCCACTCTACTTTTCTTCCCTCCCAACAGAAGACTGGCAAACTCTGGTTACCTCCTGTAATGTGGGTTCAAACCTTCAGTTTCTCCAATATAAATTCTTATTAAGCTTCTAGTAGAACACAAGCCTAACAGGCAATGCTGACTACAAAGCCCCACTCGTGTGTGTAAGATCATTCTAGAAGGACTGAGCACTCCCTTTTTGGCCAAAATGGAATATTCTGCCTTTTTTCTCTACCTGAGAGATAAATATGCTCATAATAATTAGTGAAATTGTGCCAAAGATTAGATCATAACCTACTTGCATTCTAGGATGCTTATATGTGAATGAACTTTTTTGTGAGTGGTGGGGATAAAGGACAGGGAGACTGAGGCCACCCTATCACGGCATATGGGAAACAACTTACTGGGCGAATGCGTGGTGCGTTCAGGTCAGGGGAATCTTGCACGTTTCCTTGCCAGCCACCTGGGAACGCATAAAAACATTAATGACTACACTCGTGTGGTGCAGAGTAGCGAAAGACTGCTGACATCCTGGCCCTTAACTTGGTCTCTCTCTCTTTCTCTCTCTCTCAATCCCACTTCTCCAGAAACACAAACATGTTTTCACAGCATACTAGAGATCTGTATATATCATCACTTCTCTCTAACACAACTACACTATTCCAGAAGCCACCATTTTTTTGTGGGGTAGGGGGGAAAGACTCCAGATGCTGGTTTCTTAAGTAACTCACCTGTTAGCAGAATGTCTGGAGGAGATGCATGGTCAAGGACTGGAGGGGAGAAGGCTGGGGGAGATGGTGAAAGCAGTTCCTGAAACAAGAAAGCCAAGCTGCCGTCAGACTCAAAGCAAGCGAAGTAAACTTCTAAGACACCAAGTGGAAAAATGAATGTGGGCCGAGTGTGCCCCCACAACCCTGGTGTTGGAGTGGGAACCAGGTTCAGCAGGGCTCAGCCATGAAAAAGCTGGAATAAGAATGAAGAAAAGAGCACCTTGCACATGCTCCGAGGGCTCGTGCTGTATTCTGGATGTATGCTCAGCATGACATCAAAAACAAGATGCCACCCCCTCTCTAGCTGGGGAATGGGCAGGGGTGGTGATAATAACTTTATACCCGGCTGCCAAACCCAGAAAGAAATTGTGGACTCCAAATAAGCAAGGTATTTGTATGATTATCCTTAGATCATAAAACAGATTGCTTCCCCTCTGAGCACCTCTGAAGCACAGCATGACTGCTCAACTACTGTATTTTCCGCTCTATAAGACGCACTTCCCTCCTCCTAAAAAGTAAGGGGAAATGTGTGTGCGTCTTATGGATCAAATGCAAGTGGGAGGCTCTGCTCAGCGCTCCCTTTAAAGAGCCGTGCGGAGAGGGCTGCCCTTCTCCCTCCTCGGGGAAAAGCCCCTAAGAGCCACACACATGCTCCACGCACTCTTTAAAGGGAGTGCGGCTCTTGGGGGAGCCTTCATCCCGCTGCCCCGGTGAGGCTGCGCATGGCTATCCCATAAGCCAGAACAGCAAGAGGCTATCCCAGAAGCCAGATCCCTCTTGCTGTTCTGGCTTCTGGGATTCAGAATATTTTTTTCCTTGTTTTCCTCCTCCAAAAACTAGGTGCGTCTTATGGTCTGGTGCATCTTATAGAGCGAAAAATACGGTACCTCCTCAGCCCCAAGCTTCTAGGGTGCTTTGGCATGCTCCTTAGAGGCAGGAGGGGCACGTGCTGAGGTGTCCATATCTGTGGATCCCAGTAACTATTACCAGGACTCCTGGGCCCTGCCAACTGCAACAGTCCAAACACTGTTTCCATAAGGAGGCAGACAAGCTGCTCTGCCCTTCCTGGGCCACCCTGGGACTCACCTGCCCAGCTCCCTCTTGAGCGCCAGTTATTTCTTGCACAACCAATGAGGGGAAGACTCCAATTCTCCCATTGAAGTCTCCTTTCCAAAAGCCATCATCTACCGCTCCCTCCTCCCGGGGCAGCACTCGGATGATGGCTCCCTCGGGGAAACTGAGTTCCTCAGAGCTCTGCCCTTCGTAGTCATAAAGGGCTCGCACCAGGGAAGCTGCAAACAAACAGAGGACACAACTGGTCTTACAAAGCAGGTGGGATCAGCAGCCATTTACTCTGCTGGGGGGAGGACAGGATAAAAAGCATAAATAAACTGAACCCTTTCAAGTGCAGGCAGGCCGCCTCTTCCACTAGCAAGGTTGGGCAGAGGCTCCCTTGGATTTGTATCACAGGAGATCTGACGGGCAGGACAGAAAAGCTATGCCAGGCCCATATCTTGACACCGCCATGCACTTGTACCCTCTGCCAATAGCTCACAGCCCCCCCAGCCTCCCCACGACCCCAGCAAGACGCACCTCCAGGCTCCAGCATCAGGCCCATGCTCATTATGTTGGTCAGCTCCCTCTCCAAGGCCACATCAGAGGACTCTTCCTGGGGATTCCCATCTGGGGCTGGGTGCTCCCTGCTTACTGAATCCATAAAGAAGAGGTACTTCTCAGGGACGTACCCGACCTGTCCTGCACTGTTACGCGCCTGAAGTCAGGTAGGAGAAGTGACACTAAGAAACATATTTGAACAAGCTTGTCCTGATGCGTTCCTACCATGTGTGGCTGGGGAACACGTGGGTAGGATTGCAAGAAGCCAGCCTGCCCCCAAGGCTACAATCTGGGTTCTGCTCTCTTAAGTCCAAAGTGCTCAGCTTCTATCTTGGCACTGGCATTCCTGCCAGAGATTGGACACCCAATGGTTCCATGTGTTCAAGCATCTCCAGAATGCCTTACAGAGTTGCTCAGCACCCATTCATACTCTTGCTTAGCACCCCAGAGGCAGATTTTCATGGAAGGTTTTTCCAAGTCCCATAGCAGAGAGGAACCTGACCCAGTTTCCTTATACGAACCTTGACCCATTCCTCCACATCGCCATCTTCAATGACCTCCAGCTCCTCACCCTGAGCAATGGAGAGCTCGTCTGATTGGCAGGCCTGGCAGGCAAGAACACACACAGAGTCACAACCAAGTCCGCAGCAGCAGCAGCCTGCCTTCCAAGAGTCACAACAGAGTTCTATGCGGATGGCTGGTGTGAAAGGTCAGCTGGGCTGAACAAAGAGCAGGGCCTAGAGACCCATAACAGGCCCTCTGGAGACGCAGCCTGACTCACTCAGGCATCAGTGACCAGCCATGGGTTCTCACCATGAGAAGGAGTAGTCATGAGCCTCAGAGGAATAAGGTTCTTTTCTTCCTTTCATGGGTGAGGAAAGGAGATTAGAAGCTTCTGCTTATGGTTTGTGGCAAACCAGAAGGCTCCTCCCCATGCATGAAAGCAACAGGCTCCCAGTACATTTCTGAGCACAATTCAAAGTGTTGGTGCTGACCTTTAAAGCCCTAAATGGCCTTGGTCCAGTATACCTGAAAGAGCGTCTCCACCCCCATCATTCAGCCCGGACATTGAGATCCAGCGCTGAGGGCCTTCTCGGTAGTGGGGCCCTTCAGATGTAAAGGAAATAAGCAGCTATCTTATCTTTAAAAGACATCTGAAGGCAGCCTTGTTTAGGGAAGTTTTTAATGACTGGTGTTTTAATGTATTTTTAATCTTTGTTGGAAGCTGCCCAGAGTGGCTGGGGAAACTCAGCCAGATGGGCGGGGTATAAATAAATAAATAATTATTATTATTATGCTCATTCCGGCATCATGAAGCCATGATTTGTTATGTCTCAAATGTGCCACTGTTTGAGATTTCCAGGTACAGTGTAAGACACGAGGAATCACTGTCAAAATCCAGGTATGTGTGGGAGTGAAGACATTTAGCAAACATCTACCCATTTTCCCAGTTCTACTCCCTTTGTCTGTTATTGTTTACATCACTTGCTGGTAAGAAGCTTGGCTGGAGAGTCTCTTGCTTAAGGTACCCCAAAATTCTGACAGTGCCCTTGCTGAAGCCCCTGAAAAGCCACCTAGAAGTGGTTTTTGAGCTTTGTAATGATAAATTAAGGTGAAGGGCATGCTGCAAGCAGCAATTCATATTTAGGAGAAGAAAGAAGTATTACCTGGTATGGGAAAAATACTCTGCAGGATGAAGGATAAGCACGAACCATGCTTGGACTTGGCCTCGTGTCCTCAAACAGTTCTGTGTTGTCGTCATAGTCATCAAACTCAGCAAGATCAAAGTCTTCTGCCTGATGGAAGATTTATGACTGTCAACTATGGGAAGCTAAAATGACAGGCCAATCAAATATAAAGAAAAGGCAGCTCCAGGCCAAAGACACAGAATCTCAGATCACTGGGGGTGGGGGGTGGGGTTTCACTCCAAGGAAACACCACATCACAAAGAGAATGGGGAATGGGAATATTTGCCCTGAAGGAGCGTCTCCACCCCCATCGTTCTGCCCGGACACTGAGGTCCAGCGCCGAGGGCCTCTGGCAGTTCCCTCCCTGCGAGAAGCCAAGTTACAGGGAACCAGGCAGAGGGCCTTCTCAGTGGTGGCGCCCGCCCTGTGGAACGCCCTCCCACCAGATGTCAAAGAGAAAAACAACTACCAGACTTTTAGAAGACATCTGAAGGCAGCCCTGTTTAGGGAAGCTTTTAATGTTTAACAGACCACTGTATTTTAATATTTTGTTGGAAGCCGCCCAGAGCAATAAATTATTATTATTATTGCCCAGATTCTCCCCAAGACAGACTTCAGTCAAGCAGGGGGAATGGTCCCAGTTTGGGCAAGAGAATGCAGACAAGTTCGAAAGCTCCTTGCAGCCCTTGGGCTGAAGAGTCTCTCTTCCCCTGAAACTAGTGTCTCAAAGATGCCCTTTTCAGATGTACCGCCAGCCACACAGAAGCCTCTTCCGTGTGTTCTTCCCATGCAGCAGAAGGACGTGTCTGAGTGATGCAGCAACCTTCACGGGGCCTGGGGTGGGGGCGCAGCTCTTTCCAAGGGCTTGGGAGCTGATCTTTGGGGAGAGGCAACTCTTACCGTCGGAGTGGAGCCTCTCTCAGACCTGCGAGCTTCGCTGAGCCGCCGCTCTTGCTCCATTTCGTCCAGCACCTGCCCCATGCTGCTTGCCAGCCAGGTATCGACATCCAAGCCAGCCTGACGCAGGAGAGCTAGCCGTGCCTCTGCCTTCACCTTGCTGATCTAAAGAGAGGGCAAGAACCGTCCTGTGATCAAGGAATGAATCAGCAATTCCATCCTCAAACAACTGTCACATCCAGCCACAAGCAGAACAAAGGAAACGACAAGCCTGGTCTTTCAAATGGAGAAAAGCAGCAGCTAGCAGATTAGGATTGCCATTCAGCACCAAGAATGCCACCCTCTGAATGAGAGCCAGAAGCCAATGCCCTGGCAGCAAAGGCAGGGGAGAAGGCTGCCCCTCCTCAGTTACCACCCAACCTTCTTTTTCTTTCTCTTTTTTAAATGCAAACTCCCACAACACATATACACACAGGACCAATGCCGCTGGATGGAGCTTTCCTCTCTACCCCTCTGTCTGGGGTTCTGTTTTTTGACCGTAGGAGTCGGTCCAAAAAAAGAAAAAGAAAATGCAAGAATCCCATTGGGCGCTACAAGCTCTTGGTTACACCTAAAATGCACATTTTATACATGCTGGCCAGGAGCCAGTCATGATGTTTGCCTGCAAAAAACTTAGGAACCTAATGCAATGGTGCCTCCTGATGTTCTGAACCTAGGAATCTAATTCTGCTATTGATTTTGAGCCATCTCCATGCATTCGCCCACCCTCCTTTCCACAGCATCTTATACCCTCCTTTCCCTCAATAAAAGAACAGAAATTTTCTTTGTTTGAAATCTGGTTTATTACACACAAGGCAGAGCAAGGGAGATGAGAAGCTGGCAGAAATCATTTTCCAAATGTAGATCCACCTGTGACTGGCTAACTGCATCAGAAAGGATAAAACATCAAAGTCTCAATATGATGATGCATTAACCTGTTTATTCTGGGATGCTATTATTCTGGGACATGGGTGGCACTGTGGGTTAAACCACAGAGCCTAGGACTTGCCGATCAGAAGGTCGGCGGTTCGAATCCCTGTGATGGGGTGAGTTCCCGTTGCTTGGTCCCTGCTCCTGCCAACCTAGCAGTTCGAAAGCACGTCAAAGTGCAAGTAGATAAATAGGTACTGCCCCAGTGGGAAGGTAAACGGCACTTCCGTGCGCTGCTCTGGTTCGCCAGAGCATTCTGGCCTCATGACCCAGAAGCTGTACGCCGGCTCCCTCAGCCAGTAAAGAGAGATGAGCGCTGCAACCCCAGAGTCGGCCACGACTGGACCTAATGGTCAGGGGTCCCTTTACCTTTTTTACCTATATTTCACCTCTTCAACAAGTTAAACTTTACAGAGCATGGAGATTCTAGTCCCCCGGCTATAAAATACAGTCAAATGGGGTGAAGGGCTGGCTACCTTCAGTTGGAATTTTTCTCCTGGGCAATGCAGCCTGCTCTTTTCACCCCTGCAATATTTGCCGTCAAGTCAGCAAAAGCACCAGAAAGCACGCACACAGGATACAAATGCCGGGAGCCCGCAAGGGATATCAATGGCACAAAGCCGACAGCTTCAGACAGACAAGCATTGCTGACCACTCTGGAAAATGCACAGGCAGCCTGCAGTCAGACGCACCTCAGCCTTCCGTAGGTTCTCTCTTATCTCCTCCATCCTCTTCTCCATGGTGGTCATCTCTGCCTCAGGGGCCTGCTGCCTCCTGGCTTCCATTCTCTGTAGAACCTGCTCAACCCAATATTGAATACTTAAGTGATCCTAGCAACATTTTCTGGGCAAATTCTGTTTTCTTGTCTCAGAAATCCTGAAGGAAACCTTGCGTCAGTCTTTGGCCCTTGAAATTAGAATGGCCACAGGAACCTCAAAATTTGCAATAGGCCACGTCTTCTTTAATGAAATTATAGAACTTTTTTTGTGGCTGCTGAGGTGAAATCATTAAACAGGATGAAGTCTGTTCTTTTCAGAGTGAAAAAATCATTAGAACAGAATAACTGGCTGGGCTCCTGTCTTGGGGAAACATCTCCTGGACTCCTAGAAGTTTGCTAGTTTCTCCTCTGCCAGCTCCAGAAATACAAAAGCTTTATCCAGCAGAGGAGGGGGGAAATTGCCTGGAAACCTCCATTTCCATTTCTGACAGCTGCTTCTCCTCTTTCAGGGAAAAAGGGCCTCAATTCTAAGGAGACTGCCCAAAGGGGAAGGGAAGGAAAGGGACTTGCCAGTGCAAGCAAACACAAGGCCCTGAAGGACTGGAGCCCCACAAAAACCCTGCTCTCTTGATCTAAGCAGGAAGAGAACTGTTTTTTTTCTTCATGGGTGAAGACAGGGGTTTATTTTACCCTGCCCCCAGACACCGATGGGTGGATTAACTCTTCACAGGATTTTATGCTATTCCCAGTTCATATCCATCCACCCAAATAATGCAGAAGATAAAAGTACAACCAGGAAAAGGGGATTATTCTCTCTAATTTCATGGACAAGTCCTATCACATGGAAAGTGTTTCCTGGGAAATAAAGCCTGGCTGCTCACCTGCTCACTGACAGTTTTTATTTTGTAATCTCTGGCTGCTCGAGTGGCCCAGCGACGTGCTTCCTTCTCTAACCCGCTCTCCCCAAGGCTGCTGCCACTTTCATGCAGAAGAGAAGTCTGGGAAGAAATAGGCTTGTTAGCAGCCCTGTCCGAAGACACCCTTCTCCTCCTGGGCAAGGGCTAGAGGAGGACTGCTTCTTTCTTACCACCTGGTCAGCTCCTGCTGGCTGAAAGGGCTGCATAACCATCGCTGAAAATGCAGCATTATCCTGGAGGAAGAGGAGGAGATTCTGCTCCTGGCACACCTGCAAGAACAACCAGAAAGAAAAGAAAGTCTGAGAGATGCCAAGCAAGTGAGAGAGGAAGCTGCCTTCACTGCACTACCGCCAGCCTGTCCTTCCTGGAGGAAATGCTGCTGGCAGGGTCTCTGCTGTTTCTGTGTTCCAAAGAGCTGCCTTGTCCAAAGTCTCAGTGGTCCAGCATTTATTTATTTTATTTTATCAAACACAATTCTGATGAAGAACATGCTGGAACGTGTCCAGAGGAGGGTAACCAAAATGGTCAAAGGCCTGGAAACGATGACTTATGAGGAACGGCTAAGGGAGCTGGGCATGTTTAGCCTGGAGAAGAGGAGGTTAAGGGGTGATATGATAGCCATGTTCAAATATATAAAAGGATGGCACACAGAGGAGGGAGAAAGGTTGTTTTCTGCTGCTCCAGAGAAGCGGACACGGAGCAATGGATCCAAACTACAAGAAAGAAGATTCCACCTAAACATTAGGAAGAACTTCCTGACAGTAAGAGCTGTTCGACAGTGGAATTTGCTGCCAAGGAGTGTGGTGGAGTCTCCTTCTTTGGAGGTCTTTAAGCAGAGGCTTGACAACCATATGTCAGGAGTGCTCTGATGGTGTTTCCTGCTTGGCAGGGGGTTGGACTCGATGGCCCTTGTGGTCTCTTCCAACTCTATGATTCTATGCATTTCAAGTGCACATTTGCAATGTTCTTCGTCAGCTAAATCTGAGGGCCCAATGCAAATCACTCAAGGGCCACTTGTAGATTTCTACATCTTTAAGAGAGCCAGACTACATCGGTCTCAGAAAAGTGTTTCTGCTGTATTTGATGCAGTATTTTCTTTTTTTAATCTGGTTATCTGTCACCACCTCTTTTATTTCTGTGCTTATAGTGTATATTCATTATTCTCTGCATGAGTAAATGATATCTCTGTAATTATTTTATTTTTTTACTTGTTTATTAAATTTATATACCACCCTTCAATCAAAGAGCACAGGGCGATTTAAACCATAAAAATATATATAATGAGAACGCAAAATACATAGCAGAAAAACAAACCAACAATCCCTCCTCCTACAAACACATTTAAAAGGCCATAGAATGTTCTTCGGCCAAAGGCCTGGCTATAGAAAAACATTTTCGCCTGGCGCCTGAAGATATGAAGGCGCCAGGTGCGCCTCCCTAGGAGGAGCATTCTACAGACAGGGAGCCACTGCAGAAAAGGCCCGTTCTTGTGTTGCCACCCTCTGGACCTCTAGCGCAGGAGGCACATGAAGGAGGGCCTCAAATAAGGATCACAAGGTCCAGGTCGGTGGTCCTCAAGGTATTTGTAACTCCACCCATTACCCCTTACTCACCTTTCTTATGCTATATTTTCCTGCTCCCACAATCTCTCAGGTGCTCCTCCTCTCTCCACATCCCATAGTGCCATCTCCTCTTTCTCTGCAGCCTTCTCTTTATCCCATTCGTCAACCATCCCTGTCCTATAGATCTCTGTGGCCCGTCTGTTACCATCTTTTTTCTTTAATTTTCCTTGTGCTCCCTACATCCTATCCCACATTTTACTCTTCTTGACTGAGCTCCACAACACCACCATACCATTCTTTTGCTCCTCCAACAATTCACACCCCAAGAGGGCACCAGAGGCAGATGAAGCCTTGTGCAGCTTGGTGGGCTTCAGCAGGTTGGAAAAGCTTAAGAGACAACCCTATCCCACCTGCTGGTAGGCCTCTGAGGGCTCACAGGTTATTCCCCAAAAAGGTAGAGAAGGTCTAACAAGGTGGTTATCATTTTCTTTGGATTGGTCCCAAAGAAAAGCACTTGAAGTTGCTTACAGTAACTCAGAAATGAAGACCTAGGGCTACCACAAGTTCATTTGGGGAATGGTTGTTCCACAGCAACACTAAACTGTGACATGTAAGATGGGGGAAGAAAGTCCAAATTGCTAGGCAAGAGAATAAGGGCCGAAACAGAAGGGACACTGGCGAGCCATGATTGTATTTCTCAACCTTTCTTCTTCTTCAGAAAGCTTTAGAATAGTCACAGAGGGATTGGATTTCTATTGGAGGAGATCTGAAAACATCAAATGTAAAAATATGCCTGTATTTTTCTCCCAACAGGAGAACAGCAGTTTTGGGGATACCCTAAAGACCCCTAGAAACACAGTCACCTATGAGCGCCTTGTTACCTGTGCAGATGTACCTAGAACACGCTGGAAAAGTTCCTGTGTGCCTTGGCAGACCTCCAGCTCTGTCTTGCTGATCAGGGTCAGCTGGTCTCTGAGCCGCTCATAAAGGTCACCATCCAGCATCTGACAAAACACAGATCCAACAGGTTGGGTGGTGCACAGTGAGAAGAGGAACAGGAAGGGAGGCTCCTCCAGGACAGAGGTACACGTAGGAGAAGAGAGATCATTCCACCCAAACTTGCTGCACTGCACGGAGTCATCCAAAATGAGGCAACTCCCTGCACTCCTTGAGAGAAAAACAGGGGCCTATTTGAGGCAAGATATTTGTGGGATTGGCAAGAAACTGGGAAATAGAATTTGGTTCAAGCTAAAATCCTGCGCAGCAAAAGAAAAGACCACAGTAGGTGGCAACCCAAGCTAAAAAACATGCAATTCTCCCCACCTTTTTTTTTAAGGGACACAGCTGCAAGAAGGTGAAATTGGAAACTAGGGGAGTGTGTGTTGGTGGAGAGGAAGCTGTGTACCACTGTCCCTTCAAATAAGAGTTTTCCTGTTCAAAGTTATGGCCTGCCACAGCTATACAAGAAGCTGCCCAGGTCTGCAAAGTTGTCCTCAGAGGAGAAGGTGTGCAGTGTAAGAAGAGAGCTCTTACCTTGAAAACAGCAGGCAGCTCCACATGGATGTAGTGCTCCAGGTGGGCTCTTGCAGCCGCCAGAGTCAAGAGGTACTCATTTCGTGCCACCACCAGCTGCTGTGAATTCTCTGCCAGCTGCACAGCGAACTGCAATGAGAGGAACAGAGGGCACTCGACATTTCAAAGACCTACCAAACCCACACCCCACATCGGGAAGCTCTCTGCCAGCCCACTGTGCAACGTGCGCATCCCTCAGGCCTCTGTAACCCACTTCAGTGTCCCAGTGGGGTGGCAGGATGGGCCTCTGACCTTGGCGCTGAGCTTCTGCAAGCTGGCCTTCGTGTGAAATATGCCGTGGTCACTCTTCCTGAGCCTGTGGAGGAGAGGGAAAAGGACAGGCATCAGTTTCCACAGATCCTCTGGATGCAAACCACCAAGTGGTCTCAGCTCTGGAAAGCTCTACCTTAAGTCCCAGAGCATGCGAGACTTGCAAGAACAACATGGCGCAGCCCACTGGGACCCCCTGGCACTCGCATTTTGGGATTCCCCTGCTTGGGGGGGGTAGGGAACCGGGGGCTCACCTGGCATCCACATCGGCAGCCTTCTCTCTGGCTACCTCACTGGACCGCTCAATCTGTGTGTAATGCTTCTTGGTTTTGCTGACTTCCTTCACCGTCTCCAGCAGTTCAGTCTGGATATTCAGCAGCTGGTCCATGCCCTAGGAGAGCAGGTGGGGAAGTGGTCCGACAGTCAGCATCCTGCCCTCTGCCAGCTGCTGCTCAACCCCTTAGCGGAGTCAAGAACCCCTCCCCATCCAGAGCCAAGCACGGTTTCTCTGTCCCCAAAGGCTTGCTACTAGGACCCTCCTAGCCCACCCAAAGTGTACCTTTTTGAATAAGTGTTCTTTTGACATACGAGCGGTTTTAGCTGCCTCTGCGCTCACACTGCGATAATTATCGGAGGCAGCCAGCCTGGACTGACCAGAAGAGACGGTGCCATCGATCACACCTTTCCAGACTCCAAAGACACTCCTGCAGAAATATTAGAGGAGGTCAAGGCGTTACCAGCTTTCACCAGCCCCTGCTTCTGATTTCATGAGGTCTGAGGACTCCTCTGTCCTCCAGGAACACCAGGGCTTTTCATTTCCTGACAGCCACTGCACTAAGCAGCATGGTATATGCAGTACAGGCCAGCCAGATGCATCTTTCTAAACATTTGCTGATTCGCACTCAGTCCCCATTAGACTATGTGCACAGCGATATCTATCAGCAGCCTCCTGAAGTGCTAAAACCACTTCCTGAGCTCTTTGAGTACAAAGCCCCATCCAGGCTCAGAGCTTGGGCTTCATTGCATCAGCTTCTCTCTCCACAAAACATCCTCCAAGATTCTTAGAACTTGCCTTGAGGTTAAATTTGAGGAAGCTCTATCGAATGGCTGCATTAGACCAACAACACAAGGCAACAGCATCCACTATGTCAAGGTTCAGTTGACTCATTTTTCTGCCAGGCCTGTGTGCTCCAATTGCCAGCTTCTCCCACCTTGCTCCTCACATCCTTCCACCCATTTCCTGAGTCCAGTTGTTGCGCCCACATCCTCATTTCCCTGGAAGGATGGCTTAACGCTGCTTCCTCCCACCTGCTTTCTTTGCTTTCCAGCTAAGAGAGCCTCCTTCCTCCCAAGTAATAATGAGGAAGAAAGTAATCCGGGCGGCACTTTTGCTTCCTGCACTAAAATTCAAGGGCAAGCACAGATACTGCATTGACAGATGTCTTGATTAAAGAAAGGCATAAAGCCACAATGCAATATCAAAAACCACCACACTTTCTGCTAAGAGGTTTTCAACATTATAGGTTAAGGAGCTGAAAGGAAAGAGAAAGGCTCTTTGAATTCAAAGAGCTGGGCACTTAAAGGAACAATAGCCACATTTCCCCAGGCATATACATGACCAGGGGTCAGCAAAATTTTTCAGCAGGGGGCCGGTCCACTGTCCCTCCCTCAATGAATTCCTATGCCCCACAAATAACCCAGAGATGCATTTTAAATAAAAGCATACATTCTACTCATGTAAAACATGCCGATTCCCGGATTGTCTGCGGGCTGGATTTAGAAGGCGATTGGGCCAGATCCGGCCCCTAGTTTGCCTACCCATGTACATGACCAAACACACATGTAATTAAACACGGTGGTATTGCTATTTGGACTACCCTTGAGAACAGCTGTAATCAGAGGTGGATTCAGATGAACACCAAGACTGGGAGATGAGTACAGGACTACGATGTCCCCCTTCTCCTCAAACGCTATCCTTTCCAGCTGCTAAGCCAGGCGAGCCCCTTCCCCAATAAGCAAGGCAGCTCAGCTCCTTTCGCCACAAAGCCCAATTCCTCACCTGGAGTCACTGGCGACGTTCCAGCCACGCTGCCCATCTCTCTTCTGGTACTGACTTGCCAGCCTTTGCAATGCCTGTAAATATATACAGTGTATTTATTTTGAAACATTTTGTGCCCCATCTTTCCACCCATGTTAAGTCTGCAAGATGGAGATGAAGAGTAGTCGAAAACAAAACAACAACACAAGCCAGCCCTCCCTCTCCCTGAAAGCTCCTGCAAATATGGCCACTGGCTCTTTTTGGGTATCCCTCCCAATTCCGCATGCAGAAAACTTAGCAGATGAATCACCCAGGGTGTTTGTTGTGGCCTCCTTGCTGAGCTGCAGGTGTAAGAGTGGCCTCCAGCGGCTGCCTCTTCCTCTCCACAGCAGTTCCAAGAAGAAGAAGAGGAGGCCGTGTGTGTGTGTGTGTGTGTGTGTGTGTGTGGAGATTCTCCAGCTCCATTAGCTATTATCAGCAACTATCTTCTTTACTATAGGCGGCCTGGGAAGCACAGCTGACGCTAAGCAGGCCTGGCCACTGCCTGCATGGGAGGCCACTGAGGAACCATGCTAATTTGCAGTGAACTTTGTAAGAGAAAAGTAAAGGTAAAGGGACCCCTGACCATTAGGTCCAGTCGCGGACGACTCTGGGGTTGCGGCGCTCATCTCGTTTTACTGGCCGAGGGAGCCGGTGTACAGCTTCCGGGTCATGTGGCCACAATGCCTAAGCCACTTCTGGCCAACCAGAGCAGGACACAGAAATGCAGTTTACCTTCCTGACAGAGCAGTACCTATTTATCTACTTGCACTTTGACGTGCTTTTGAACTGCTAGGTTGGCAGGAGCAGGGACCGACCAATGGGAGCTCACCCCGTCAAGGGGATTCGAACCGCCGACCTTCTGATCAGCAAACCCTAGGCTCTGTGGTTTAACCCACTTAAGGGAGAAGAGTATAAAAGTAACAAGCATCTGATAAAGACCCAAGAGCCAGGATTGTATTGACATGGCAGCTTCTGATATTACTGGTTTGCTGATCAGCAGGTGCTTTTGCCTCAGGGAAGATGCTCAGGGTCAAGCACATCCAGGAATGTTTTGCACCCTCCTTATCCATGGTGTAGGACTGCAGGAAGTCAGTGTGTTAATTGAGCACATCCAATTCTTAAAATAAAACCCAGACGAAGGTATGCTCAGAAACTCAAAACAGCATAAGGCAAAGTTATCACTGGTCCAAGGTTCAGAATACTGTGGTTTCCTGACAGTAACTCAGAGTCAGTTCATGCAACCAATTTCCCCCATGCATGATGGCTTTGTTGTTTTGATTGCTTGCTTGACAAGCCCCATGTGGCACTGGGAGTAGCAAAGAGGTGCACCACAGGAGCAGTGCTGAGTCAGCAGCATGCCAGCCCTTGCGTGAGAAACACTGTCAGTGGTTGTCCCATCCTGCAAGGCTCGCAAGCCAAATGCAGCCAGTCTAAATGCACACATTTTGCCCAGTCATCAGCTGTGTTACAGGGACCACACTGATCTTTAAACACCAAGGGCACAGCATTTTCAAACACCTCCGCCACTGGGGCCCAACTGGCTAGGGGGAAAAACAAGAATAAAATATAAAATACTAATAGACACGCAAGAGAGAGGAGGTTTCTCCCTGCCAAATATTAAATTATATTATGAAGCATTCTGTATGTGCTGGTTGAAGGAACGGTTGCTATTGAAGAACCCGCATATTTTAGATTTGGAAGGTCATGATAATATTTTTCGTTGCCACGCTTATTTGTAGTATGAAAAGGCGAAAGTACACAAAGGCTTCACAAACCATATAATTAGGGATAAATATAACAACTTATTAGAGACTAAAACACCACTTTGGCTTTCACCTTTGGAAGCCATAGCGGTGAAAAAGAAAAATATGGTGGAAAGTTGGGTGACTTATAGAAATTTGCTAAGAGAGGAGGATGGAGAATTTTAATTAAAAGAGTTTAAGGATTTATCAGGGGTATTAACAACATGGTTACAATATCATCATTTGAATGAAGTATTTAAAAATGATATGAAGCAGGGGTTTGGGGAACAACTATCACAACTAGAGATAAACTGTAATGTTAAAGTGATGTCTAAAATGTTATTGGAATGGGAGACAAAGGACGAACAAGTGAAATCTTCAATGATACACTGAGCAAAAGATATTGGTCATAACATAGAAATGGAAACATGGGAACAATTATGGAATACGAATATAAAATTTGCAGTATGTCATGATTTAAGTGGAAATTATATGAAAATGTTATATAGATGGTACCTAACACCTAGTAGATTGGAAAAAACGTATAAATCAAAATTGAAGTGTTGGAAATGTAAAGTGAAAGAAGGTACCTTTTTCCATATATGTGGTGGTCTTGCAATAAGGTTAAAGCTAACTGGGAAATGATATACAATGAATTGAAAAAGATGTTTAAGATAACATTCGTAAAAAACCAGAAGCTTTTCTGTTGGGAATTATGGGATCAGAACTACCTAAAAAGTATAGAAATTTATTTATGTATGTGACCACAGCTGCAAGAATGCTATTTGCCTAAAAATGGAAGGAAGAAGATGTCCCAACGAGAGAAGAATGGATATAGAAACTAATGGAGTATACAGAAATGGTGAAACTTACCGGAAGAATAAGAAATCAAAATAACAAACTTTTTAGAAAGGAATGGAAATGGTTTATTGAGTATTTACAAATAATCTGCAAACAGATCAAGACATTGGCGGGATTATTGTAAAAACCTGCAGTTCAAAAATATGTATGAGATATATATGAGAATAGATGAATAAAAGAATAAGTTAAGAAAGGCAAGGATGAAAATAAATGTAAAGAACCGCAGAAAGAGAGGGAAGGGAGTCGAAGCTGGAAATGTTAAAATTGTAGTTGAATCATTGTTGTAATGTATAAAATGAAAATATATATATATATTCATTCACATTTGGCTTAAAAATAATGTTCACAAATTTGGAAAAGCTGTTGAAAAGCAAACTTCCTCACGATGGATTGGCACACACAGCTCCCAGCCCCTTTGCCTGTATGAGGTCTCCCATACAGAAAATGCAAGTCCCAAACTGTCTATGTGAATCCATGTCGAGGGTAGCACAACAGGAGAGTAGATGCTAACAGGGTATGAACTTTAAAAGGACCAGAAGAATCATGTGGCGAAGCCTTTCCTAAAATGTACAAGTTCATGCAGCAGGGGATGGCAGTGCATGTTCAAATGCTCCCCTATTTCAGCAGACAGAAAACCAGCCTTTCCCGAGGCAGGCTAGTTTCTAGAGGCATGGAATTACTTCATACACACAAATATGCCTTATAATTAGTTTATTTTAAACCAGAAAAATTGCCGGGGGGGTGGGGGGAGAGAAAGGAAGAGGAGAGGAGAGAGAAGAGAGAGAAGAGGAACAGGTCATTAACAATTTCCTTGCCTGACATTTCTCTACTCCAATGACTTTTGGAGTTGCTTTTGAAATTGCATATTGGCTTCTTTTGTTTTTAAAAAAGTGTTCAAATGCAACATGAGTTATGGCTTTAGATGGAGTAATATTCAGCAGTCCAGAAAACGATCCTGCTAAATACGAGAATCAGACCTAAAAGGCATGTTTGTCCCCAAACTCATCTTCCATGTCCAGTTCTAGACAGGCAAAGTGCCCCGGAGGACCCTTCCAAGGCCAGTCCCGTTACAGTTATGTATCCCCCCAGGAGGATGGCAACGCACTTATCAACACCAGTGAATGGTTTGCAAGAATCAAATGGGGAGGAATGAAAAGGACGCTGTCCAACAAGATGGCAGAAGATCAAATGCAGACGAGTGATATGATACACCAAGGGATCACTTTCCTACTCACGTGCAATCCCAGGTTGGGACTTCAAGAGATAATGGCCCAAGCCTCAGTGGGGACAGCCAAACGAAGCCATCTATGTGTGCAGTGGCCAGATGCAACCAAGAGAGAATCAGAGATTAGGCAGGAGGGCTAAAGGGTAGGATTCTGTCAGCAACACTCAGTAATGTGAGGACATAAAGCCTAGTAGCTTGTTGCAGCACCACTGCTGAGGAAGTTAGGCCTTCAAGGCATGCTGGTTTGATAGCATAGCCTGGGCATAACCCACGAGGCCTCTCCAAAACATGACCCAGGTGGGAATCAGGTCTACGGTCAGATAAGTACCACTTCTTATTTCAACTTTTTCTAGTGATTGCAAGACCCTTTGCTGTACAAGTTCCAGCTACAGCTGACTCCTTGTCTGCCCACTTCCAAGTATAAAAAGTCACAAGAAGCAGCTGCAGCCGGCTCTTTAAGTCTATCAGCTCCAAGGAAGAGCTCAAATGATCCTTGCCTGCTCACTGGGTCACTTCCTTCAGCTAGGGAAGAGTGCTGGCTTACAATGGATGGCACAAGCCAAGTCTGTATCCATCTCTTGACACGACTTGTAAACCCTGGGGAAATGGCCGCTGCTAAGGCCAGACACTTTTTGGTTATATCCACCACCCCGCCATGATATGTCGCTGGCTACACCCAATTTAAATGGGAGCATGCAACATATTTCAAGCAAGCAGCTCAGAAGCCTTGCATTGTCTCACCTGCCCGTACTCCCTCTCAATGGCAGATCGCTGCTTGCTGTAGGACCTGCAAGCAAGGAGAAGACAAAGGCCCTGAATAACCACACAGCCCAATCTTCTTGCACAATCAGAATCTAAGGGCAAGGGAAGAATCTCACTCTCAAGATCTGCTGGGTGAAGAGCTCAGCTAACATGCACCCAACTCCCCCTTGCAACTGTAACATCAGAAATTGCATGGTGCTTTTAAAAAACAAGTTCAAAGTAGTAATAATTACGAAACAACAATTAGTGTGTCATACTTCCTGACAGAAAATTCCAGAGAAGACCTCAACTGAGCAGTTTTCCAAATAACCCAGCAGCTCACATTATTTTAACTCGCATGGCCTCCAGCAAAAGGGGGGGGGGGACTACTGAGCAGCTGTTGTTTTCGTTGGCTCTGAGATGCCTCAGTTTTGCACAGTAATGGCTCAGGTTTGAGCACATGCTACTCAGCACCACTCTGCTTTGTCCAGTAATCCCCACATTTTAAATATGAACCCCAGCACTGATCCATTGGAAGAGTCCCTGAAACATAACATGCTAACTTCAGGTACAGAATCAACACAAATGACTGCTGGATTTATGTAAGCAGGTGAACCACACTTGTAGCTTAAGGCTGATGCTCTTTACAGACTAAGCCTCTTGGATAAGGAGCAGTAGGCTCTCAGAAGTTCATGGGTCACCCACTAGCAAGAGGTCAATCTCCATCCCTTGCTTTCTGATTCAATGTCTGTAAGGAGGAAGGCTGTCTTAGGCTGTTTAACAGGGGAGGGAAAGGGTAGCCTTTAGGCCTGTGGCGGAACCTGTTCAGGAGCTTGCCCAGTTCCCAATTTCAGTTTGTTACCTGATGTCCTCTAGGAGTTCCAGCTCCCGTTGTTGCTTGTTCTGAAGGCTTGACAGCTGCTCTATGAGGCGCACTTTCACTTCCTGGGTCAACTTAACCTGCAGAAGAAAGAGAGTTTGCACCTTATCAATGGCAATAGGCCCTCCACAGGGCAAGGAGCAGACAAGCATACACATCTGGAGCAGAAGGAAAAGGAACCCCCTATTTTGCACAGGAATGGAACCTTAAGGCTACGAACCCAGAGGCAGTGGGAAGAGGACCAGCAAGACCCCAGTAACAGCTGCCCTGAGGGACCAGCAGTGGGCAGAAGCTCCAGGAGCTCAACCCACATGCAGCAGGTGTAGCAATAGCGTCTAGAAGCCCCTGGCTCAAATCTTGCTTGTCATGAACTCAGTAAGTAGCTTTGGGCAAGTCACTCCTCCTCTCAGTCTCTGCAAAAGGGTTGTTGCAAGGATGACAAGGTAGTGGATGCTAAGCGCTTTAAATACAAAGGCTAGGAATTATGATGCATGAAAGAGTCCAAGAGGTTGGGGGGGGGCTCCATATGGCTCCTACAGGCACTGTGGCACCTTCCAACAAGACCCCCCTCCATCACCAGCCAAGCCCCTGCCCAATTTTTATATTTAACTAATGTTTGTTTGCTTTCTTGTTTTTTTGGGGGGGTTGCCCCTTCCCCTTCCTCTATGTTTCATTTGTCCTGAGGTGTGTAGCTGCTCCTCTCCCCCTCGTCCCATGTTGTCTGGGAGGAGCTTCTGCACATCTCCACGGTTTTCTCCTTCTGCGAAATGGGTCGTTTGTGGCGCCCGCAAGAGCTTATTAGATTTCCAAATGTGCCCAAAGGTTCCCCAAAGTTTGGGGGCCCCCCTAGTTTAGAGCCTGACGCGGCGCTGCCAAGGAAGCCGCCCCCTTCAAGGGCGCACGCCCTTTCAGACTAGGGGCCGGGGAGCGCGTCTCGGGGACCCCGCGGCCCCGACTGTGCCCGGGTGCCAAGGAGGGCCCTCCCCGGCTTCTCCTCCGCGAGCCCGGCACGCAGGGACTTACTTTGCGCGGCGGCGGCTGCATGGCGACGGGCTCCTGGGCGCCCCTTCGGCCGCCCTCGCCACCTCGGCAAGCGGGTCCAGAGCGCGGCTGCGGCGGCGGCGGCGGCGGGGAGGCGAGTCCGGGACTGCCGCGCCGCCCGGCTGGCCTGGCTCCGCCCGGCTCCGCAGAGCGCCGCCCGCCTCTGCCCGCCTCCCCGCCGCTTCCCACGGGGCGTTTTCTCGGGGCTTCGGCGACTGGAAGGAGGAGGTGGCGGCGGGGCTGAGCGCTGCGCTTTGGGAACGGGCTGCTGTTGATGGCAGGGGCCGCGCTCTTCTTATTGCAGGCTTTTAATAGATCTTATATATATATTGTTTATATTATTTACTTTAGAGCATCAGTACCCCGCTCTCCAGCCAAAAAGGCTCCCAAAGCAACTTCCATGACTATTATACGGTTTTTAATTGTTGATGTTTAGTTGTTTTAATGATTGTTTCCCCACCCCCACCCCCAGGTTTTTAGCGGTTCTTATTTTATCTGTAAACCTCATTGAGCCCTTGTCTGGGGGGTGGGGAGCGGGGTATAAATTAATATATAATATTATAACATAGTATCATACGCAGCTGCCTCACTCCAAAGCAGGGGGACGTCATGAAAAACGGTTCTTCTCTGCGCTTCTTTCAGGATGGGGAAGAGTTGGAGCAGACAGGTGAGAGGAAGGGAATCAAGGCTGGGCTCATTGGAGCAAAGCAGGGCATCTGCCTTACAAAGGGAAAGTTACAAACAAAAACAAACAAACAAAAATCTTCCCCCCAAAAAAATTCACCAAAAATCTTTAAACTATATTTCCCCCCCCCCCATTGTACTTCTGTTTAAACTTAGAGGGGCTCCTGGAGTCATTCCTGTCAACCTGTGGCTGACCAGTTCTACACACTGCTCAGCCAACCCCAACCCCAAAATATTGCTATGGCCAAGCCATTCCATTTATTTATTTTATTTATCAAATCTATATACCACCCTTGGCCTGGTAGATATTTCTGAATCATGAATCTGTGCTGTGAGTAGCAACAGCCAGGCCCTAAGAGCTGTTGACCCCGGACCCTGTTCTGGCTGCTGCCACCTTGGTTTGACTTCTGGCAAGTTCCCTTGTTAGAGGGGGGAGGCACTGAGAACAGGCTGCTGGTCCACTTAATATTCCTCTATTTTATTCCACATCCTGGAAAGAAGACAGAGAAGAGGATAAGTTGGGTGGGGGGGAGACAATAGTTTTGCATAGGTCTGGAATTTTTTTGGAGTCCTTTGTGAATAGTCCTGTGAAGCACATTAAAGGCTAGCTACACTTACTAAGGAGCAATGCCCAGGGAATGCAATCGGGTTTACTGCTGAGTACTTATTGTGGTATGAACCCACACTAGAAATTGTGACAGCAGCTCTGAACTGTGATAAAACTGGTGTGAACTGCAATGTTGGCTGTTCTCCATAAAGGAGGACTGTAAGGAGAGAACGGAGGCCACACAACCTTTCTTCCAGCAGAGAAGCAACTGTGACAACAGGGACTCCTGAACCAAAGGAAGATGCTTTGTGCTAAATATTTGCATTGGCCACCTCCGACCTCACTGGTCCTGCCAGTTCCAGTGTTCTCTGCCTGCTCTTTTGATCCCAACTGCAGCTCCCAAAGCTTCTTTTCTGCCGTTGTAGTACTTTTTAAAAGACACACTATGGTTTTGAAGAAGTTTCTAAATAATTTTGGGCCATATCTGGCAAACAACTAGAGACCAGTTGTCAGATTCATTGTTTCCTAAGTAACTGCCCTTACACCCACCCACCCACACCCCAGGTTGTACTGTGTGGGTTGGCAGTAATAGCCAAAATGGCATTGTCCTCTTTTTTATATGAGAAAATGATTCATGCCCAGCCTTGCCACTTGTGGCAGTTTAGCACCACCTCGTGGACAGATGTTATTTGTACAAATGCTCCTCTTTCATTTAGGTCGCTGGCAAGGGAGGAGTTTTCTAATCATAGTGCAAATCTTACATTTTGCAGTGTCTACTTGCAAGAGCTTCAGCCCGAGTTATCTGCTGGCATTTTGGTAAAGTTTCCACAGGTTGCAATACATCTGAGCTGCTTTGCGTTTTGACCTAGCAAGGGCTGACCAGCTGTCAAAGGAGGTGTCAAAGGAGAAGCATTTGCCTTCAGTGACCATAAGAAAGCATTTCATAACCCAGCTGGGCAAAACCTTTATTAGAACCAAGCAAAGTGATTCAAAATTGTGGAAAGCTTTTGAGTTCCCCAGAACTCCAGTCTTTGATTTAACAAGGCCAGGTCCACCATCCCTCAGACCATGTGGGGGGCCGGACTATATTTTGAAAAAAAGAACAAATTCCTATGCCCACAAATAACCCAGAGATGCATTTTAAATAAAATGACACATTCTACTCACGTAAAAACATGCTGATTCCCGGACCATCCGCGGGCCAGATTGAGAAGGTGATTGGGCCGGATCCAGCCCCCGGACCTTAGGTTGCCTACCCCTGCTTTAACCTCAGCATAAGAGGACATGGGTGAGTCCCTTTAATGAGTTGAGTAAAAGGGCACATTGGAACTGAAACTGATGTGATTGGATCTCCCACCTTTTTTACCCTTTAATGCAGCTGTGGGAGCTTCACATTTGTTTGGACTAGTGGTGCTGGAGGGGTGAGGGAGAGGTTGAGCCCTCCCACAAAGCGACTATTAGCCCTGCAGCAGAAAAACACAGTGGAATTAATTGGTGTGTATGTGATTGAAAAACAGTATGAGAAAAAGTTTAACACCCCCACCTGTTCTGCTTCAGTAAAATCTGCTTTCCAATGAACTTGCTATTGCCCCCACAGTGGAAGAATGCAGTTGTACTATATTTATTTCCTGATATAGACTAAATAGCTGCTTGCTATGGTGAATGAACTATATTACAAAAACTGTGCTGCTGGTCTGATAAAAATCAGAGCCTTTGTGGTTGCTTCAGTTAAAAATAAAGCAAAGCTGGAAGGGTTGGCCTCCTTGCATTCTGGTTGCTTTTGAGGGGTTGCTTTTCGAGTGGGGAGAAGTGGCAGGGATTGCTTCTCTGCTCATCCAGTGGTCCATCCTCTTTGCTTGCTTGCTGCCTGCCAGTCATGTGGAGCTGGGGGTGTCCACTTGCTTCACCCCTTGAAGGGGTTCTGCGTGTAACTGGGAGAGATGCACTTGAGCAGAGAGATGAGAAATGCATGTGTAGTGTTGTGTTTGTATGAGAGAGAACTGGAAGGGGGAGAGTCATGCGTATGGTCTGTGAGAGACAGACACGTATGTGAACAAGAAGTATGGATGAATGTGTGCTTTGAGTGAGGGAAAGATGCACTTGGGTGGAGAGGGAGAGGCATTTGTGAAGTGTGTGTGAGAGACGGTTCTCTCTCTCTCTCTCTCTCTCTCTGTGTGTGTGTGTGTGTGAGAGAGAGAGAGAGAGAGAGAGAGGTGTGCGTGTGTGGCCATCTTGTTTATTTTTCCTAATAGTGCCATGTGATCTCCACAAGCAGGGCATAGCTTATTTCCCACAATAAGCATGAGGTCTGGAAGGGGGAAACAGCAGTGCGTGTACTTGCTCTAATTGTGCTTTGCCCCAACAGCAGTCAATTTGTGACAAAATGTGCCCACTGCTCCAAAAACTTTGGCGACCCCTGCATTAATGTATCTCTGTGTCACATCTTTTTTGGTCCTTGGTACTTAACAGTCTGAAACCCTGTCTCTCCCCCTCGCCATTCTGCGGATTTATTCTCATCCTGGCTCATGAGGATTTGTTTCTGATTTTCTGAGCAATAATGTAGTGTTATGTCAAACTTTGTTGATTTGGTGCTTTGTAGTAGTGATGGTATTGTTGTTCCACTTTTGTTAACATGCTTGGATCAGTTGTCCCCTCTGCAAGCAGGTGTGTTCTATAAGGCACACCTGCACAATTATCTGCTTTCTCACAAAGACAAGATAAGCAGAAAGTTTACAGGTTTTGCTTGTTCTTTATGTTCTTTATTAATTGTGTATGCCTCCTACAGTTATACTAAGAATTACCTTGAGGTGGTACAGATGGGTTAATAGTACATACCTACCTAGGCTCTCTTTACTTGCTTTCAATCTTCACCTTTGAAGCCAATAGTGAAGATCAGTATTTAGCTCAGAATAAGTTATTGTGTGTATTTATACATAATACACATTACTCAACCTTTTCAATATTTAGGACTTTAGAGAGTTCACACTGACTCTTTGTGCTGCATATATTTTTCTGGGCTTTTGACCACAGTCTGAAATAAAACTCCCACTTTTATCGCGCAGCATAGAGCCTATGTTGTTAGTTATTTGTAAAACTTCCAAAACCTTTTATGTAAGCAAGTTTAAGAATTCATTTCTGAATTTTATAACTTTGAATCCTAAGGAATATGTAGAATATGTAAAGAGTTTCAACATACCCCTCCTGGTGTTAGGAGGAGGTGGCTACACAGTTCGCAATGTGGCCCGGTGCTGGTGAGTCTTCTGGAAACTTTTGTTGATAATGGGTTGGGGCTTTACCTTCCTTGGATATAAAATGGCACAGGTTTGTGTCATGTGAAGACTTCACTGTAGTCTGCCTTTCATTTTAGGACTTATGAAACATCATTACTTGTAGATGAAGCAATTAGTGAGGAGCTTCCATATAGTGGTAAGTTGAGGACCTACGTGTTCAAACGTCACTGATGTCACTTGTAGCCTATTTAGTTTCCCCGAGTTATTAGTATCTAGATAACTTAGGGGGATAGTTCAAAAGCAATTACAAGGCTTCATGGAGTAGCCGCTGCCACCTGTAGAACCTTGTTGCATGTGCTGGCCAGGGCAGGTGTGGTGTGTGGAGGAAAATGTCAGCTCACTATATCGGTGTCCAGGTCCTGGTTGGGCCCCTTGTTATCATGTGGCAGCAGCCCGGCTGATTTGGGTTCTAGCCCACCTCTACCCTGAAACACTCCATTTTGGGGGTTACTATTGGCTGCTGCTAACAACGCTGCCAGTGGTAGCTTGTGCCCCTTGTTAGGGCAGATACAGTGGGGAAGCTCTTGCTGGTGGAACTGCCCTGCCAACAGAGGCAGTGTCTCTGGGTTGGGCTGGGTGCAGGGATATCTCCACCTCATCCAAATTCTTCAGCATGATTTGTTGGGGGTTGGGGTTGGTTAATCTGTAATTCACCAACAGCATCTTTCAGATTGTTTCAAAATATTAGGGTTAAGCAGATTTACGTGGTGGAGGTGGCAACCAACCTTTGGCAAACTGATGCACAGAATCCTTAAAGTCAGATCATCCTGACACCCTGGCACCAGCAAGAGCACTTTATTTGGAAATTAACACATTCCAGAGAGTCTGCATACACTCTAAGAGTAATCTTTGTTCCTTGACCTCGTTCTGTCTTGGAAGATAGACATTCCGATGTGCCTGCAAAGGGGAGGGAAGTGCCTGGCTGTATGTTCTGAGACAGGTAAATCCCCCAGGAAATGAATTCAAAGGGGCCACGTGCCTGATACTGCCTTGAGAGAGAGAGAGATCGCTATTTGTCTGCATCTTTCTCCAAGTCGCAGAGAACGGCTGGCAGGCGAGGAGAGAGAGAACGAGAGCGCCGAAAGGATCTTGGAAGTTGTTTCTCCGAGCTCACATGCCCCCCTCTACCCCATTTCCCTATCTCTGCGCTCTCCTGGTTTCTCCGGCTGCTGCGGGCGAGGGGGCCGAGGGGGCGTGGCTGCGTCTCACGTGCGACGTCGCCGCCGCCGCGGTGGGCGGGGCGCTGTTTCCTGGGAGGCGGGCCGGCGCGCGGAGCAGCCACTGTGACGGAGGGCGGAGCCCGGCTGGAGGCGGAGCTCGGCAGGCGCGGCTGCCCGGCCGTTGAGAGGTCCCGTCGGGTGGGCGTCGAGCGCCGTGGCTGTCAGGAGCCGCCCGCCCGCCCGCCTCGCTCTGCCGCTCGCTCCTTGACTGACTGACTGACTGACTGAGTGCGCCGGGGGAGGAGAGCCCAGCTGCCCCCGTCCTGGTCGCGGCGGCGAGGGGCGGACTTCGCGCCCCGCCATGGAGGGCGGCAGCGGCGGCGGCGGCGGGGGACCCTCGCGCGGGACCGGCCGCGAGAGGAAGACGAGCAAGGTCCCCGCCGACGAGGCCCCCGCGACGCCCGTGCCTGGAGGAGACCCCGGAGGAGGAGGAGGAGGCGGGAACTGCCATTTCTTACTTTTTTAGAATCAGCAGGCAAACTTCAGAAAGTCAAGTGAAAAATGAGGGTGGTGCTTAAGAACACAGTGTAACTCAGCTCTGTATAGCAATTGCTCAAGAAGCCAGACCATTCTTCAGTTTGCAGTTGAGAACAGACACAAAAGGGAAGAAAATGGAATAGGAATGATCTTAGAAGGATGTTGGATAGAAACTAAGAGGTTTTTTAGCTGTAATGCCTTAAGAGACATGAAAAAAGGTTTGCAACTGAGTAAAAGCTTAATGGTAATGATTTGCTGAACTAACAAATTGAACTGGAATACAAAAAAGGGAGGTATGAGGAGGTCCGGGGAAATAAGTATAGGGAAGATAGGTTATGGAAAATTAATGTCTTTTTAACTATTTTATTTGGTATGTTTTATTATTATTATTATTATTATTATTATTATTATTTACTTTTATGGCTATATTTTAAAAACTTTATTTTCTTTTCTTTCTGTACTCTGTATTTTTTGTATTTTTTGAAACTTTAATAAATATCATTTAAAAAAAAAAAAAAAGGAATGGAGGTGGCTATGAGAAGTCATGGGATAAATGTTTTAATTGAGACTTGAGCCAGCCCAACGAATATATGGTGCAAGAATTTTCTAGTAGCTGGGAATAGGGGAAGAGCAATGAAAGAGAGAGAGAGCTCTCCAGATTAGAATCAAGCTGGTATTATTACTATTATTATTAATAATAATAATATTTTTGTTGCTGTGGCGTTTGCCTGTTCGTTTGAAAATGTACAGGGGGAGAGAGAGGGTTAATATGCAGACCAGTTGGAAAGCCAGAGGCAGAGCCTACCTGTTTATAAAAGTGCTTAGCCGGAGGTTTGGGTTGTGGGTATTTGGTTGGTTTTAGTGGGTTGGTTGGTTGGGAAAGGCAGTTGGAAAAGCAGTTGGCAGACAGTTGGAAATAGTGCAGTTGGTTCTTGTGTGAGTTCTTGTGTGAGGGGAGGTAGAAGAGATAGAGACAGGATAAAATAAGACTAAGAAGGTAAAGAGTAACTGGAATGCAGTTAAAGTTTATTTGTGTCTGTCTGCAATAAACTACACTCTTCTTTGTTAACTTAAGAACCTGACTGAGACTAAGTGGTTTATCGGGGAGGACCTGGTTGGTGGCAGCGGATTAGTGGTGTATGGGACAATAGTCCGTGAGACAACTGGGGGCTCTGTACAAACTCCACAGTTACTATACCATTTTATCCTTTTTAAAACAAATTAAACAATCCAAAATAGAACATTTGTAGAAGAAAATCAAATATAAAGTGTACTTTCAAAGCAACAATGCTAGCAGGAAACTAAAATATTATCTTAAAGATTTCAAATATAGACTGCACGATTAACAGAACAAAGTTAACAAACACACAAACAAAAAACTTAAACATTTCAAAATAAAACACTACTAAAGGAGATCAAATATAAAAGACACATTTGAAACTGCATCATTGTCAAAGAAATAAAATACTACCTTAAACATTAAACATTGCTGCTGCTGTTACTGGTCAAGCTGGTTCATGGCAGGCGACTACTGCTGTGGAAGCTCAGGCTCCAAGACCTGGGTCACCACCAAGAAATCTGGTGCTGGGCAGAGAAACAGAGGGGCTCCATGGCGACACCAAGTGCCATGCCAAGTAGTGTTGCACATGGTGCTTCGCCTCTTGAAGCCTTCCCCTTCTACATACCTGATGGAAAGGCAGGTGATATTTCAGGGTCTCAGGCTGATGGCAGTCACCTGGAGCAGAGCGCAGCCACGCCTTCCTTCCAGCCAACACACAGCAGCAGCATGGAGGTTAAGAGGGGAGAAGAAAGCAATAAGAAAGTAAGAGAAGCAAGGGAGTAGAGCTATTTGCAAATAGGAACCATATTGTATTGGAAGGAAGTTAGCAAGACGAAGCAAAGGGGAGAAGAAAAAAGGAGAAACTTGATCAGAATGAAGAGGCAGTGTAAATTAAACAAGCAACAGAATTGAAGATAAGAGGGAAATAGTGTGAGGAATCTAATCTAAAATGTATATAGGTTAAAGCACATCAAAACTTTGAGGAGAGAAGAGATGAAGTGTAAATGAACTTCTAGATTAAGAGGGAGAAACCTCTAGTGTGATTACTCTCGGTTGAGATGCTCCCCTTCTTAAATTTGCACACTTATGGGATCTTCCCCACATCACTTTTGCACATGTCAGCTTGGGGGGGGGTCTTGCCCCCCCCTTTACACCTATTTCCCAGGTTAGACAGTTGCCTTACTCTCCTCCTGTGGCATTGGCAACCTTTCTGTATGTGCATGCACTCAATGGGTGTGTGTCCCCCCTTTTTTAGTTTGGAATTAAGACGATGCTTGAAACGGAGGAGGGGATCCTGCTTTTGGCAAGAGCCGTTGACCCCAAAGTCCCATCCATGATGATTGATGCTATCACGCTACTGTCTGCCCTCTGCATTCTGCCTCAGCCTGTGGATATGTCAGTGATTATAGGTGATTTATCTTTTGGTTTAGTTGTATTTCATAGGTGGGCAGTCTAGCACTTGGGATCCTTTTCAAAATACATTAAAAACTGGAAGGCTACATCTGAATTGCAAGTTTTAATGTGCATCTAATCTGCACAACGGCCTGAAGCCTAAGAAGCAGAAGCTGAATAAGCTTGTGTAAGGTTTGGGGTCATCCCCACTTTGAAGCCCCACATCTTACTCCATATTGCTTAGGAGGGTTTTTGGTCCCCTGGATCCAAGGCACCATTGGTTCTTAACAGTTTTTAGAAATTTTAATACACTAGATGCGCAATTTATCAAACTCTTACATAGTTTCCTGTTGTGAGCATATGAAAGTCAGACTGCCATCTTTAAAGCACCTGGGAGTGCATCTCATTGAACTCATTGGGACTAGCAAGTAGGCATGGCTAGCATTGCACTGTCTGTTACTGATTTGTTTTCCTTACTCTTACATAGGCATGAGCACGTTCTGGTGGCACTGACACAACGAGCAGAAATGGATGAAGTGGAACGATTCAAACCCATCTTGGATGGCCTGAAGAGTGACACCTCAGTGGCATTAAAGGTAACAAGTGGGTCCTGCAGCAAAAAAGATTTTTCTGTACTTCTTCAGGCCTCAAGCTTCTGCTGATACATCTTTATTATTTCTCAGTCCTCATTTTGTCCATATAGCCACTGGTACTTATGTCTTGAATTTGCTACTTATTTTACCAGCATCTTGGGACTCTTTTGTGCTGCTTTGGTTTTTGTTTTTGTTTTTATTTAATCATTTTTTCAAGACAAACAACAACCACAAAGAACACATACAACAAAAATCGCAAGAACACTTATAACACAATTTAACATTTCAAATTTGAGTACTGATATACCTATGACTACACCTTTTTAACAATATTTCCCCACCTCTCATCCCCCTACTTCCCACCACCGTCCGCCTTATCGCTTAAATATTCCTTCCAGATTTCTTCATATTTATTCATTCTTAATTTGCTTTGACATGCAATTCGTTCGTATGTAGCTAGTCTGTCCATATTATCAATCCATGTGCTCAATGGAATCTTTTTGCGGCTCTTCCAATTCATCAGAACAAGTTTTTTTGCTTCTAATATGGCACGGTACATCCATTTTTTTTTACCTCTTGTAATCTCCCACATTTCCAGTATATAATTTAGAATTAAATTCAATTCCCCTAAATAACAATATTTTTTTTAAAAAAAATTAAAATATTTTTTATTAAGTACAAATTAGAAAACATACATATTCACAACAAAAGAAAATACAAAAGAAAAAGAAAATACATCTAACCAAGGAAAAAGAATTAGAGAATATTTTGTCTCTTTTCATATTTACAGTTGTTTATACCTCTATAAAATGCTATTCACAATAAAGCAGTGAAATGAAACATAAGATATCAGAAAAAAGAAGAAAAGAACAAAGAAAAGAAAAAGATCATAAGTGAAAATTTTTAAAAGTAGATAAGTACTCACAATACATAGCCGTTTCCCATCTATATTTATATTCAATTGTAGAATTTCATCTTGTCCTTATCTACCTTAAATAAATTGTGTTTGTTTTTTTTAAAAAAAGTCTTCCACCGTTTACCTCACGCGTTTTTAATAATCCATTCGTCAGAACCTCTGTTCTTCATATTTTCCCTTTGGATTTCCTTAATGTCTCACTTTGTATTTTTTTTATATTATGCACAAGATTATTCTAAACACAACCAGATTTTTATAGTTGAGCCCTGGTTTTGTAAATAATCAGTTAAGAACTCCCATTGCTTCATAACCATAGTTTTGGATTTTCTCCTTATTATATCCGTCAGTTTTGCTAATTCCAGGTACTCACAAAGTTTCCCCAACCATTCTCTTTTTGATGGGATGCTGTCTTCTTTCCAATAGCTAGCAATCAAAATTCTTGCCGCTGTTGTCGCGTATAGAAATAAGTTAGTTTATCTTTTGGGATATCTTTATCTAGAATTCCTAATAGATATGCCTCTGCCTTTTTCGTGTGTGATGTCCGTATCAATTTTTTTATTTCGTTATGGATCATGCCTCAAAAGGTTTTAATCTTTGGGCAAGTCCACCACATGTGATATAACGTACCTTTTGTTCTGTTACATTTCCAACATTTGTCGTTGTTCCTTTTATTTATTTTTGACAATCTGTCAGGGGTTAGGTCCCATCTGTGGTGAATTTTTCTGAAATTCTCCCTTAATAAATCACACACAGTAAAATTTATGTTTTCCTCCCAAAAAGTTTTCCATCTTTCCAGATCTATCTCATATCCCAAATCGTGCTCCCATTTTAACATGTTTTCCCCTTTCGTCTCTTGTTCTAAGCTGGTTTTCATTAATAATCTATACATTTTTGGAAGTATTTTTGATCGCTTTGCAATATTTCCTTTTCTAATTTTGAGGTTTTATTTTCTAATCCCTCCTTTTTGTCTTTTTCATATGTTGCTTTTAATTGATAATATTGTAACCAATTTATTCCAAATGTTTGTAATTGTTCGTAAGCTTCATTTTTGGGGTTTTCCACTAAATTTTTTTCTTTCTCTCTTATTTGTTTATTTATTTCCATAGTATTATTATCTTTATTTCTCCTTATCCTTCCCATTTGTTGTATTACATACCCTCTCATATAGGCTTTACTCGCTTCCCAAATCATTTTTTTATCCGTATCCTGATTTTCATTTATTTCATAGAATTCTTTCAATATTTCCTTAGCCCTTTTAACCCTTTGATCATCTCTCCATACCTTCTCGTTCATTCTCCACCTTCCCTTAGTATGATTTTGAAATTTCATCTATACTGATACTGGATTGTGATCTGATATCGATCTGTTCAGTATCTCTGCTTTTTCTGAACTCAACATCAACTTTTTTGTTACTCTTGCAATATATATCTTCACCTCGCACCAAAATGATCCTATCATCGGGCAGTTAATCATCATATGTACTAAGTTCGCATTTTTACTTCCACATCTCCAGCAGTTGTCTGCATTTATTTTCTTCTGGTAAAGTTTTGCTGGAGTCTGAATATTATTTTCTGCTGAATAAGTCTTAGTCTTAGTCTTAGATCCATAGATTCTATTTCTGTTTATTTTATACTTGACTCCCATATATCATCTCTTATCTGTACCCCTAACTCTTCTCTCAATTTTTGTCTATCATATTCTAAATCATATTTCTTCCAGTTGAGTAGGGTTTTATATAGTGCGAGTGTAGAGTTTTTTGTTGCAGAAATTAAATCTTGTAGCAGCACTATAGTGTCAGGACCAAACTGCCTTTCCAACATATGTTTCAATAGGATGTATTGCCATTGTGTTTCACTGGTTAATCCATACTTTACTTGCAAAGTCTTATATTCCACGAATTTGTAATTTTCACCAATTAATTGATTCAATGTCAAAATACCTTTCTTCATCCAATTTTGCCAAATTATTACTTGATTTCCAATTTTTAATTTGGGTTGGCCCATATTGTTAATTTCTCATGCTGATAGGGGTCATCCTTATTATTTTTATTTATATTCATCCAAATTTTTATAGGTGCTTTAATAGTCTCCAGAATAATAGGATACTTCATAAAATTAGAGCCAAGTTTAGTCCACCCTTCAAGAGGTTCAAAGAAACTATATTTGAGAGTAGCCCAATTGGGATTCCTGCTAGCTCTCCACTCGTTAGTCTTACTCAGCAGGTAGGCCTGGTGATATAGTTCCAGATTTGGGAGACCAAAGCCACCTTCCTTAGTTGGAAGTTGCATTTTATGTAGTGATATTTTTGGTGGCTTTGTACCCCACAGGCACAATCTAAATAGTTGATTTATTTTTTGGAAGTAAAATTTGGGAATATGTATTGGTAATCCTAGAATCATAGAATCATAGAGTTGGAAGAGACCACAAGGGCCATCGAGTCCAACCCCCTGCCAAGCAGGAAACACCATCAGAGCACTCCTGACATATGGTTGTCAAGCCTCTGCTTAAAGACCTCCAAAGAAGGAGACTCCACCACACTCCTTGGCAGCAAATTCCACTGTCGAACAGCTCTTACTGTCAGGAAGTTCTTCCCAATGTTTAGGTGGAATCTTCTTTCTTGTAGTTTGGATCCATTGCTCCGTGTCCGCTTCTCTGGAGCAGCAGAAAACAACCTTTCTCCCTCCTCTATGTGACATCCTTTTATATATTTGAACATGGCTATCATATCACCCCTTAACCTCCTCTTCTCCAGGCTAAACATGCCCAGCTCTCTTAGCCGTTCCTCATAAGAGCATCGTTTCCAGGCCTTTGACCATTTTGGTTGCCCTCCTCTGGACACGTTCCAGTTTGTCAATGTCCTTCTTGAACTGTGGTGCCCAGAACTGGACACAGTACTCCAGGTGAGGTCTGACCAGAGCAGAATACAGTGGCACTATTACTTCCCTTGATCTAGATGCTATACTCCTATTGATGCAGCCCAGAATTGCATTGGCTTTTAGCTGCCGCGTCACACTGTTGGCTCATGTCAAGTTTGTGGTCAGCCAAGACTCCTAGATCCTTTTCACATGTACTGCTCTCAAGCCAGGTGTCCCCCATCTTGTATTTGTACCTCTCATTTTTTTTGCCCAAGTGCAATACTTTACATTTCTCCCTGTTAAAATTCATCTTGTTTGTTTTGGCCCAGTTCTCTAATCTGTCAAGGTCGTTTTGAAGTGTGATCCTGTCCTCTGGGGTGTTAGCCACCCCTCCCAATTTGGTGTCATCTGCAAATTTGATCAGGATGCCCTTGAGTCCATCATCCAAGTCGTTGATAAAGATGTTGAATAAGACCGGGCCCAAGACAGAACCCTGTGGCACCCCACTAGTCACTCTTCTCCAGGATGAAGAGGAACCATTGATGAGCACCCTTTGGGTTCGGTCAGTCAGCCAGTTACAAATCCACTGAGTGGTAGCATAGTCAAGACCGCATTTTACCAGCTTCTTTACAAAAGAATATCATGAGGCACCTTGTCAAAAGCCTTGCTGAAATCAAGGTAGGCTACATCCACTGCGTTCCCTTCATCTACCAGGCTTGTAATTCTGTCAAAAACGAGATCAGGTTAGTCTGACATGACTTATTTTTCAGAAATCCATGCTGACTATTGGTGATCACAGCATTCCTTTCTAGGTGCTCACAGACTGTTTGCTTAATGATCTGCTCCAGAATCTTCCCTGGTATTGATGTCAGACTGACTGGGCGGTAATTATTTGGGTCCTCTCTTTTCCCCCTTTTTGAAAATAGGGACAACATTTGCCCTCCTCCAGTCTGCCGGGACTTCGCCTGTTCTCCAGGAATTCTCAAAGATGACTGCCAGTGGTTCTGAGATCACATCTGCCAGTTCTTTGAATACTATTGGATGCAGTTCATCTGGCCCTGGAGACTTGAATACATCTAAACTAGCCAAGTATTCTTGTACTATCTCCTTAGTTATTCTGGGCTGTGTTTCCTTTGCTGAATCATTTGCTCCAAATTCTTCAGGTCGGGCATTGTTTTCTTTATCGGAGAAGACTGAGGCAAAGAAGGCATTGAGGAGTTCAGCTCTTTCTGTGTCCCCTGTTTGCATTTCACCATCTTCTCCTCTGAGTGACCCCACTGTTTCTTTGTTCTTCCTTTTGCTACGGACATACCCATAAAAGCCTTTTTGTTGCTTTTAACCTCTCTAGCAAGCCTGAGTTCATTCTGTGCTTTAGCTTTTCTGACTTTGTGTCTACACGTGCTGGCTATTTGTTTGAATTCCTCTTTGGTGGTTTCCCCCCTTTTCCATTTTTTGTACACATCCTTTTTAATCTTAACTCAGTTAAAGTTCTTTAGATAGCCACCCTGGCTTCTTTAGGCACCTTCCATGTTTCTGTCTCATTGGTATTGCCTGATGTTGTGCTTTTAGTATCTCCCTCTTAACAAACTCCCAGCCATCATGAACTCCCTTTCCTTTTAGTATTACTGTCCATGGGATCTCACCCAGCACTTCCCTAAGTTTTATGAAGTCAGCTTTCTTAAAGTCAAGAAATTGAGTCCTAGTATGCTTGGCTGCTCCTTTCCGCTGTATAGTAAACTTCAGAAGAGCATGATCACTCGCGCCTAATGATCCTTCCACTTCTACCCCACTAACCAGAATGTATAGAAGCTTTGGAACAACATTCATTTTGAGGACATTAACCTTTCCCCAAAGGGAAAGGTTTAGAGGTCCCCACCTTTCAATATCAAAAGTAATCTCATTTATAATTTGATTCAACTTTAATTTTACAATTTGGTCTATATCTAATGAAATCATTATACCCAAGTATTTAATAAAGTCTTTGCACATCCGAAATTGATGGTTTCTATACAATGTAGCCCTTGGCCCAATTGGTAAAATCTCTGATTTTGTCCAATTTATAGACTATCCTGATATTCTGCCAAAGGTTTTTATTTTCTCCATAATTTTTGGAATTGTATCTTCTGGTTTTGTAATAAATAAAAGGTTATCATCCACAAATAATACAATTTTGTAATTATCTTTGTTGTGTTTTACACCCCTGATATGCTCATCCTGAATTATTGTTCTTGTTAATGGTTCCAGGCACAGATTAAATAATAACGGAGAAAGAGGACATCCTTGTCTCGTTCCTCGATTTAAACTAATCAAATTTGAAATTCTTCCGTTTGTAACAATCTGGGACGTTGGGTTTTTATAATTCATTTTAATCCAATTACAGTATTCTATAGGGAAACCAAATTTACGTAACACAAACCCTATGAATTCTTTATATATTCTGTCAAAAGCCTTTTCTGCATCTGATGACAATATCATAAACTCCTCTTCATCTTTATTTAAATTTATCAAATCTATTGTTAATCTGATATTGTCTGTAGCTTGTCTTGTTTTTATAAAACCTGTTTGATTATTAGGTATCAAGTCTTGAATAACCTTTTGTAATTTTGCTGCCAATATTGCATTCATAATCTTTTCATCAACATTCATTAATGATATTGGTCTATAATTTGCACATTTAGTAGGGTCTTTGTTAGGTTTTGGTATAATTATTATTAAAGCTACATTGAATGTTGTAGCAGATATACCTTTCTGAGCTATTTCCTCATAGACTTCTAGAAGTCTGGGGACTAGTAGATTTTTGAATATTTTATACCATTCTATAAGAAGACCGGGACGCGGGTGGCGCTGTGGGTAAAACCTCAGCGCCTAGGACTTGCCGATCGTATGGTCGGCGGTTCGAATCCCCACGGCGGGGTGAGTTCCCGTCTTTCGGTCCCAGCTCCTGCCCACCTAGCAGTTCGAAAGCACCCCTAAGTGCAAGTAGATAAATAGGTACCGCTTTATAGTGGGAAGGTAAACGGCGTTTCCGTGTGCTGCGCTGGTGCTGGCTCGCCAGAGCAGCTTCGTCATGCTGGCCACGTGACCCGGAAGTGTCTCCGGACAGCGCTGGCCCCCGGCCTCTTAAGTGAGATGGGCGCACAACCCTAGAGTCGGACACGACTGGCCCGTATGGGCAGGGGTACCTTTACCTTTACCTTTATAAGAAGACCATCTGGTCCAGGTGATTTCCCATTTCCCATTGTTTCTATTACATTCTCAATATCTGATATATTTAGGGGTGCTGATAGCATATCTTTTTGATATTCTTCAATAGTTGGTATTTTAATATCTTGAAAGAAGTTTTCCACCTCATCCTCTGATATATTTTCCGGCCCTTCATATAATTTTTTGTAGAATTAAAAAAATTCATTATTGATATCTATTGATGAGGTCGCTGCGATGTTATTTTCATTTCTTATTAAGGGTATTATTTGGTTCGCTTTCTTTTGTTTTAGATGATTAGCTAGAATTTTTGTCCGTCTTTTATCCTGTTCCCAATATATTTGTCTTAGACTTAGTAGGCTGAACTCAATTTTTTGAGCTAGTATATTATTCAGCTCTAATGTTAGTTGTTGTATTCTTTCATATGTAGCATTAGATGGGTTATTTGACATATCGCCACATAGTGTTTTTAAAGAAATTTTTAGATTGTTTTCTTTTAATCTTTGCAGCTTGGCTTTGTTGGTAGAGAAGGATATTATCTTCCCTCTGATGTAAGCTTTATATTCTTGACCTTCCATCAGTCTTGACGTTGAAGATTTGTAGTTATTTTTAAAATATATTTGTGTTTCTTGGGTTATATATATTGAATGAAATTTCTTTCATTTAAAAGAAATTAAAATACCATCTCCTCATACCTTCCTGGGTTTTAGATAAATTATATTCCAGTATTACTGCTGAGTGATCAGCTATAATGGGAATATCAATATCACATCAGCTAGTAAAGGGATGTAATGATGCTGATATTAGAAAAAAGTCAATTCTATGCTGGGTATTATGAATTCCTGCAAAATATGTATATGATTTTTCCTTAGGATGGTGCAATCCCCATGAATCCACTAAATTCCACTGTATCATATGGTTATTAATTGTCTCTCTAACCTTTGTCCTTTTTTTCCTGGCTACTGATGCGATATCCATCTGTGGATCTAAAATTTCATTCAAGTCTCCACCCATTATCAAGTGCTGATACGATAAGAAGCTTAACCTCTTAAAGCAATTGTGAATAAACTTATGGTCATCAGTGTTCGGGGCATAGACATTTACTATTGCTATTTCTGTCCCTTCTGTTTTAATTACAGTTATTAAGCATCGGCCATCTTCCTGTCTTATTATATCTTTGTATTTCATAAGGCCAGCCTTTCCTAAATAAAATTGTGACTCCCCTAGCATTTTCGTCTAAGTTTGTTGAAATAACTTCTTTTACCCATTGACATTTCAAAGTTTGAGCCCCTTGTTCTGTCAAATGTGTTTCCTGTAATAGACCTATATCAGCCTTTAATGACTGCAGATATTTGAGTGTTAAGATTTGTTTTTTCTTTTCCTTTAACCCCTTGATGTTCATACTTATAATTCTCATTGTGGTTTTAATCTGTAAGCTTTCTTGTCCTCTATTTTGTCTTTAGCAAAATTGTTTGGAAGGCCTAATATAAAGCAAATATACTAAAATTATCGCACCAACCTGAGTTGTATATTAACCATACTTAGATTTAACATATGGATTGCGAAATATATGAATAATTAACATTCTTACATATCTAAATATATATAAGGTATACTCTACCCGTTACGTCTATATACACACTGAAATTAACTTTAAGTATTCCCAATCAAATAATTATTATTTGAAAATATTCAAAGAAGGAAGTACAGTACCCTCTTTTTCTTTACATTTCCAACATAGATTATCACTATTATGATACATCTTTGCTAATTTTACAGGGGTTAAATACCATCTATACATCATTTTCATAATATTTTCCTTTAACACCATGCATGCAGTGAACTTGACCCTTTTCCTCCACAACCTTTCCCAGTCTTCAAACATTATATTATGTCCCACATCTCTTGCCCAATCAATCATCACAGATTTAACTTGTTCATCCTTTGTATGCCATTCCAACAATAAATTTAGACAGATTTTTAACTTTAGAGTCCAACAACTCCATTTCCAACTTAGTTTTTTCTGAAGCAAAACCATTTTTCTTATCTAATTTGTACAATTCATTAATCTGGTGATATTGTAGCCAATTTATTTTATCTTTAATTTGATCAAGTGGTTTTAATTTATATCCTTCTTTATCTTCCAGTAACAGATCAGAGTATCTCAACCACTTAGTTTCCATATTTAACTTTTTCTGGGTCTTTGCCTCCATCACACATGTAACTTCCACACCATACCATCCAGAGACTAATGGATTGGTTGAGAAGTTTAATGGAAGTTTGATCCATATGATCAAAGCCTACGTAGGAGAAAACCCTACTGACTGGGACTGCAAAAACTCCTCTTGTACGCATACCGAGACATTCCACAAGAGTGTATAGTCCATTTGAACTTTTACTAGGGTGCAAGGTCAAAGGACCTTTAGAACTACTCCGAATAAATTGGGAGGATCACCCAGATAGTGATTCAGATTCAGAGATGGACTATCTGTACAAACTGCAAAACACTTTACGCCATTCCTTAGAAACAGCAGGAGAAAATTTAAAAGCCTCCCAGTCAAAGCAAAAAAATCTGGTATGATAAAAAGGCCAGAGAGAGAACCTTTGGGTCAGAAGATGAAGTGTTGCTGCTAAGGCCAATAAAGGGAAATAAATTGCAATTAGCCTAGGAGGGATCGTACAAGATTGTGTCCAAAATGAATAACGTGAACTACATTATCCAGCAGGGGGATGAAGGGTGCAAAGTGGTTCACGTGAACATACTAAAACCATACCATAGAACAGACAGCTGGGCTCTATATGCTATAAGAGAGGACTCGGAAGAAACAGACGACATACTGTGCTGGGAAGCAACATTGTAATCAGAGAGAAGTGAATCTAGCCCCTTCATTAACCCAGTCACAGCAGGAGGAGGTAGGAAGTATCCTACAAAAATATAAAGCCGTCTTTAGTAATGTTCCGGGAATAGCGAAGTCCATTGCATAGACACTGGGGATGCTAAACCCATTGCAGTGTCCCCTTATCAGATAACTGGGACATACATGGATAAAATCCGCAACGAGGTGCAGGAGATGCTGAAGGCAGGGATCATAAGAGAATCCCTGGGCAGCACCGGTAGTGCTGGTAGACAAACCTGATGGCTTTATAAGATTTTGTGTTGACTACCGAAAGTTAAATCACGTCACTAAGGTGGATGCCTATCTAATGCCCTGCTTAGATGACCTAATTGAGACCATAGGCAGGTGCTATTTCATTACCTGTCTAGACTTGACAGAAGACTATTATCAAGTAAGAATGTCCTGGGGACCAGGAAAAACTGCCTTTAGAAGTCCCCTAGGTTTATATGAGTTTAAAGTGATGGCCTTTGGACTAAAAAATGTGCCAGCGACCTTTCAAAGGCTAGTGGATAAGATCCTGCATGGATTAAGGGAGTTTACAGTAGCTTACCTGGATGATATTGCAATTTTTAGTCAAACCTGGTCCGAACACAAAGAGCACCTAGAGTTAGTTCTACAAAGAATTAAAAAGGTGGACTTGACCATTAAGGCTAGTAAATGTCAGATTGGGGTCTCAGAAATCAAGTACCTTGGACATATGGTAGGTGGAGGAATAATAAAGCCCTTAGAGACCAAGGTGGAGGCAATTACGAACTGCCCTACTCCTATGTCAAAAAAGAAAGTGAGAGCATTTTTAGATTTGGCAGGGTGTTATCGAAAATTTATCCCTAAGTTCAGTGAACTAGCTGCACCACTGACCGACTTGACTCGCAAGAAAAAACCGGAGCATGTTGAGTGGACATCAGTGTGCCAGCAGTCATTTCATGCGCTAAAGAATGCCTTGACTACCGGACCAGTCCTCGTCGCAACAAACTACGACATAAGAGTTCACCATCTTTACAGATGCGCTGAATGCTGGGATTGGAGCCGTGCTGTGTTAACTGGGAGAGGAAAACAACCTGCATCTGATCAGGTACCCAGAGAGAAACACCTTTCCATGATAGAAAAAGAATGTTTTGCTATAGTCTAGTCCCTACAGAAGTTAAAACCATACATCTGGGGCCAGAAATTTATACTGTGCACCGATCATTCACCCTTGCTTTGGCTAAGGATGATGAGAACTAATAGCAAACTGATGAGGTGGGCCCTGTTGCTGCAGGACTTCAATTTCACCATAAGAAGCATGAAAGGGCCCCTGAACATTGTGGCCGATGCTTTATCAAGAGACCCGATGGTGAAGGTTAACCATGGACAGTTAATTTTTTTTCCTGTAGATAACTGAGTTGTTTTAAATGTCTAATGCAGTTTGATCAGGAGTGTAACTCTGTTCAGTTATCCCTCCTGATCAAACTTCTTTAAGAGGGGAGGGATGTGGTGTTTGCCTGTTCGTTTGAAAATGTCTGTACAGGGGGAGAGAAAGGGTTAATATGTAGACCAATAGGAAAGCCGGAGGTGGAGCCCACCTGTTTATAAAGGGGTTTAGCCTGAGGTTTGGGTGTGGGTAGTTGGTTGGTTTTAGTGGGTAGTTGGTTCGTTTTAGTGTGTTGGTTGGTTGGGAAAGGCAGTTGGAAAAGCAGTTGGCAGAGAGTTGGAAATAGAGAGACAGTGCAGTTGGTTCTTGTGTGAGGGGAGGTAGAAGAGATAGAGACAGGATAAAATAAGACTAAGAAGGTAAAGAGTAACAACGTTTGGAATGCAGTTAAAGTTTGTTTGTGTCTGCAATAAACTACACTCTTCTTTGTTAACTTGAGAACCTGACTTGAGACTAAGTGATTTACTGGGGAGGACCTGGTTGGTGGCAGCGGATTAGTGGTGTACGGGTCAATAGTCCGTGAGACGACCGGGGGCTCCGTACGAATGCCACAGCAGCCCTTTAAAAATATGAAAACAGGGTAAAAATATGCTCCCTGTGCATTTATTTATTCACCTCTGATCAATTGTTTGCTTTGGGGAATATGTATATACAGTGATACCTCGGGTTAAGTACTTAATTCGTTCCAGAGGTCTGTTCTTAACCTGAAACTGTTCTTAACCTGAAGCACCACTTTAGCTAATGGGGCCTCCTGCTGCTGCCGCGCCGCCAGAGCACGATTTCTGTTCTCATCCTGAAGCAAAGTTCTCAACCCAGGTACTATTTCTAGGTTAGTGGACTCTATAACCTGAAGCGTCTGTAACCTGAAGCGTATGTAACCTGAGGTACCACTGTATATTAATTGTTAAGTGGCCAGGTCCTAAGAGCAGAGTTGAATGCCTCATAGCTCTTATCTCTTTCCTACCCATAATATGGCACCTGCTGGTCAGGATGTCCAGCTTGCCTCTTTGGAAACAAGCTCTCACCTGGCTGGATTTTGAATTTTGTGCCATGTTGACTTCAGCTGGCAGATGAGAGTCCTCCTTTTGTTGAATGTTGGAAAGGACGTGTTGAATATAAACTAAATGTAATGTTATTTTTTAACACTTGCTATATGTAGCCCATGTGTGTTTCTTTCAAACTTTGTCCTCTCTCAAATTACCCTGTTACTTCCCTTAATACACTTCTTTCCTACTTTATAATATATTGGGAATTAAATTGTTTATTGAACAGAGATTAATAGCTGGCTCTGTTTTTTGCTTCACTTTCATAAATATTTAGATTTGATTCCAATGATTTCAAGTTCGCTGCCTGGCTCATAAATGAATCTGAGAGTCAGATTTGATGTTACCATTGGGAAAGCCACAACTAAAAAAAATATAGCAGTAGGGATGGGTGGGTATTTAAAGCTCCCAGCATTTTCCTGATTTAAAAAACTTCCACGATGCTTTTTGTCCCACAGGGCAAAACCTAGAGATGCGTAGCTGCATGTTTTGCTGCCTAGGGCAAAAAGGGAAGGGGAATTTTCATCAGGAAAATGGCACATGTCCCAGTAGTGATCCAAATCATTTGAGGTTTCTACGCAGAGTTTGGATGGTCATCTGTTATAGATGCTTTAACTGAGATTCCTGCATAGCAGGGGGTTGGACTAGATGACTAATTCTATGATTCTATGAAGTTCAGATGTCCAACTGAGAAGAGTGAAGTGTGTAGTCTTGAGACATTTCCTCAGAGTTTCACCCAGTCACCATCACCACCTCAGAAGTGGTTTACTGCATTCCCTTCACCAGTCTTCAAGCAGTTGTGGCTCATTTACTTGTCTCCAATACGGTATGAACAAACCTTTGGCTCCCATATCTACCGTGCACATTAATCAGTTCTGTTCCAGATAACTCAGCATAAACAAACTCTCTTGCTCTCTGTTGTACAAAATTCATTTATTCCAAGTGGCAGTATGAATATTGCTGGAAATGCTCAGGATTTCCTTACCTTTTCAAGAACATTTATTCCCTGTGCAGGCCTGTCTAAACAGAAATATATGGCCACGCCATCCAAATTTTGCACCATGAACAGCTGAAGTCTGTGACATGTTCAGATTATCACAGGACATACTCAGCCACCTATTTGACTTCTATGATTTCATTCAGGCATTGCACATAGGCAGGCAAGAGTATATTCTTAGCATGAGGGCTAGAAACTTGTAAAAATGAAAGCTGAGGTTCCCAGGAACCTGAATCCTGCACGCAGCACCACATTCTGCACGTGGATATGGGCTGGAGCTGAGGGGGGCACCACCCTTGCCTTAGTAAATATCACCCCACCTTGCTTTCCACCACGCTTCCTCTCTAGAAGTGGCTGGGAACTCTAAGGATAAAATAGTTCGAGAGGAGAAGAGGATTTCTTAATGCAACGCTTCCAGGCAGGGTATTTGGTTCTACCCATCGCAGGCAGAGACGTGATGCAGACCAGCAGCCTCCCGCGACTCATGTCATGCTCAGGACTGCGGTGAGCCTAGTTCCAGTTTAAGGGATCTCAGTCCTCAGATCCCGTGACCCTTCCAGCTGTGCCTGGGCCCCATCCTGGGGGTTCTGCTTCCCCACTGTGGCAGGTGCCTGGCACTCGTTCTTCCGGAGGATGGCAGAACTCAGCTCCTGCATGAGTTTGTCACTGATGGACAAGTCTGCCTGGAAGCTTTTCTTCCTGGGGGCACCAGCTTGAGGCTCCTCTCCCATTGGAAGTTCTGGAGGGGAGGCAGGTGCCTCTATTGACTGCCCCTGTTCCCAGTCTGGGGCAGGCGGCCCTTGAGGCAACTCAGTCATTCTCTCTACAGCCGCACTTGGGGCCACACTGTGTCCTGGGAGCTTGTCTGGGAGGAGGTCCTTCCCCTCCTCCAGCCTGAGGGTCCTCTCAAAGCAGCATCCTTTTGCCACGTTGATTCCAGATGTCCTGGGGGCTGGGCACGGGGGCAGTGAGCTGGATACTGCCTGCTCTGAGCATGGAACTGGCTTCTTGGTTCGGTCCACAGGAGGCAGCAGGGACTGTTGGAGCTCCAGAAAGCCCATGTCGGCAAAGTTTCCCACCTCCTCATAGACAGGCTCAGACTCAGCCGCCTCCTGCTGCTCCTCTAGTGAATCCTGATGCATTTTCATTGGCTGTGAGGAGTCAAGGCAAAAGGAGGCCATTAATGGATTTGCCATTGCTTGGGCTCGAGGCAGAAAGAAACATTCCCCAATTGTTCTGAGCAGGGGTTGCCTGTCCTGTTTTTCTGCCCGAGGCAAAACAGGAAGGTGCCATCTCCACCACCGCTGAGCCTCATTTACTGGGGTTGTGCAGTGGTTTCCAGCGAAATCTCACCGGAAGCCACTGTTGCTTCTGCAGTGGTAGTGGCAGCAGGAGCAGGTGGGACGCCCATGGGGACACTGCCTCATGGGATTCTGCCACTGAGGTGGCTGCCTCAGTCAGCCTCAAGGTTGGGCTGGCCCTGGTTCTGCAATTTTAGGTCTCTGCAGCTTGGACCAATAACCTAATTGCCTGAGGCTCAGGCCTAGTCTAGTAAGCTACCCAGGACTATGTGTGCACTCACACAAATCCTAGAAGTCTGGCCTCCTGCCCTGGTTTGGCTCTGACACTGCAGGTGTGAGTGTCTAATAGGCCTCAACTACAAGTCAAGGCCCAGGCTGCCACCCTTCCTTCTCCTTGCCATAGCAGACGGCAGTCCTGGGTGAGGCTAGAGGCAACTAAGCTTGTCAGTGGCTCACACTTTGTTTGGCATGCATGGGCAATGTTCAAGTTTTCTGAAAAGGCTCAGGGGAGACAGCTTGGCTAGTCTCCATTCTGGGATGGCCCAGATCCAACCGGGTTTGAAAGAGGGAGCACTTGCCCACTCCACAGACATTCTGCAGCACCACGGCCCGGATTCCTCCTTGGGTTGGAGCTGAGATGCATAAAACGGTGAATGAAAATGGATCAGAGGAAGATCAAACCAAAGAATGCACAGAACCTTTGAAGGAAAATACCGATCAAGGTCTGCCAGAACGTGAGAGTGGAATAGTAAAGCGGGAGGCAACAGATGATGAAATGGAGGGGTCCTCTTTTTCATTATCGTTTGCTTCCTGCTTTTGCTCTTTCTCTTTTTCTTTTATCTACTATGCTTTTGCTTTGTTTTTTGTTTGATGTCCTCTTCTCTGGGTTAATGAGGGTACACACAGGAAGGTGATGGCTGGCTGATGAAAGACCCTGTGCGAGAGGCAGAGAGGGGAAGGTCTCCCAGGCTGGGAGGCTGGGAGAAAAAGAAAGGGAAGCTCCCAGGTGAGAGCTGGGAGGGTTCACCCTGCTCTGTGTGAGACAAGGGTTCAAGATCTACCTCTGAGAGAAAGCTTTGCATTTCCCCCCTCTATTAACAGTGTAAGGGACACAGGATAAGTATGTAATACTGTACATGCATAGGTACTTACAAAAAACATGGACAATGTCCTTCGTGTGTGCAGGCGGTGCTGCAAACAAGAGGAATAAAAGTGGTCAGATGATGCAATTCACACCACAAGCAGACAAGAAGGAAGAGCAGATTAATCAGTCTTGGTTATGACTTGGAAAGCTTAGCAGAGATCCAGAGGTTGGGGTTGTTGGGTTTTATTTTTGTACCATCCTGTTTTTCCTTTGGAGAAAAAGCAAGAGGTTCTGCTGTTGCTCTTTCTGGGCATGCAATTTCCACCTACAATCCAGGGCACCAGAAGAATAAGTCATGAGGAGGCCCTCCAGCCCACAAGGTGAAGGGGCTGGTGGCTCCTCATCCAGTTAAGAGATCTGCTGAAGGTGAACACCAAATCAGATTTATTGGCTGAGAAGAGCTTTTTTAGAAGCAATACATTGGTTGCTTCATTGCCAATTGTTCTTCTAAGATAGAGGCCCTGGCTTCATGGACGAGGCTGGGGAGGTTCACTCATGAGCAAAGACAGTGTTCTCAATAAAGCACGTTCAGACATCATGTGGGAATTAATTCCTCTTGTAATGAGGAAGTGACTCTCCCATAACTGCGGCTAAACACAGAAATAGGTCACCCACCAATTACTCTTCCTGGGCTCTGGCACGAACTGTACCACTTCTTAGGACATACAACCAGCAGAGGGAAATGCTTTACATTTGAGCACAGGGATTTTAAAGCTGCTCATGCTTTGCAGCTTGCTCTTGTTTCATGGAAGAGCAGGGCTTCAGCAGGAGCCAGGTCATGCAGCCTTACCAGGGTCTGGTTAGCAGAGAGCATGGTGGGATTGGTGCTGTCTCCCCGTAGAGGGATCAGGGGCATGGTGCCAAACTTCTGCTTGGATAGGTCAGAAGATGAGCGCCGACGCAGGATGACCGGGCGGATGCTGTCATGCTAAAGGAAGGGAAGTCAACAACTATTTCTTTATATTACCAGTCACAACACATTCACTGACGTCATGCCACCCATGACATGCTTCAATGGGGGCATGCGTCTGGTCGTTGGGTCAGACATTCCCTACTCCTAGGTATGGGGCTCTAATGTATACAACAAAAGATGTGCATGAGGGCAGCTGATGCCCTGCCTTAATCTGTGCCACTGCTTCAGATGCTTTCTCCCTGCCCAGGTCTGACACTGGAAGTGAGCTGAGTTGTGGAGAAATACATCAAAACATGGCTGCCCCTTCCACATTTCATCTGGCCAGTTGCTACATTTTGAGACTGATTTTAGGAGAGAGCCATCCTTTGATATCTCTTGTTTCAGGCCTGCAAGGTTATTTTGCCCTTTTGAGTAGAAGATGCAATGGATATTTTTTTTGTTATTCTATAAGTGTGTTCTTAGTAATAGATACTAACCGCTAGCAGTGACTACCTGTTGAACCAACATGCTTCCTTCAGAAGAGGCAGGCTACTACTACTACTACTACTACTACTACTATTATTATTATTTTCAGAAGTTTATTGTTCAAGCCAAAGGTCATGACCAACTTGCAGCAATAGTATGAATAAAATATTACAGAACATACATCCATAATATAAGCTGGCATCCATGATGAGAGAAGATACCAGAGACACGAACACGCTTAAATCTACAGTGGTACCTCAGTTTACAGACGCTTCAGGTTCCAGACGCTTCATGTTACAGACTCCGCTAACCCAGAAATAGTACCTTGGGTTAAGAACTTTGCTTCAGGATGAGAACAGAAATTGTGCCGTGGTGGTGTGGCGACAGCGGGAGGCCCCATTAGCTAAAGTGGTACCTCAGGTTAAGAACAGTTTCAGGTTAAGAACGGACCTCCAGAATGAATTAATTTCTTAACCCGAGGTACCACTGTACCTTGATTTCATATTAAACCACTGAATCACCAAAACAACTTAGATAAAATCGCCATATCTCCTTTTTCCTCTCTTTTTTGCAGCCAGTGCATAGAGGACCACTCTCTGTGTTACAAAGCTATTATTGTCACTTAAAAGAAACCAAACCCTTTCTGCTGGGGTGTACTTGGTTGCTTGTGTGAACAAAGGTTTCAGAAAGTGATATCTTGGGTCTCTATGTAAGGGGCAGGCTAACAGAGAATGAGTGATGTCTTCTACCATAAGTTGGTCACAAATGCAGTCTGTCTGCGTACAGGACATGGAAATGCAGCATTAACTTATGTGGAATATTTAAAATGCACAATAAGCCCAGCACCCACCACAATCACACATGCACCTGCTGTCAGAGGCAAAGATGATGTTTGGTAGAAAGCTTAGCGTGCAAAGTTTGCAGCTCCATTAATGGTTTTTTATTTGGAACGGAGTTCAAAGATTTTCCCTTTTATCGTTGCAGGCAGAAAATGGCTACAAAGCAAAAACCTGTTATAAAGCAGTGGACTATTTATGGCACTTCTGATTATTTCTATCTGGGTTTCATCATTAACCCTTTAGGGAACTTCACATTAGTAATGAAAGAGTTGCATCTGGAGGAGGCAGCGGCTGCAAAATATTTAGTAAAAGGAAGCACAGCCAATGTACCCCCTCAACACTAAAAAGGCTATGGTTGAAAAAAAAAGAATAGAAAAGGGGCAACATCATCCTCTCCTTTTCCCTTTTAATTTTCTGGCTTTTCAACAACATTATTGCTATGTTGCAAAAGAGTGTGGGTACAGACACACACAATTCGCCCCATTTCACTGTGCTTTGTAGGAAAGGAAAGCATCCTGTCTTTGCTGGGTGAAAGAGCCACAATTTTTCTTGCCCACCTTCACATTTGCAAAACAGAAGCAGCCATATAGTAAAGAAGGGAAGCATTCTTTTTCTGGCCCTCTCATGTCATAAATTAAACTTGCTATAGGGTTGCTGTGATTGAAGGACTCTTCCTCCTACCACTCTGTTGGTGGAAAGATTCACACTTGCCCAAAGGGACTTTCCCTCCTCTCTTCTCCCTGTGGCCCCCTCATATCTGTTTCAGAACTTCCCCCAAATCTCTGGAGCAAATTTGGGGAGGGTGCTAGGTATGCATGGGGGCGGGAGGAGAGAGGGAAGTCCTGTCAGAATATTGGTTAGAATATTGGATTCTAACCATTTTCTCCAACAAATGCACTGAAAATCTGAAACAACTTGTCCTTGGAGTGAAAACAGGTGAGTTTCACCTGAAGAAGGAATAGTTGAGCTTTTTCCTGAGGGTGACCCATGGCAGATCTCCCATCTGAATATATTTTCAGGTAAGACTCTCTTGGGTGTTGTCACCACAAGGGCAGGTCGTTGCTAGATAAAAGGATGAACAATCCAGGAAACGTCTTTTGTGGAGATGACATCACAAATCAGAACAAAGCTATCACATCAGTGTTACGGTCAGTCAGATATTTCATTAGCAAACTACTTGAAAGCAATTCCCTATGTATAACTTGGACTGAAGGGAACACTGCATGTTCCTGGCTGAGGGCTTTTCTTACACACCTGGGCTTTCAGGATGCTGGTGGTCCAGTCCCACAGATCGGATTGCCCCATGCATGCTAAATACCTGTGGAACAAACACTCCCTGTTACTGCCAACATTGGTGACTTGTCCCACCCTACTCCCTAGCTCAACAGGCAATGGTGCATTCCCTGGAGCAGCTAAAGGTGGCTGGTGAAGTTTATCCAGGGAAAGGACTCAAAAGAACATCAAAACTGCCCTGTTGGATTGGACCAAAGACCTGCATTCTATTTCCACCAATGGCCAGACAGATGCCTTCCTAAGTTCAATGATAGGGCATGGACCACCCACTGTTCTTTTGTCCCCAGAATCTCAGGGGCTTTGCTGTCTCTGACTATGGAAGTTTCATTCAGCTGCTGCAACTCACAGCCACCGAGATTAGGATTGGAGGATTTGTAATTCCCACTTGGAACGTGTGAGGGAAAGGCTTGCACCTGAATCTCTCCAAGTTTGCCCAGTTATTGCTACAACAGATTCCAAAAGAAGGCAGTGAACAGGACACCGTCACCTCCTTCAATTCATGTTTCTCCTCTTCCCTAACGCTGGCTGATGGGCATGGGAGCTGTGAGCAGTAGCCAGAAACTGCTGGTCTTAGCCAGTGAACTGCCCTCACGAGTGATGGAAGCAGCTCTTTGGTGCGTCCCTGAGCAACTGCACTCTCAGGCTGAACAGCACCCTGTAAGAAAGTGGGTGGTACACCACCTGCCATTTTAATATGGACGTGGGATACCATTTGTGGACATTTATGCATCAGAGGCAGTCCCATTATGACAGGCTCTTTCCACCCTGTCCCACGCAGTGCTTGAGATGAGAAAAGCCCTGGGGCAGAGGGAGGAAGGGAGGGAAAGCGGGAGGAATAGCTCATCTCACACTGAAAGAACAAAGCAACATAGAAAGGATACTCACAGTTGCTGCTTTTCTAGAACCAGAGTGAAACCCCACCTGTAGCAGAGATGGATACAGAGTGAGATAATCCCCTGCTGTCATTCATCTGATGTCATAATTACATCAGGCGACTGACGCCTGTCAAAGTTCAAAGGGGGCAGCGCTTCCCAAGCTCCCATGTCATATAGGACAACAAGTGCAACTGCTGGCCAAAATGGCCTCATAGGCCAGACAAGGAGGTCTGGTGGTTCAAGTCTGGCCTGCAGGCCAGGCGTCTCCCCCACAACCCCACTACTGTAAATTCAATGGGATCCCATAGTCACTTACTGTGAAGGGGGCTTCAGCTTTTTTCGAATCCCCATGTAAACCTTGGCCACGTCTAGCATCCATTCCCGCTCTGGCTTAGCACTCTGAGGATAGAGAACCGGAAGGTGCAATCATCATTCCAAAGGCATAAGGCATTATTAGCTTTCCCAAAATATAAAGAAAGGGCAGAACTCTTATCTGCTATTTGGGGTTGATTAACTGGGCAATGGAAGGGGGAGATGCTGCCTTTTTGAGAGAGGTTGGATGGAAAGAGACAAAAAGGAAGTTGGAGGGACAAAGGGACTCTCTTCTACTAAAAGAGATCTTCAGGGCCCTATGGGTATCCTACAGTTTTGTGGTCTGGGGCAAAAGGATGGAAGGACCACTCCTTGAAATCTGTAATAACGAGAGTCTACCTTTGGGATGAAGGAAGGATTAGCACAGAGGATCATTTAGTCCTTGTGAAATACATGGTGCTTTTTAGCTATTGAGATGGTACCAAGCTCTGAAACTTGGTATACCAAGATAATGGCAGCCAAAAAACCAGTAGCCCTCAATTGTTATTAAATCTGTTGGTAACAAAGCAACTTACAACCAAACCTTAAGAGCGATTATTGCTGGTTTGCTTTAATGGTTGTTTTTTGGAAGTTGTATTGGGCTGCTTTTTACAAGCTAAAGCAGGATGTGACATTTTAAAATAAACAAATGTATTAGTTGGGTTGCTATACCCGTTTCTCTTTCAGTAAAAGCAACTTGCGGTCCCTGATGACAAAGTAGCGCTCCTGAAACTTGTTGCCCAGGAGTTTGGGCAACTCCTCACGGCACTTCAGCAGACCACATTTGGGGCTCTCGCGTTTAGCACCTGCAAGGAAATGGGAACATTGGCGGAGAGGTTTACACTCAGCAAGGCACTGCTGCCTAACAATGTTCAGGGCGGTGGAATTATGGAGCCAGCACTCAGAGGCCAAATAACAGACAAGTCGTGGCTCCTTTCAGCTTTGAGATTCTGTGATGAATCTGAACGAAGCAGCCTTACACTGAGTCAAACCAGTGGCCCACCAAGCACAGTGCTCCACTTTGACCGGCAGAAACTCTCCAGGGTCTTGCACAGTGATCGTACTCATCATTTGCTACCTGAGATCCTTTAACTGGAGAAAGTGAGGATTGAACCTGGGGACTCTGGGTGAAAAGCATATGCTCTACTTCGGAGCTACAGTCCCTCCATAAAATAACTTTGTACAAATATCTGACCCCTTGAGACCAGCATTTTTTGTCTCTGATTGGCCACAACTCTGCAGAATTTCAAGTAGAATTTCTCAGTCCTGCTACCCTGGCTAAGAGCCCCAGACTCTAGCGCTATATTGCAAAAGTGAGCAGGGGCTGACTTGCTTGTTTCCAGGGCACCAACAAGCTGGGCTAAGTGAGAAGGGCATGCTCACTCACCTGTGAAGAGGCAGCTGCCTTCCCTAATGGGAACCTTCTTCACCAGCAAATAAGCAGAGCTGGGTTTGGTCAACTTACACCACTGCAGGGCCTGCTCCAAGACCTTCTCCTTGGGATGCAGGGGGCGCTCTGAAAAACAAGGGCCAGAAAGAGTCCAATGCATGTCCAGAGACCAGATTCAGGGAGCGGGAAGAGCATTCACAAAAATGATTGTTACCAGAGGGTCAAGGATTTTGTGCAAGTTTCATGTGTGTGGCATGAAAACCCTAGGAACATATTCTAAAGCTGTATTTTAATGTATTTATTGTTAAGCAAGTGGTGGGCCTTTTTAATGTAATTATTTTAATAAACAAATAAAAGAATGTCTTGGACACATCTGTGAAACTCTGAAAAACCTCTACAGCTCTCCTGGCACACAGACCTAATAGAAAGGTATCATCTGCTTACCTAGTTCCCCATTCTCTAAGACTTCAAAGGTAAGCCAGATGTCCAGGCTGGGTGCCACATTTCGCATCTCCAGCACCTGATTGGACAGCTCTTCTGCTCTCATTACGGGAGACACCTGCGAGGTGATGAGCAAGCACAATTCAGTCAGCCAACCAAGAGGCAGGAATGTCAGCATGTGGTCAAGTAAAGGTGCAGAGTCTGACATTAGAACATTATACACAAATCTTGCAATCAGTTAATGCATTTCAGCATAGAGTTGGAAATTGGCCATGAAGTACAAGGGCATTTCTATGTCTCTGTTAGAGCTGAGAGCCCCTCCATCCTGCCCAGGGGCAGCTCCGTGGTTCTGGCCACTCCAGTGGATTGCCTCACACAAGCAGCCTTTCATGGGCTGATCTCTCCACCTCTGTGAAAAAAGCCAGTGACCTGAGCCCCATATTACCCAATGACACCAAGGGACAGTGGCTGTTGAGAGGACTGTTGCTCACCTTAAGTGTGACACAGCAGTCAGGGTTCTTCTGCTCTAGGTAAACCTCAAGGATGATATCACCAGCCTGTGAGAGCTGTAGGGAGTAAGGTGAGGGGATAAATCTGTTTAGGCTACTTGCTTGGCAGGGGGTTGGACTCGATGGCCCTTGTGGTCTATTCCAACTCTATGATTCTATGATTCTAAAGGGATACCCTTGAAGATAGTGCAGAATGCAGATGTGAGGGTTCTGAGAGGTACACCCAGAGCTAACCACGCAACACAAGTCCTGCAGAAATTGCACTGGCTGCTGGTTTGCTACCTTGCCCAATTTAAGGTGTAAACTTTGGACTAGAATTCCCTAAATGACTTGGGGCCTAAATACCTGAAGGAGTACCTTTCCCAAGATCTGCAGAGTCTGTGGAGGAGACCCTTCTGGTGGTACAGCCAATGCGTGTGGGTTGTTGTGTGAGCATGTGGGACTTTTCTGTGACAAGATCTTAATGTTCAGCATTTCAGACCACCCACAAACATTAAGTATTATTTTTACTAGGCTACAGTGAAGATTTGTCTGGAGGGGATGCTAAACACACAGAATCAGGAGCCTTCATGAATCCTCATGGATCCAAGCCCTCGCATAATGTCTCTTGGGTTGCTGTGGTTGCCTACATATCTGCTGGGCAACATGCCAAAAGGATGGGCAAGCGAAACTGCAATACCTGGACATCTCTCCAGGTAGTAATCAAACTGTTCTCCAGGTCCATCTGCAACACCTGGTCTTCCTCTATCTACAGGGCAGGAGAAGCAATGCAGTTAGCATGGATGCAAAAAAGGCAAAGGCCTACTGTGAAGTAACAGGGAGAGCAGTTGGGTGAAGAGGCAGGCGACTCACATTGAAGATAGGAACATAGTTGTCAATCAGTTCCTCCATCACCTTGACTTCATGTTCCCCTGTTCCATCCGTTTGAAAGAGGCTGGGTGCAAAGAGCAGAGCTAGGTTTTTGGTGGTCATCTGGTTGAGGTCAGCACATTTCTGAACCCTGCGATATCAAATGAGAGAAGGCTGTGAGTACCTGCAGGAGTGAGCGGAGGCGCTTCCATGGCTGGCACTCTTCCAAGCAAGGGGCATTCTGGTAGCCATGTTTGCATATATCCACCAATCTGCCCCATGTGCAGACGTGGCCCCCTCTGCTGCTTCCCTTCTATCTCCTATATCTCTGATGTCCTTCCTCCACAAGTGGATCAGAAGGCTGCATGCAGTATCTTCTTTACTTTGACGCTTTCCCATCTCTCCCAACATCTTCCTTGAAGTCTGGAGAGCAGTATGAAATGGAGCATAACTTTCTCAATTTCTCCACTTCCAACATGTGAGTCAAACGGGTGGAGGAAGAAGGGGATGTTACTCAAAAGGTTAACTGCTTGATAGGACACAAACATATTTTTTGGGGGGGTATTTTTCAGTCCATGCACATTCCCCCCACCCCATTATGGACTGAATGAGTATGTTGGAAGGGAGAGTGGGAAGAACTGCATGGATTTTGTTAAGCAACTTTTAGGTGGTTCTCCGTGTCCTGATATCAACAGACCAATGCCACAGCACAGCATTCACTGAAGTTGGTAAGTAGAAGCTGGGCTGTCAAAGAAGAGCAGCCTGCAGAAGAACTGTGCACAGGATTGGTTTGCTAACTCTGGAAGAGGGAACTCAACTAGAAAGAGTTTCCATGTCCGCCACTCTTCCAGCCAGGGAAACCCTAGCGGCCTCTGATCTCTCCTCATGCACATCACCATTGTGCGTTGTGTCATCCAGGTGTGCCATCTTTTCTTAGGACTTAAAAGCAACCAGAGTGGTGAAGGGGGAAGGAATTTAGACGGGGACTGTGGAACTACAGGAGGGGGACTTAATCCTTCCTGGCACCATTTCCCTGATTTTAAATCCAGGGTCTGAAAGGTGTTTTCTGTTCTAAACAGAACACCTTCCACAGGAGCTCTGGGAAGCAAAGAGTGATATTTTTTGCAGAGGCCACTGAGGGCGAGTGTAGACTGACCGGTACAGGTGGCCAATCAGAGCAGCCAGGGTCCGGCCATTGAGGCGGGGCAAGCGGCTTATCAGCTCCTTGTATCGCTCCAATCTTTGGGACTTTTGGGAGATTGCTGAAAGGAAGCAGCATAGAATTAAACTTTGGTAAACATACACTCTAAATATTATATTATGTTCTGTTTTATTACTTTACTTACATTGATATCCCACCTTCCCTCCAAAAAGCATATGTGGTTCTATCCCTCCCTGTTTTATCCTCCAAACATCCCTAAGAGGCAGATTAGCCACAGAGGCAGAAAACTTCATGGCTGAGTGGAGATTTGAACCCTGGCCTCCCAGGTCAACATGTGCTGCTTCAGATGGTTTTTTATACATTCTTCTGCTTTAATTATATCAATAGATACTGGGCTGTATACAAGCAAGAAGAACACCAAAAAAGAAGGGAGCCTTTTCTGGCAATTGGGGAGATCTTTAGTATGCAACAGAGCTTGTCTTCCTGAGCAACCTGGTATAAGGAATGCTTGGCTGTGATTTTTTTTTTTTTTAAGTTTACTCTATTTTCCAAATCAGGTTGTCTATTTGGCCAATCTAGTTCAGTATCAACTATTTTGATTGGCACTGGCTTTCTTGAGTGACAAGACCAACTGCCGGTGATATTAACAACGGGATTAGCAATTCTGTTGTGTGGGGATTGTTATCCAGATCACAGCATGCAGGGAGGAAAGGTTTCCAGCTGTAGCCACAATCTCTGTGAAAGCCACCTGCCCAGCATGGCAAGTAGCATTAGGGGGAAAGTTCCCTTTAGAACCAAATGAAGCTTTCCCCCTAAGCTTTCTTGCTCTCTCTCTGTGTGTGTAAGAGGTGAATTTCATGGAGACTGCAGCCAGGGGCAGAGACTTAAAGCTCCCCTTCTCTCCTCTCTGCATGTTACAATCTTGACACCCCCATGCCCTGAAAAAGTTGGCATTTAATTTTTAAAAGCACATCAGTTTGTTAGGGTCACATGTAGGCAGACTCTCAGTTTTGTTTTTCTTAACATCATAGAATTCACGGGATATGGCACTGGAAGACAACTTCTTTTGTGGCTCGAATGTATCCCTGCAGTGAGCAAAGCTTTTTGTATGTAACTCCAAAAGTTGTCCCACTGCAGTTGGTATCTAAGGAGTGAAAGGAGGCTTCAGCTGCTGGCTGGCGTATAAAGGAATAGCAGCACAGGAAGGCTGGTACCTGCCGCCTCCTTCCACTGAGGGTGCAGGTATGTGGTAAAAACAGGATCCTCCAGCTCCCGGAAAAACCTCTTCAGCACGTCTGTCACATCCTCAATGAAATTGTCACTGATGCGCAGTTTCACGTTTCGAGCATCCCGTCGGAACTCCTCCATCAAAGTCTTGATTCGAGACTTAGCTCCATTCTTCCGATAAATGCCTTCATGCTGTAGCCCTGATGGAGGACAAGGGGAAATGAGAGAAAGGTAGTCCAGTGAAAAAAATGGCACCTAAGGGCTGTGTCTTTGCAGTTGTTATATGAAAAATCAGCAAGGAGATCCCAGGCAGGAAATGGGAAGGAAAAGTTGCAACTGATTTATATGCATTGTGCAAGAGTGGGACTCACATTACACACAATGCTCAGTTTTCTTTTACGCAAAGCAGCCACAGATGCTGCAATATTGAGTAGAAGACCAGCAAAGAGAAGATAATGAAGACTATATGACCCTTTCACTCCTCCCTTCAATCATTTTCAGGTAAAATTCCCCATGTTGTTTTTGGTGGTGGGCGGCCACTGATGCGTTGGCTCCCAGTAGAATATTGACTTTTGGCCGATGGGAAGAGCCCCTGAGGGACTCACCATACTGGGTGATGAAGGCAATGCAGCTGTTCACGATGATGGGGATGCCACTCCTGCTGAGCTGCTGGTCACGCAGAGCATTCCCTTGCCCCCCTGCTGAAGCCTGAATAGCTGCACACCATGTGGAGAAGTCCAGCCGTGATGCTCCTTGAAGACAGAATGTCCTAAAACAGAACACAGAATGAGTGCGACTGGTAGGCAAGGAGGGTGGCACTTAGAGTTTGGGCCAGACCTAGGAGTGCAAGAAGAGCCCTCCTGGACCAGACTAAAGGCCCATTTCAGTCCGGCATCCTGCTCTCGCAGCAGCCAACCAGATGCCTCTAAGGAAGTCCACAGGCAGGACATGAGTGCAATAGTGCTCTCCATGTCCAGCACGATGCCACTCTTTCTTACTTGGGGTTTTCTTCCTTCAAGTCCACTGTTCTCAGAACTACATACCCATCCCCCTGCCACACTCAAGCCTAATTCATTGGTTCCATCACAACCCTCTATTTTCTGGATATTACTCCCACCCCCTTATTACTAACACTCCTTTAATACTGTCCTCTTCAGCACAATAATTTAACACTGTTTCCTCCCCACTCCCCTGCTTGCCACTGACTCTTCTTTTTGGCGCAGAGTATAGTTGTTTTAAAACCAGACATATCCTATATCTTGCTCCTCTCTGCTTGCTGGATGCAGGGAAACTGGCAGAATAACAGGGAAAAGGGCAAAGCTATTCCCAGGCATGGATGCTGAGGTGGGGACAGCCAAGGCAGTGAGCTCTGTATCAGTTGTCAGGAACTCTGGGGACACACTTACCTTTCACCCTGCTCTTTCCAGGCACAGGTCATGCAATTTAATGCTCCATGTCCGAGCATGGGTTTTTTTTTTGGGGGGGGGGGCTGAGCTTTCCTTGCAAAAACCCGCTCTTTAAAGCTGAATCGGAGTGGATGTCAATTTGAGTTTTCTGCAGATTGCTGTTTGCTCCAGCTTTAAAGAGCGGGTTTTCACAGGGAAACTACTTCTGTGCAAAAAAAGGAGGGGTACTTGGACATGGAACTTTAAAGTGCAGGCCATGCCTGGAAAGCCCTCAGGCAATACAAGGGACCACAGGCCTTCTACCTGACCTTATGAAGGTGTTTGAACCACTCCCTGCTCAGGTGTAGCTTGAACTGGACTGGAACTGCTGCTGGATCAGCAGCGACTGTCAGCTATCTCCATTTTGTAGGAGTGGTGGATTTGTAGGAAGAGCAGGAGGAAGATGAAAGTGAGGACTCATAGCTCAGGGCCTGCTTCTTCCCCAAGAAGTGTCATGTCATCACTTACTGACGACACCAGTTACTGGTGACATTTGCTCCAGAATCAGTAGTTTTTAGGCACTTCCTTGCCTGTGGAGGTTTTGCAAGCTATCTTCCACCTCATTGGCTCTGAAATAGGAGCCAAGCAAGGTGGGCAAAACCAAGGCAAAACTCTGGATTGTCTTGCTGCTGTCAGCTCTTCTAATCACTCTGTAGCACTGGAAGGTCTACCTGCAGACAGGATAACAACCCCTGAGGGTGGGTTGAAGGGAGAAGGGCACACTCTGCATCTAGAATGCAGCCAGTTGGCTTTCTCCACCAGGAAGCTGCTGAAGGGGAAGAGAATGCTGCAGACTGACTCTGCCTTTCAAGGCAGGCCCAACTCCTAACATGCTCTTTTCTTGTTTCTGTCAGCCAGTCCCTGCTGCTGCTAACCACATCTTCCCAAGGAAAGCTGGGTTTTGCTCTGTTGAGCTATCTGAGGGCCCTTCCTCCTCACACATCTCACCGCCCCATCTCCACCAGGATCAGCATCTCTTTCTTCTCTGGATCATCAGCAAGGGGAACAACACCTACAAGGGGAGAAAAAGCAGTGGATAGGGAAATCAGAGAAGAGCTCCATGCAGAAGGGTGCAGCCCTATGCCTTCAGCTAAGCCTGAATGAGGCTTCCATTCCATGCCAGAAAAACTAAAAGCAATAAATTTATAACATCCGAAGGCTAGTGTTGGCATCTGGGCTGCTCTGAAAGTTGGGGGCTGCTCTCTCGTTTCTTAGGGCAGGGACTACTCACTGAGCTCCTGAAGCTGCCGCAGGTTGATGCTGTCCTCAGCCGCCCCCTCTTCTCCTGGGCAGATGAAGAGATGAGATTTCTGGAGGATGAAGAAACCTTGCAGCCACTGATTAGGATTCAACATTGACTTGTAGCAGAGTCTGCCCACCTTCTGGAACTCGTAGCCCAGCAGGCAGTGGCAGCTGAGAGGAGTGAACCACTGCAAAGGAATAAGAAAGCAGACCTGGAGAGGCAAGCCAAAAGGATAATGCACAGGCCCTGTAAAGGTTGGCCAGAGCATGCAAGCTGGATATTGGCCCATCAACCTCCTCTTTGAGGACAGGAATGGTATATGGTCAGGTCAGAAGGATACAGCCTCACTGGAAGACGGATGGGGCACAGGGCTGTGTGCAGATGAGTCTGGCATGAAACCAGAGCAGAGGAATCTACCACATAGCAATTGTTCCTTTCTCCAATGCCATGCTTTATGCTTTTAAAACTGTGTGAGACACTTCGGGACTCCTAAGTGCCAAGTGACTAATACTGAAATAAAGAATGACGGCAACAACAACAATAAATGGGACAAAGGTAGACAAAAGAGAGACCACATTCTGGACCTGGGCTTAGAGTGCCCTAATGAAGGAAGTTTGACTGGCTGTGTTAGGAGAAGGTGGTGGCTGTGCTTCGGAGGTGCATGAATAATCCAGTGTTTTGACACTTTTCATGGGATGCTACTGCTCCACACCATTACCTTGGCAAGGGCACTGGCCCAGGACTGCAAACTGTCTGGCCCATCAGTCCCCAGCTGCTGCACTCGCTCACTGTTCAGATACAGTTCCAGTGTGAAGTGGAACCTGTTTGAAGCAAATGATAGTGTCATAGAGAATGGCTGTCTGGGGAAGCAATTCCTACACTTTTACTCAGAGCCAGAACAGGCAAGAAACAAGGCCATAAAGCATGGGATAGCTTAGATCATGAAGCTCTTAATATCTCAGAATCGTGGGTCATGGGTTCGAGCCCCATGTTGGGCAAAAGATTCCTGCATTGCAGGGGTTGGACTAGATGATCCTTGTGGTGCCTTCCAGCTCTACAGTTCTATGATTCTGTGCTAAAATAGAGACGTCTTAGTGCTTTCGCCTCTGGTCGTTTCCCCAACACAAATTCTTCCCCAGCCTCACAGAACTGCTAGTGGGGATGCATTGGACTCTCCTTCATTGGAGGTTTTTGAGCAGACGTTGGATGGCCATCTGCCATGGGTGCTTTAGCTGAGATTCCTGCCTTGCAGGGGGGTTGGAGTAGATGACCCTCAAGTTCCCTTCCAACGTTACAATTCTATGATTCTCCCCAGCAAGGAAAATAGCAGTTTCGAGGACAATTTAGATTGGGAAAACGGTGCAGACAGAAGTTTGAACTCCTGTCCCAGAGCATCGTGGCCTCAATCCCATTTAGGAACTTTTTAAAGGAATAAGACAGAAATTTTGAGAAATGAAGTCCTGGATCTCCTCCATCTTGCAGGAGGTTAGTGCTCGGCCACACCTCAGACATGCCTCACATGAGAAAGAGTCACAACTGCTCACGCAAGGAGGAAACTGGTGTGATTCTGCCTTCCTCAGACTCCGAGGGCCAGTTCCCAGTAGTGGCTCCTTCTCATTCACCTCACAGAAACAAGTAGTGACAGAACTGGACCAAGGCCCTCCAAAGAGCACAGCCAGATTTTTTTTTTTGGGGGGGGAGGGAACAGCAGAAGAGGCACTGCCAACCTCTGTAAGGTTTTAGATATTTGCTGAAGCAACTTCATCCCAGAAGAGGTGAGTGACAGGGACGGCCAGCAGAGCTCATGGGAGGCTGTCCTGCCAAGCTACAGTCTTCTGAATCTGACTTTCCTTGACTTGTCCTCACTTTCTGATACTTTATGTGACCTTACCAGATGGGTCTTTATGCGATGTAACTTTTCTTAAATAAGCCACTCTGCTACTGCTTTCCCTGCAAACTCCTTGCCCTGGTAAAACAAGATATCAGGCAGGTGTACTGCTTTTTGACATTTCTTTTCTTTCCCATGATCTCACTTGAAAGCATTGGGTTAGACACCAATATTTCTTTCATATTTAAAAGAGAGATACCAACTGTTGCCATGTTTAAAATGCCCCCTTCCGCATTCTCTGCAATGAATAGTTAAGTCTATTTAAGGGAGTGGTGGGTTTTTTTTGGTAACCCTCTCCTGTGTATTTTCTTCAGTAAGGAGGTTACATTAGATGCTTTTTAACTTCTACAGGAGTCTCTGTGAGGGGTAGGTTTAAATGATTCCAGTGCTGTACAAATGTTGTACATGGTTTCCTCTGACATATGGAGTAATTATTTGGCCATATACATCTGAGACATGAATGATAGTAACTCATTTCATTGTAGTTACTGCAAGAGCAGCCACTAGGAAGAGGGCAAAGCACTGTGAAAACCAACAGTAGCACACAGGGCTGTCTTAAGCATATCCAGTGACGTGGTGCAGATCCCTCCAGTGCCCCCCCCAACTCCAAAACAAGGGAGAGGGCGGTGGAAAATGTCCCCTGCCTCCCCCACCGCCCCGATCCCCTGTGTGGCGGCGGCGATCAAGCAGGAAAATATGCTGGCGGACATGCTCTCCAGTGTCGGGGCACCCAAAAAGGCAGCCCGGGAAGGCTGTGCGCTGCCTTTCGCCAGGAAGCAGGAGGAAAATGACGACCGGGAGCAGGGCCATCTTTACAGGTGCAGAGGCTTGGGAGGGCAGCTTCCACCCTAAGCCTCTGCAGGGAGCTCTCCTCCTGTGGAGGCTTGGGAAGGAAGTTGCACGTCTGCCAGCCATATAGTTGGCGGGGCGCAGCTGGCGGGTGTGCAGGTAAAGGGGAGGCTGCCAGCAAAGCCACACAGCTCCCCCACTCGCTAGGGCACCCCTGAGAGGCCGGCACCCTGGCGCAATGAACCACTAAGACCAATGGGAACGACGGCTCTGGTAGCACATGAATGACAAGAAGTAGCATGAAACATCCGGTGGCTGCCAGGGAGAGCAACTGTGTGGCATCACCACTAGCAACACACCACACAGATGTGACCTGACTTCTGTCATGATTCATTTTAGGGACAGCTTTCAGAGGGAAGGGGACAAGAGCTGAATATGTCATATTCTCACATACCTTTCTGAGGAAATAGGACTAACCACCCCATCTGTTCTGTTCACACCCAGTGAAATCACATCCGCCATTTCTATCTTCCCCACGGGCTCGGAGCTCCTGTCAGTCTCATAGAAGAGGAAAAACTTCTCCAGTGAGCACCAGACTCTCTGAAAGTCTACATGAGAGAGAGAGAGAGCATTGGCCAAAGGCCTTCATTTGACCCACAGGTTGTGGGGCCTACCCTTTCCTCACACTTACCCTCTCTGCTCTTCTTGGTGGCAGCCATTTTTGTCACAACTGGGGCCTTGTACAAGTAGCCTTGGTGTACCACAGGTTGTGTAATCTCATTGTAGACTCCTTCTGAGCTCAATTCCTCCACACTGACATTGCCTATCAAATGCACAAAATTCATTTGTGTATCCTGTTTGAGGAATGCCCATACATTGTCACCGAACACACATCTACAGAATATTCTGTGAATGAGGCAGGCAAGTAGGAAGTGCAAAGATCACGTTCTGTAGAACTGAGTGGAAGTTCAATAGCTGACAAACGTGAAACCTTCTGTACAAATAATTTCATTTAAAAATAATAGCTTGTCTTTGCTCAAAACCAGCTTTCATGCTCCTGTTGTTTGCTTCAAATTCCAAGGAGTAGTTTTGGAAAAAGGAAACTGATGTTTTTGTAGAAGGTTGTGATGGTAAAATTAAACACACTTACTGGACTTTTTATGAGCTGATACCAAGAAACAAGTACATAGCAACAAAATTTAGGAGTGTCCGCTGGGAAAGATGTGATGCGATTAAATGGATAAAATGCTTATCCTCTTGCATAAACACACACACAGAGAGACATGTCTGAGGTTACCTGCGCAGTTGCCTTGCTGGTCCTGCCCATTGTTGCCCCAGGGCTTGGCTTTAGAAACAAACCCGCAACCTCCTGCCTCAGTTTCCTTGGTGGTTGCAAAGAACTGCAACATTTTCTTCAGAAGTCCAGGCCCAGACACAGCCACACACAGAGCCTGAGAAAATAAAAGTAGTCAGTGGAGCTGCTCCAGGTAGCCAACTTGCTACAGCAGCTTCAGATGCTGCAGTCTGAATCTCTGGGAAAGGCAGCTCAACAGCCCTCCGGATAACAGTAATGGCTTCCCACCTCCTGCCTGTGTGGGGCAGTGCACTGAAATTCACATGTGGGAATTGCAGCCCCTTCATAGCTCCATCGTATCCTCAGGATGGGTTTCCAAATACATAACAACTTACATCATGGCCTTACCTGCAAAATATTTTCCTGACTGCTGTACTGTGGGTGTGGCATGCGGTAGCGCCCATAGCGGTACTTGCGAGTGATGAATTCTCGCCTCTGCTCAGCACTGGCCTCGGGGTGCAAGGCCTCAGAAGGTGGGAGGTGCGCTGCCCAAAACCTGTTCACTTGCTCGTTCCCCAACATGATGAATAGCTTTAAGAAAGAGGGTTGGGGTGACATTCAGCTTGGAGGAAGAGCACACTCCAGATCCCCAGAGGGGGTCAAAGAAGAAGAGCACCTTAAGCTAGTCAAGAATCTCAAGTTAATACTAGATCTGTCCATCCTTCCTTTCCACAACTGTGCTCTGCATTTTTACAGATCTAGCCCCTTCTAGATCTGTAGATCCCTACTAGCGGGTGGCGCTGTGGGTTAAAGCACTGAGCCTAGGGCTTGCCGATCAGAAGGTCGGTGGTTCGAATCCCCGCGACAGGGTGAGCTCCCGTTGCTAAGTCCCAGCTCCTGCCAACCTAGCAGTTTGAAAGCACGTCAAAGTGCAAGCAGATAAATAGGGACCACTCCTGTGGGAAGGTAAACGGCGTTTCTGTGCACTGCTCTGGTTCGCTAGAAGCGGCTTAGTCATGCTGGTCACCTTACCCGGAAGCTGTACGCCGGCTCCCTCAGCCAATAAAGTGAGATGAGCGCCGCAATCCCAGAGTCGTCCGAGACTGGACCTAATGGTCAGGGGTCCTTTTACCCTTTACCTAGTCCCTACCATTATTATTTTTTTCCAGTTTCTGGACCCTCAAGGAAAGGCTTATTACCTGAACCATCTCATTGCTCCAGATGCTTGTGTCCAGCTTCAGACTCTGCACCTTTGAAATGCTCGAGCCCAGGCTCCGGTGTTGACCTGTGGAAGCAGGGAGGCTATAAAAGCATAAACTTCATATGACACACATGCGATGCAGCTGCAGGTGGCACAGAGGGCCAGTCTCACATCCAAGTCCAAAGTAGCCGCATCTGCATGCGAGGCCGTGAGAGAAGCTCTTGAGCTCCAGCCTCAGGCAGAGCTGCTCATTAGCTTCAGTATAAAGCACTTAAAACTTGGTTGAGTGGGTGATTGGAAGCTGCTCTGGCCTCAGTCACACTGTCAGAGACACTAAATCTGTTGTAGCTTAGGTTGTGGGACTCACATTTTGGTACTGCTTCCCGTTCCAGAATGCCTAGTCCCAGCCTGCCACCAAAGGTATGGAGCGGCCTTCTCCTCCATCTCTCCTCCTGCATATCCTCATAACGAAGACATCCTCATCCACTCTCTCATCCACACCATCTTACAGAGGGGAAGGTCACAACAACACACAGATCCACTTGCCTGCACACTGCTTGCAGATCACCACACACAAGTTGACGGAAGCCCAGTCCGGGCTCAAGGTGCGACAATCGGCACAGAACCTGTTGGCTTTGTTGGACCAGATCTTCTCAGCCACCTCATAGTCATAGAGTGTCTCAGCAATGGAGTTCTGCAGGGCCTCCATCCACTCCTTCTTCTCTCGCTCAGACTCTGCTCCAAAACTAAGGGAACACAGATCTAACACTGCAGGTTCTGTCTTCCCAGAAAATACTCTGCAGTGCCACAAACATTCTGCTTGCAACACCCAGAGCCCAAATGGGCTGCTTCTTCTGCTCCAGACACAGCCAAGGATGACATTAAATAAACTGCAGTCCCTCTGCAGTTTCTCTCAAACCCTCCCCATGTCCTGAGAGAACAAAACCCTGCCCTTTTCAGATACCTGAGCAGGTGGGGTGCTGGCATCAGGTTTGGGGGAGCTCTTGGACACAGGATTGCCTACCTTCCATCATGCCTCCATCTCCAGCCACCACAAACATTTTCAGGGCTCTGATGGAGGGAGTGAAGCATGATGGAGCTGGTACTAGCAGGGAACTTTGCAGCAAGCTCATTTTTCCTGGAAAGAGTAAAGTAGCAATGCCCTCATGCTCCTTGGAGCACAAGAAAACTGCTGCTATTATCCTTCCTTCCACGTGTCCTTGCTCTCAGTGGAAACCTTTGTGTTTGCCTGAGGCCCCTGCCAAGAGAGCTTCTGCAACAAGTTCCTATTCCTAGAGGGATATGCCCTTGGAGGAAGTGAGGCAGGAAACCTCCCCCTCTGGGAAGCCCATGAGGCTGGCTGCTGTGCTCCTTCCAGGTGTCACAAGGAAGGAAAGCTCGCCCAGATGCCCTAGCAATGTTGTCTATGGGGCAAGTTGCCATTTTCTCATGCGTGGAGCACCTAGCAGCGATGGAGCAAGACTTCCTTGTGCTCCAATGGCTAAGAAGCGTGGAAGAGTCATTGCTCAATGCCTTGTGGTGCTGCAGGGCTCTCTGGGGACAATCTTCCATTTTTCAATGGAAGGTATACATGGAGGAGGCAGTGGGGTGCACAGCTCTCTTGCACTCTTCTTTGTTCTGCTACTGCCAGGCACCTCTATGTAGAAATGAGAGACTAGCCCAGCTTCTAGGATGAGCAGTGGATCTTGCTGGGCTGTTGGTCTGGCAGGAGCTCAGCCTTGCCAGTGCTTAATGCTGGTTCTACCCAGCATGCAATTCTTCACCACGTGGATGGCCCACTTTGTAACACCAATGTGTCTTACCTGAAGATTTTGAATGGGGTGATGAGCTCAAAGGTGCGGCCTTTGGCTTCTCGTATAGTGGCACCATGCATCTCAATGAGGCAGATGGCAATGCCCATTTTAAAGAACTGTGGGTGAAATTGGTACAATAATAATCAGACTTCAGCTTATAGCCACAGTGATGTTCCCATTACAGAGTTACAGCTCTATCCCTGACAAAAACAAAGGCCATAAAAAGTAGCCAAAACATGATTCCTTCCATTTCTATTGTTTAAAAATACTGGCTGCTAACTTGTTCTTCCAACAGCTTTAAATCTTCAGTTAAATCCTCAGTGCTGACATCATCCCAATCCCATTACCAGACACAATACTATTTATTCTACTAATGGAGAAGCAAGGGGCCTTCTCCTTCCAGTTCTGCCCAAGGAAAGCCCTCAAAGCCAAAAGGTCACCTCTTCCCCCAGTTTATCAAGTCTGAGGAGCAGAAAAAACATAGAGTGGCCCCAGGTTGCTCCTCTGAACTCCTACGTTAGGCACAGCACCAAAAAATCTGTTTCAAAAGTATTTGGGGAGGTTCAGAAAGTTCTCTAGACTGGGCTTCTGACTGCTGAAAGGCTCTGGCGCTCACCTGTTCACTTTTGTATAACCACATCTCAGCCAGGACAAGCACCACATACAGCTTGGATTTGTAGCCTTTGAGCTCCAGGTGCCCAGATTTTTGGAGATGAGTGGTGCCACTGAGGCACGGCCGGGGACACAGCAGCCGCTGCTCAGCCACTCTCTGCTGCAAGGCGCTACACCACTCATTCCGCTGAGCTGCAGGGGCAATTGCCAAAGGCCAGAGTAAAGTTTCAGTAGGAACTGACACACGCAGCACAAACAAAAACAACAACAGCAGCAACAATTTCTACCCTGCCCATCTGGCTGGGTTTCCCCAGTCACTCTGGGAGGCTTTCAACAGAACATTCAGAACAGAATAAAACTTCAAACATTAAAAACTTCCCTGAATAGGGCTGCCTTCAGATGTCTTCTAAAAGTTGGATAGTTGTTTATTTTCTTGACATCTGATGGGAGGGCGTTCCACAGGGTGGGTGCCACTGTCTGGTTCCCTGTAATCTCACTTTTCACAGTGAGGGAACCACCAAAAGGCCCTCAGTGCTGGACCTCAGTGTCCAGGCAGAACGATGGGGGTGGAGATGCTCCTTCAGGTATACTGGGCTGAGGCCATTTAGGGCTTTAAAGGTCAACACCAACACTTTGAATTGTGCTCGGAAATGTACTGGGAGCCAATGTAGGTCTTTAAGGACTGGTGTAATATGGTCTCAACGGCCACTCCCAGTCACCAGTCTGGCTGCCGCATTCTGGATTAGTTGTACTTTCTGGGTCACCTTCAAAGGTAGCCCCACATAGAGCGCGTTGAAGTAATCCAAGAGGGAGATAACTAGAGCATGCACCACTCTGGCAAGACAGTCCGCGGGCAGATAGGGTCTCAGCCTGTGTACCAGATGGAGCTGGTAGACAGCTGCCCTGGACACAGAATTGACCTGCACCTCCATGGACAGCTGTGAGTCCAAAATGACTCACCTGGTTCTTCAGGGGCCCAGTTATCTCATTCAGGACCAGGGAGTCCCCCACACCTGCCCGCCCCCTGTCCCCCCAAAAAATACTTCTGTCTTGTCAGGATTCAACCTCAATCTGTTAGCCACCATCCATCCTCCAACTGCCTCCAGGCACTCACACAGGACCTTCACTGCCTTCACTGATTCCAATTTGAAAGAGAGGTAGAGCTGGGTATCATCCGCATACTGATGAACACCCAGCCCAAACCCCCTGATGATCTCTCCCAGGGCTGCATGTAGATGTTGAAAAGCATGGGGGAGAGGACAGAACCCTGAGGCACCCCGAAAGTGAGAGCCCAGGGGTCTGAATGAATGAATCATGGAAAGCATCCAACCTCTGCTTAAAAACCTTCAAGGAACTAGTGTCTCCACCTCCTGAGGGAGTCCCTTCCATTGTCAGACAGCTCTTGCTACAGCTACAGGCCGCTCTCCTTCTCTCAACCAAGTCAAGTGAAAAGGGCAAAGTGTGGGCAGTGAACAGGATCACAAGGGGTGTGTGTCTGTATACGAATATTTGAAACAGATAAAAATAAGAGAGCGGGTGCTCTCTGCTGGGGTTCAAGATGGGATTTCTCACCCTCATTTTCAGCTCTGAAGACAAAGATCCTGTGTTTCGTGACAACTTGGAATTTGTTGTCCTTGGTGGAGCGCACCACATCAATGACAGAGAGGGGAACCAAACCTTTAGGATATGGCTCCTGCAAGAGAAAGGGAGCTCAGTGTTGCCGTTTCCCCAATCTAGTTATATCTTATGCTGATCTGGTTTTCCCTCCCCATCCGGAAGGCAAAAAAACAAAACAAACCAGCTTGGCAACCGGGCTCTTGAAAATAAACAGATGGGTCAAAGGCTCATGCATGGGATGTTGGGGCCCTAAATGGATGGTTGTCTCCCAGTGACTCCTCCCACAGCCATGTCTCCTCCACATGCACAGAAAGGCCCACCCTTCCTCAACTGAGCCAGGACCTCCCATTGTCTTCTCCCTTTGGTCCCCCACTCGGGTCTCCCTGAGCACACCCCCCCCCCCAAATGTGCAGCGTTTAGCAGCCAGAGATTCTCTTCTTCTGGTCCCACCTTTTCATTGTTGAAATACATGAGACTTTTCCCGTCAAATCTGACAAAGCGTCGCTGGAAGACGTAGTTCCTGATGGGAATAAAAGGAGAGCCGGCTGAGTCCAGGGCCCTTTATCAGGAGCACCTCTCTGCACTGCTAGAGCTTATGAAAGGCCTGACTCTGGTACCAGCAGGGCTCAGTCCTAGAACTGATTTTAATTGCTTAGTGCAAAAAGATTTCAGCTCTTGAGCAGAAAGCCTCTCAGCTAAGGCTGAAGAGTAAAGGCTATTTAATGGACTAATTGTATGCCTTTCAGCTGTTCAATAAATGTGCTTATTACCAAAACCTCAATATATGTGCCTTTCAGAGATAATCTGAACACCTAAAGCCATGTTGCTTGGAAACACATGTGACACCCCCCCCCATGGTCATCTTCAATGCAATTTGGAGGCAATTTGGAGTACAGAATCAGAGAAAGAGTAAGAACAACAACAACAAAAGCCTCAAATACCCCAAAACAAGTTACGTTCCTAATTGGCACTTCATTAAAAATTGCCCTTGCTGATCAATCCACCAAAGACTAAGTCGATCTGTTTACTGATTAAATACTCTGCACATGTGCAGATTGCATTTCCTTCACAGAGTGATGCAGCCTACTCTCACACATCAGGGCTTAGAGAAGGACCTCCTGCCCTTCACTTCTGGGTGTGTATAAATCTCAGCATTTCTTCTTCCTGTCCAGGACCTTCTTTCTCTTTACCAAAACAGAACTATCAGTTTTCTGGCAGAGATGTAATTATTGTTTTTGTGTTTGTAGTTACTTCAGCTTGCGTGATTTCTGATGCTTAAATTGTGTGCACCGCTCTAGGCAGTTTATTGGGAAAGAGGCAAATAAATGATTGCAAGTAAGCAAAGAGCCTGTTTCCACACAGGTTTTAACTTGGCCCATTTCCCTTGCCACTTACCCCTGTGGAGACAGCTTGTCCAGCCAGCCGTTGAGCACAGTGACCGAGCGCTCTGACAGCGAGGTATAGCTGGCATAGGGGGAGATGGTTAGGTCCTCTGAAGTCTCATCAGGATACAAGTGGTCAGAGAGTCTGAATGGGGAGCCTTTGGCCCACAGAGCCTCCACTGAAGAGTATCCCTTTGTCTCATTCTGGGCAATGCGGACTGGCTGCATGGACTGGCTCTTTTCTTCTATCTTGGTATTTCTGCTCCTGAAAGAAAGATGTCAGGTCTGTTTCTTGAAGCATGGACAGCCCTTCAGCTATAGAACCAGTTCCGTTCTCTCCCACAGCAGCTGGTAGCAAGAAGGGCAATCCTGTTCCTTTCAAAATGCCCTTTAGAGGAGCAATGAAGACAGAAGATCAGGAAACAGGAACACCAGCCCCTGCCAGCCCCATTCCTCTGTCCTGCTCTCCTCACTGAAACTGACAAGCAGAGGGGGAGTTAGAGTACAGTTAGGGCTTATGCACACTTCCTTTGGTCCCACTGCTTCCCCCTGGGGAAAACCATTCTTTAGCGCTCAACTGGAGCAAATGGAAATCAGATATTCTGCAGATTGCCATTTGTTCTGATTCAAAGGTAAAGAGCAAGTTTTCCCTGGGAAAGGAGTGGGGCAAGGGGAAAACCACTCAGGCTCGTACCTAGAAAGTGCGGGTCAAGCAAAAAACTGCCCAGAGCCTTGCTTTCTAGGAACAGGACAAGCGGAAGTGTGGACAAGCCCTGAGTGATGGCCTGTGAGTCCCTCTCTGCTTCACGTGAAAGATGGGCAACCACTAGTAGTGCTGAACCAGATCATCACTCGGTGGAAGCCCATGCCCATACTTACTCTGCACTGCCTAGTCTGGTGAACTTCTTTGCAGACTGCACCAATGAGATGTCATCTTCTGAGATATTTCCCAGTGTGTCCCTGCCCCCCTTTCGGCTTATTTTTAACACTGGTGAAAAAGAGTTGAGAAGTAGGGAAAGAATAGTAGCTAAAACCACTTACACGGGCCTTTCTTCTCCCTGGTTTGGTGCACATTCTGGCAACTCTTCGTATTCCTGCCACTCAAGGGATCCTGCAGCCTGGAAGAAGATTCTCATAGAATGTTTAGGAGACAAAGGTAGTTCTTGTTTCCTTTTCTTTTCTTTGCCTGCTGAAAGACAAGCTCCAGAACTCTATGCCCTGTGTACAAATTGATGCACACCAAGATGCCAGGTTGGATCAGATCAAAAGACCAATCTAACCTAGTTTTAAGTTTCCAGCAGTGGCTACCCAGACACCTTGAGAAAGCTCACAATCAGGGCAGGAAGGTATTGGCCACCTTTGGCTGTCTGTCAGGAGTGCTAAGCTGTGCCTCCAGCTGCGCTAGACCTTATGTGCTTTTGGACATAAGCTCCATTATTACAGAACTTTGGGAGCCTCCAGAGAATGTCCTTCCACGGGAAACCAAATCCCGGTTAAGTGCTGTGTGCCTGGAGCATCTCATTGCTCAGAAAAGTGGGGGTGAACATAGAAAGTGGGGTGCCATAGTAGGCCTCTGGCATCCCCCTAAGCACTTCTGAGGTGTAATGAGCAGCTGCTTCGATCATGGCTGATGTTGTTGTGCTTGTTATTAATCATCTTCTAAGCCACCATCTCAAGGCAATTTACACGCAGGATAATTAAAAACAGTTCAAAACAAAGAAGCAAATACATTTTAAACAAGACTAAAACCTTGCGGCCCATTTGTCCAGCTGAGATAACCTGTTGGAACAAAAATGTATTCAACTGCTTCTCGAAAGTGCAGATCACGGGTGCCTGTTGCATCACAACAGGAATGCTGTTCCACAGGACAGAGGCTGCCACACTAAAATCCCCGCTTGGAGTTACTGTGGAGTGGGCTTCTGAGATCTCTGGAACTTGCAGGAGAAACTCTCCTGTGATCTACTGGGTGTATAAGGGATAAGGTGGACTCTTGAATTAGCAGAACTGTGCCTGAGCAGGAATCAATGCAAAGCATTCTCATTGGCTTTCACACTCCTTGCCCCTTACTCCATATTTGCATATCTCCTCACCTGCTCCTGGGCAGGCCACCATTGCCCAAACATGCTCTCGCAGTAGGGACTGATGGAGTCCTCAACAGGTCCTGTGGGGAAACAAAAGCTGAAATGTCAGGAGGGTTGAAGTGGCAGAAAGAAAAGCCCTCACTGGTCTCTTGTCTCTCAAGAGGGCCAAAACAGATGAGATGCAGGAGATTTTTGGATCCCACATGTTTGTTTCTACCTGGGTGGAATCTACACACATATTAAAAAACGTGAAAATGCTTTTTTAAAAAACATTTTGAAAAATACGCCATCTAGTGTCACATTTGTATAATGCACTTTACAACATACTTAAAATGTTTTTATTTGCAGCTGTATAGCTGAGTCCCCTGAATAAAAAGGGCCCTTCCCCCAATCTTAATCCACCCTCCAACTGCTATTTGTCTCACAGTGCAAAACACACACATGTAGCAGCTTTGACAGTGGGGATTTATATTCTTCCTTCTTCACTGCTGCTGTTCCAAACAAATTCAGAGTCTCTTGTGTCTTGTCTGTTCTGGGCCTTGCGTTTAGCATTTCTCAGGTGGGCTCTGAACTCCTAGACTCCTGTGCCCATGCAGGGTAAACACAGCCAGTTTCCCTAGGAAGTGTGCATAGACCCTGTACAGCTTTCAGATTTAGGAGCATATGGAACCCAAACAAACATTGACTCTCACAGTGTCCATCCCCCTCATTGGCTCCTATGTCTGATGTGGTTCTAGTTCTTCCCATGTAGCAATAGCTAAGTGGACAAAAGATGCTGTTGTCACTCTCACCTGATCTGTTATCAAGTCCCTGTGGAGGATGATCTAGGCAGAGCTGTCCCAAGGACCTGCAAGAATGGAGCAGAGATATAAATCCAGGAGGGATGCCATGTTACAGACCTCCACTTTGCTCACAGGCACTCCTGGATTATTCATCCTTTTCATCCTACCACCTAGCCAAGTAGCCAGGCATCATATTCAAAACTATCGCACCTGCCAACCACCTCCACAGCAACACTCCCTCTACTCTACAGCCAGCCATGTAGTTTGTGGTTTTATTCGTTTATATCAGGGATATGTCAACCATTTTGGCTCCATGTACCAGAACCTCATAAGGATTTGCCTCGCAGGACAAAAGTGACAGGGTGGATGGGTCTGCCCATCAAGTGACATCACAAATGACGTCTGGTGCTTTGAAGTCCCGGAGTCAGAACTTCAAAGCACCTTGAAGGCAGTAATGCAAGGATAATAGTTTGGTTTTCACCTCCCTTTTAGGAGTGCATTGCTGATTGTGAGGTGCTTTGAATTCTAAAGCCCAGCCAAGCTGAGTATGTTTGGGTGGGTAAGAGGGCCCTCAGGGATCTCAGCACACCTAACTCAGGCTGGATTGATCTCCATTCACACCAGCTAATTTGTGTGTGTGTGTGTTCTATCCTGTTTAGCGCTGGACAGCGCAGGGCTGCTTCAAAGAGCAGCACTTGGAGGATGAAAACACTTCTCTCTCCAAATACTGTTCTTTGAAGCACACGCAGCCAAAGCAACCAGTAACGGAAGCTGCTTTCCCCGCCTTGAACAAGGCAGGCTATTGCCACGCGTCTTCTGACAGGCGGGTGGTAGTGAGGCTTGCTCTGATGGAGGAACCATCGGGAGACCACTTCAAGCTCCCAATTTATGTATAATGCCGGGTGCAAGGTGGGGGTGGGGGTGGGAGAGCATAGCTTCTCCAAAATGTCCTAGAGCAGGCTTCCTCAACCTTGGCCCTCCAGATGTTTTGAGACTACAATTCCCATCATCCCTGACCACTGGTCCTGCTAGCTAAGGTTCATGGGAGTTGTAGGCCAAAAACATCTGGAGGGCCGAGGTTGAGGAAGCCTATCCTAGAGGGTCAAATGGGGAAGTCTGGAGGCCAAGCTGGCCCCATGGGTCAGGGGTTCCCCACCCCTGAATTTTATGCTGCTGTAATCAGACAAAGTGCTTAACACAATATATCACTAATGTGTGTGTCTGTGTGTGCTCCATCTTTCAGAGTGCACTGCTCTCATACAGCAAATAATAATAATAATAATAATAATATTTTTTTATTTCTATCCCGCCCATTTGGCTGGGTTTCCCCAGTCACTCTGAGCAGCTCCCAACAGAATATATATATATGCGATAAAACATCAAACATTAAAAACTTCCCTAAACAGGGCTACCTTCAGCTGTCTTCTAAAAGTCAGATAGTTGTTTATTTCCTTGACATTTGATGGGAGGGCGTTCCACAGGGCAGGCGCCTCTACTAAGAAGGTCTTCTGCCTGGTTTCCTGTAAGCTCACTTCTCACAGGGAGAGAACCGCCAGAAGGCCCTCAGCGCTGGACCTCAGCGTCTGGGCAGAATGATAGGGGTGGAGAATCTCCTTCGGGTATACTGGGCCGAGGCCATTTAGGGCTTTCAAGGTCAGCACCAACACTTTGGCTCCCAGTACGTTTCCGAGCACAATTTAATGTAGGTCTTTCAGGACTGGGGTTATATGTTCTTGGCAGCCATTCCCAGTCACCAGTCTAGCTGCAGCATTCTGGATTTGTCATGGTCACTGTTAAGTTTGACCTCTTTCTCATTTTATGTATTAACTTTATTTAAGACTTTGCCTGGAACTGGCTGACAGTGTAGCAGGGTTTCATTTTAGATTTTTAGGAGTGAAGCTGTCCTCAAGAGTCAGCACCACTGAACCAGGCCTGGCAACCACATTCATGAGAAGTGTGAAGCCCTGCAGTGTGAACTTGCAAGTAAACCCCTAAAACTCTAAAACTCACTGCACCTCTTAAAGGACATTTGTAACAACCCCACCTGACCCTGATCCCTAGAGCTGCCCTGGCATGCCTCAAACTGACTGTGGAGCAAAAGGTCAGTGTTTTTGTTTTCAGGATGCGAATTAGCCTAGGTTCCATGCCATCCTATCACCCAACATGAGGGCTATATGGGACCAGCTTCCCTTGGCATACTAGGTAGTGCAGTTGTGGGACGCTGTTCCTCAGGAATGCACAAATGCATTCTCAGAGCCATGAAAAGGCCTTTGTTCCAGCCCACATACTCCCTAGCCTTGTGCATCACTTAAGGCAGGCAGGCTGGCTGGCTGCAAGGTCCAGCAGGGATCCAGTCACCAGCTCCAAAGGACTGGAGTGCAGAACTAATTATCTGCAACTGCCACAACCAAATGACCCCACTCCTATTTTACCTGAGACCTTTCTGTTGGTTTCCTGAAAGAGCACTGCTAGGAAAGGCATAAATACTCACTTGGCATTCTCCACGGTCACAGTCCCATTTTGCTTGACCAGGTCAGAAGGCTGACTCCTCACAGTTTCCTTCGCCTCCATGCGTTTCACTGGCAAGGGCACAGTGACATCTGACACAGACTCTTTCTGCTCCTCTGGGGAGGCTGACTTGGTGAGGGCAGAAGGAAGCAGCAAGGGCTCTTTCTGCACTTGGCCGGCAGTTGGCCTCGACTCCGTTGGACTGACGGTGTCCTCAGGCTGGCTCTTGAAGGTGGATGAGGAGGTGAGTTCATGCACACTCCTGACCTCCCCACTCATGCCACTCTCAGGAGCAAAACACTGCAGAGCATATTCCAAGTGGCCCTCCCTTGGTCTACTCTGAGGTGGCAGGGTGACCCCTTGGACTTTGTCTCCTGGCCCTGCCTGGTGCTTTGGACTGAACTCAAGCCTCTCAGCATCCGTGGTACTTTCCCCTGGATCAAATCCCTCCAGAATAATAAACGTTCTTAGAGGTTGTTCAGAGCAAGACGTGGGATTGCAGACTGGTGTTTGTGCCAATGAGACTTTCTCTGGCTTGGCTGCTTGGTGCGCGCGAGGAAACAACGTCCTAGGTTTGGGCACTGGCTTGGTCACAGGAGGCGTCGGTTCCTTGTTCAACCGTGGATGCTGACTGTTGTCTTCAGGGTCAAGATCAACCCCAAGGCTGGGAATAGTTTCCACTAAGACTTCTTTCTTTGTGCCCACTTCATTCTTCTCTGCCGCATTAGTCCCATCCAGAGAATCTAAACACTTGCCAGATCTGTAACGAGCATCTCCTGCCATGTGCCCACTTCTGTCCCTCACAAGCAGTCGAGTTTGTTGCACTAAATTCAGAATCCTTTTGCAGTGCCCAGTAGCGGTGATGCCAAGCTTCTGCAGGTCCTCCTTACTGAGAGAGATCACATCTTTCACGGAGCCATATCCATGTTTCTTGAAGGTATCCCAGTATCTCTCCAGATGGATGAGGGCCAGCCAGTCTGCAATGTCAGAGTCCACAGAGCACTGGTGGTGCATGTCCCCTTGGCAAGGAAGGAGAGAGCTTTTTTCAGCCTACCACCTGAGGGAAAGGGAAAAAAGCAATTAAAAACCTGGCACAGGAAGGCAGCAGAACATCTCTCCTGGAACTGGGAGGAATGGAGAAGAACTAAGTGTATGGGAATCCTTGGCTTGCCTCATGCACCCCCACCCTTGTGTCCCATTTGTGCAGATAAAAAGGCTCAGGAGTTCATATACCTTGAGATTAATTCAGCAGCATAAAATTGTCCTTCCTGTAGCCTGGCTTCCTTGGTGCTCATGCCTTTCATGCTAAAAGTTCGCGTAAACAAAAGCTCCCAGAGAACAGCAATGGTCTCACATGGAAACCCCCCCCCTTTCTCAGGAAGATGGGGCTGACAGACTTCTGTCACACAAAACTTGGCTCTGCACAGAGTCCTGACATTGGGCTGATATGCAGTCTCTGTAGGTCCTGAGAAGTCAGCCCTTGCTTGCTCTTGTGCTGTCTCTGTGAGAGTGCCAGCAGAGCATTCAGAACCCTGTCCTCTGTGCAGGAAGATGCAGGCCCATCCCAGAGTGAAACAACTGGATTGTGGCTGGAGTGAGATTCTGCCGGGGTGACCAATATGGGGAGGGGTTTGTGACTGGAAAGGCACTGCTGTAATCTGCCTGACTGCTGGCTGAGGGCATGAGAGAGGTCACCAAACTGTGAGTCACACACAGCAAGGACCTCCTTCACACAGTCCGTCTGCCAGCAACTAAGACAGCATCCAGCCTGCTAGGCAGACTCAGGATGGGAGGGTCGTCCCCCCCACTGTTTTGCAGAAGCCCTTCCTGCTATGCTATCGGCTCAGAAATCTCTCTGGTTTCTCCAAATAGATGGAGACCAATGACTTTCCTTTGCGCGTGCTGGTCTTTACAAAAATTCAGTCTAAATCTGGAACTGGCAAGTCTCACTCCTGGGCAATCCGCACTCCTGATTAATCATCGTTCTTGCAAAATGAATTAAAATAATATATTTATTACTTATTTCCCTGACTCCCAAGTCTTGTGTTCATTTGATTTCCCTTAGTTGTTTAATTCAGTTTCACATTACAGTATGGTGCTATGTAGAAGGTGGAATATGGGATCTTTGCCATGGCTTATTCTGGAAGGGCAGATGTCTCAGACCACAAGATGCACCAATAGGGGATCCTAACCAGTCAGATCCTAACCAAATGTTACATGCAAAGGGGTGCAACGAAAGCACAACAGCTGCTTTTCCCTAGGAGGGAAGCTGTGGGAAGAGAAGATTTGGAGTGGAGAAGTGGCTGACGCAGTGGGGGATGGGATGCCTATTTCTCCACTCACATTTTTTTCTGCACAAAACCAACCCCAGCTGCTCCCCCTGGGTCCCATATTCATTTCTAAAATGTTATATGCCACTATTATACCAGGTTTTTCATCCCCACCCTCATCCCAAACCTTTGAGACAGCATCTCCAAACATGTTTCAAACACTGCAAAAGGCAAAGTGGCTTGTGGTGTGCGCTCTCTCTCTCTCTCTCTCTGTGTTATATTGCTGTCAGGACTGGAGGTGGTATACCTCTGAAAACCAGTTGCAGGAGACCATGAGCAGGAGAGTTTTGTTGTACGTACTTCCTGCATGTGGGCCTTCCCATAGGCACCGGGACATTGTGAGGACAGAATCCTGGACTAGATAGGCCTTTAGTTTGATCTAGGACTCTTATGAAAGAGAGAAAGAGATGCGGAGCAGAGATATGGTGGGTAGAAAAGAGTTAAATGCCATCTCCCACCCATCCTTGGCTTCTCAACTCCAAATCCCACTCAAAAACCTGCATTTCTTTTGGAAAAGCAACCATCAGACATTTGTGCAGATGCAGGCAGCTGTATGTAGTTCTACCCTAATTTAGAAGCTTTTAAAAAAGTTTGGGCAAATTCAGGGAGGGTAGGTCTGTCAAGTGTGATTAGCTATGATGTCTAAATGGAACTTATAAGTTCAGAAACAGTGTACCCCTGAATACCAGGTAGTGGAGGGAGGCAGTGGCTGGGGCGGGGGGCAAACAGAGTCTATGTCACCTTCATGCCTTGTTTGTGAGCTTCCTGGAGGATTCTCACTGCCCACTGTTGGAAACAGAATGCTGGATTATTTGGATCTTGATCTAATCAAGCAAGAGAATCCCCATGTTCTAAAAACAGGGGTGGTCTTATTTCAGCATTTTAAAAAAACACACTGAATTTACTCAGGTATTCTCATTCCTAAATTAGGTGCCCAATTGCAAATGCTTTCTGGCCACTGTACAAAAATCTTGGAATAGGTAACAGTCCATCAACACGTGCTTAATTTACAAAGAAAGGATGCATACTTGTGATCTGTATCTAATCTGCATTAAATGATCCCAGGTATGCTCTTTTGCTTAAGAAACACAAAAGTCTTACTTAACCAGACCACATTCTACTTTGTAAGAACGGCAGCAGCTGCTGGAGGGACCACAGTCTGTCTCCTGCTCACAGCCATTCTCAGGGATGTGGCCATATCACTTGGTTGGGTGCAAATCACTTCGTGGTTCAAGAAATAAATAAAAGGACTATGAAATAAATGAAATGATTTAAAAGAATTTATCAGAACTTGTATTTCTCCCCAGCATTATGTATATCAAAAATACTTGGCATGTATACCTGGTACTTCCCTTTCAAGGAGCTTCTCTTCCATTACACTGCTGTGAAATGTCTCGTGCCTCTGGGAGGCTGCGGGTGATGGGGGTTGAGGCAGAGCTGCTAGCTTAGAGCTACCCAGCACATTCATGGTACGTGCAAGATCTGAACCTGGGAGCTTCTGGTAGTCTCTTAGCCATGGCTGTGTATCGGCTCCACAATGCGCCTTTGGTAGCTCTCCTGACTCACTCCCATCCCCAGTTAGGAAAGTTTTCGCAACTGCTACAGAAACTGGAATTAGTCTGATACTACTCTGGATTAAACTACTGTAATTCCGGCAATGGCTTACCTGTTCTCACCCCCCTCTTCACTCATCGTGGGTGCAGCGGCTGGTGCCACAGGAAGGCTATAAGGTATCCTTAGGAGTCTTGCTTGTAAAGCATCCCAGGCTGAATGTTTTTCCCGTGGATCTAGCTGCTGCACATTACACCACTTTGCGCTCGCTGAGCCTCCCCCCCCAGTTGTCCCATTTCCTCCCATTGTTCAGTGCAGGCTTCCTTCCTGTTGCTCTCTCCAACCCGCCCCCAAACAGGAATTACTTCAGCCATGCACTAAGAGTGCATATTTGTGCATATGCCAATAGCACTGTGCATGCAGGTAGCTTGTTCATTCTACTTGGCATGAAATGTGTGCATGTACTTCTCCAGATGTCAAAGTCTGGAGGTGGTAAACCTGTGTCTGAGCTGCACTGCCTCATATTGTGTGCGTGCATGTGCATGCGCATGCGGGTGAGGTGGGGGTCTCAACTGACCAAATGTTTTATTTTGTATATGTTAAATTCCCTGCACATAGAAAACTGGATGTCAGAGAGAAGGATATTAGCCACTGACAGGCTAATTTTCGATGCGGAGAGATTTTTGTTGTTGTCAGCATCCATCTGCCTTGATGAGACAGTGGAGTGTGCCTCCAGAGGTGAAGTCAAACCACTGCATTAGCAGCACTGAAGTGGGCTGCCCAGATGACAAGATCACACTTTTGGCCTTGCTGATGTGGTCCAAAGGAAAGCAGACCAAGACATTTGGTACCAGCTTGGCTGTAGGAGTTGCCAGATGGAGGCATTCCAAGATGCCATCCAGCTGTCTTAGTAAGAACTGTGCCTGATCCTTCACACCAGGTATTATACAGGAGTACCGTCTTGTGAATCAACACACACCATTGCGTGCAAGTCTGTATATAAGGAAATGTGAGGAAACAGAGTTTGCAGCAGTCAAAAGGCAAAAGGTTTGAGTCCTCTCAAACATAACTAAGTCTACTTCCGGGGTGGCGCCTCCGGAAAATGGCGGAATCCCCTTCGAACTGAAGGGAACCCGCTGCACGGAGGCTTGGGTCCTGCCGCTACGGCGCAGCGGGGACCCTTAAAAACCACAGGCGGAAGAAGCCTGTGGACGTGGGACTCGGCGGGCACCGAGAGCGCTCTCTCCCCTGGTACAGGAGCCCGGTAACGGGCTCCGGAGTGGGAGGTGCGTGGTGCTGTGAGTCGACTGCTTCCTCCGTGCAGCAAAGCCGCACTGCCGTTTTCGGAGAGCGCTGCCTTTTTCCTGGACAATTTGGCATCTAAAAACATCTATCCGTGAGTACCTGATCCTGGAAGAGCTGAACTACTTTTAAGATTGGCGAATAAATAAATAACATTGGATTTGGACTTGAAATTGAATTTAATTGGGACTCGGAACGGAAAGGTCTAAACAGGAAGTCAGCCTTCCGTTCTTTTGTTACGTGAAGAAAGCAAAGACAAATTATACTAAAGCTTGAAAATTAAATTCTGAGAGAACTAAAATCCAACATCTAAGATCTTTGAACCCCCCTTTGACTGCAGGAGAAGAAGGGGGTTGTTTTGGTTTTTTCAACCCTGCGGAAGTGAGTTTAAAATAAAGTAATTTTCCACCGCCCTGAACCAGGAGCGGGCTGTCAGAACTGACGTTTTGAAGCTTATCCAGCTCGACAGATAGTTAAAAGAAGGGTAACATTTTGACTTTACTGTTGCCTCTTGAATTTGGAAGGGGGAATATTGGATAAAGTGTTTCTGGAAAAAGTAAGATTGTTGCTGTTGTTTTTCCCCCTCTTAAAAAAATAAATTAAAAAAAAAAAAAAAGGGTTTTCCATCTAGTGGAACTGAGTGAAATTGCAATGCAGAGAGTATAAAAGAGAAGGACTATTCTCGTGGGAAAGAATCTTCTTTGACCTTGAAGGACAATGCTTGTACAAAGGCTTGAACAAGTGCTCCTGGAAGGTTTTGCAAAATTAAGTGCCCAGCTGGACCAGATGCGTCAGGAGCCGACCTTGAAGATGGAAGTTACCAGAGCACAGCAGCAAACAAATGAAATTCAGTTAAAGTCTATACAAGTATATGAACCTGCTGTAGCGACGGAGGCTTCAGAGATGGAGGGATCTTTGGATGGGCAAGATCAGCAGTTGAACTTGATAAATGAACTTGGGGCAAACCTGATTCGGAAAGATGAAATGTGGTCGGATTTGGAAATGGGGGGATGGATTGACACCCCTCTATATGGTTATTTGGACTTTCCGAGTCTAGTGATGGGCCATCAGAAGATTGGAGCAGTCGAAGCCTCCAAACTTTGTGGAAATTGGAAGTGGTATTATTTGCTGTCTGGCTTGGGTAATGGGTTTGGGATGGACTTGCTGCAAAGAGTCAAAAGCATCTCTTTGTTGGAGTTTCCACGACTGAAAGGGAAATATCAACAAGAGTGGCGAAAGGGGCAAGAAAGAGACTTGAGGGCCTCGGATACGAGACAACCAGGTTAAGGAGCCGGAATATTGAGGTTAAAAGGACTGACAACCCCGGGTCCAGGGGAGGGGAGGTTGGAAGCTGACTGGACTGAATCTGACTTATTATTTTTTCTTTCTTATTTTTTAATATTGGGAATGTTTATAAATGTTTGAAGGATGTTGAATGAAATTATATGGCTTAAGTAAGGATTGGTAAAGGATTTGTAAAAAAGTAATGATGTAAGAATTTGCTAAATATTGAATATAAGCTTGGAGTTTTAAAGTTTTTATATGACAAGAGGGAAAATAGAATAAGGAAACGTAATGATAGATTGTTATGAAAAAACAGAAAGGATTTGCTGTAAAAATTAAAAACTAAGAAACAAGAGAGGGGAGGAGGAGGAAGTCTAGAAAGGAAGTTAATGGAGATCGTTAAGAACTTTATACTTCTGTTTTTCTGTTTTTCTTTTTTTCTCTTTTGCGGCTGGGTTTTTCTTTTTCTTTATTATTTCTCTATTATTTTTGTTTTTTTTTTTTGTATTTTCAAACTTTTTTGGAAATTTTTGTTGTTACTCTTTGAAAACTTAATAAACATCAATTTAAAAAAAAACACAAACATAACTAAGTCTAAACAAAGATGACAGGAAAAGCTGAGTGCCCAGTTGTTCCAAGGAGTAAGGAGGAGGAGACAACATGGTGTACTTCACTGCACCCAAGTGAGGGGGTTGGGGAATCCAGGGAGCGACAGGGTCTCAAGTCATCACAATCCGCACTGTATTCATTCCGCACTTAAATCAAAACTCTGCAGCCAGTATATATCCTATTCTATTAACAAAAAGCTTTTTAATCAGTCAGCTGATTTACAACTAGGCTGGTGACTGTGTACACACACTGCTGCATACGGGTTCATTGCTAACAGTGCCATCCATGTTGGCTTCCTTGGACATAACTCGGAGGGCTCGCTCCCTGGAAACTGTCTTTAGCGGCCTCAGGTAATCAAAACCCAGCAGTCAGCCAAAAAGAACGTGTGAACTAGTAATTGAAATAAGATTGGTCCCCGTCCCCCCTACGCTTACCTCTTTGGCTAAAAGAAAAGTTAGCGTCTCCCTGTGGGGCGGGGAGGGACTCTGCCGGAAACCCTGCAGAGCCGCTGCCGGCCAGTGTGGGCAGCGCTGGGCGAGATGGGCCAGTGGCGCAGGGCCGCTTCCGAAGTCCCCGCGTCCGCACCAGAAGCTGAACCTCGCGCCCCGCGCCGGGTCAGGACTGGCCGGGAGCCAAGGCTCCCTCCCTCGGTGGAGCCCGCCGCCGGCAGGATCGCCCTCTCCGCGCAGCGCAGCAGAGGCGCCTCCGCCTGCCTCTTCGGGGCTGTGCAGCTCGCGGGCCGGACGCAACCCTCCCCGGCCCTGCTCTGGCCCCGCGCTCGGCCCGCCCCGCGCCCCGCGAACCTCCGCCTTCGCTGCCCTGGTGGCCGGAGCGGCTGCGGGAGAAGCCCGCATTCGTGGCCGGGATTGGGGCGAACCAGGGGCAGCTCTGCCGGCAGCGACGGAAGAAAGGGGTCGTGCGCGGGTGGGCAGGGCGCCGCTCGCCCTGCTCAGGGATCCCCGGCCCTAGCCGCTCGGCGGTCTAGGGAGGAATTGGGCCAAAAAAGAAAGAAAAAAAAAAGTACGGTACCGAGTTACGTTTAATAATGACAAAGGCTGACAATTCAGGGCACGGGCTTGAATTCTGCCGGAGGGGTCACTCTCAGGCATGCCCCCCACGTAGCTGCCCCGTACGGACTGGATAGGAGTAACCTGCAAGTCAGCCCGTTCATATGTAGAGTTAGCACACCAGTGATAAATGTGCATTCAGTATTGGTATGGTCATCCAGCCTGCAAATGGATCCACGCACATCGTGCTGTGCCATCTATATGCACACTTACATACGGACAAGCCCAAGGCTGCCCTACGCCCCCTTTCAGCCCACGATTTCTTTCTGGAGTGCTTGGCATACAGGAAGATTGACTACTCGGAGAGACAATGCCCCTGTGACTCGGGACAAATAGAAACGGTAGAGTATGTCCTTCTCCAGTGACCCTATCACAGAGGCATTCGTATTATCCTGATTTCCCCACTACTTCATAAGTACCATGGCCGCACAGGGCAATTCTATACCCCCCTGCTGCTCTCAGATACGAGTCCTGGCAACAACATACAATGTTGCTAGATTCTGCACAGCAGCGCTCAAACATCTTTGGAGGATGATCTGCGCCAAAACCCAGATTTAATGAACATATGAGTGCTCTGTAAATTGATAGTTAAAGTCTTTTATATATCAACCGTATTCTTTTAGCTTCTTTTAAATTCTTATAGACTTTCACATTCACCTTCTGTTTTAGTACCTTTTAGCTTTCCAAAACGCTTTTCAGATTTTAAATGACTGTATCCCACCCTTTTATGCTGGTCTAAGACCGTAATAAAGATCTGTATTGTACTGGAGTGCTCAGATCCTCTCAGAATCATGGGGATGCTCTCAGAAGCATCACCTGGTCATATCTCTAGACCAGGGGTCAGCAAACCTTTTCAGCAGGGGGCCAGTCCACTGTCCCTTGGACTATTTTTTTTTTGGGGGGGGATGAACGAATTCCTATGCCCCACAAATAACCCAGAGATGCATTTTAAATAAAAGTACACATTCTCCTCATGTAAAAACACCAGGCAGGCCCCACAAATAACCCAGAGATGCATTTGAAATACAGTGGTACCTCGGGTTACATACGCTTCAGGTTACATACGCTTCAGGTTACAGACTCCGCTAACCCAGAAATAGTGCTTCAGGTTAAGAACAGTTTCAGGTTAAGTACGGACCTCTGGAATGAATTAAGTACTTAACCAGAGGTACCACTGTAAAAGGACACATTCTATTCATGTAAAAACACGCTGATTCCTGGACTGTCCGCGGGCTGGATTTAGAAGGCGATTGGGCCGGATCCAGCCCCCGGGCCTTAGTTCGCCTACCCATGCTTTAGACCAAGCTCCAGCTGTGAAGTAGAAATCTTGTATTCTAAGGGCTGCAAGGCCACTACCTTGTTGTGCAGAAGTTACAGCTGGCCCCGATTTACCTAATCCTTACGGTGAAATTGATTATGGTCCTTACGGTTTTAAATTTATGCAGGTTTATTGAGGCTGAGATAGGATAGCCCTAGCAATGCAGTCTGCTCTGTACTGTTAGGATTGCCGGGGATTAGTAAACAACAACCCTGCAATGAGTCAAGTGTTAACATTGCAGGTCAGAGGTGGGGCTGAGGCTGGTTTGGATTCCTCAAACAAAACATCCTGTGGGTTGCAGCAAAGGCTAATCTACATAATTTGCCCCCTCAGCCACCACCCAGATCAAATTCAGTGCTAAATTGCACACAAAAGCCTTCCATGCAGCTGCACTTTAAAGTATTTTAAAACTCAGAAAAATTATTATTTTTGGAATGAAATTGGATGTGAGTTGGGGAAGAGTAGGAACTCATCTCTTTGCTGGTATGATGTCTATCAGTGGGATCTGGATCTGACCGAATGGTAGATGGGTTTAGCTAATCTCAGGCCTAGCAGCAACTTCCTATTTCCTTTCCAACCAATCTCAGGACACTGGGAGGCTCCCTGAGTCACAGGCCAAAACAGGAAAGCTCCCCAGCTGTATTTAGTGGGACCCCTCCTCCAATCATGAGCCACCTCATTTCCTGAATGTCTTTGCTGGGTCTCTGAAAAAGGATTGTCTTCCCTACCCTACTCCTACTGGAAGCGTGCTGCTGTTAACCACCAACTAAACTGAACTGGGCCAAAATCCTAAATCAAGAAGTTGTCTCAAAATCTGTGCTGCTTTAGTATTCTGCATATCAGCGAGTTGGAGGGTTGGTTTCGCTTCCTTAGCTTTCTATATACATCAGCTTTCTATATACAGTGAGATTTTTTTCCTAGCAGATAATGAATGTTGGACTCTGATAGGAAAGAGATGTTCCTATTCCCCTCACCCTCATACAGAAGCTGTGCCTTTAAAGAATAACTTGAAACTGATTCACACTGAATGAATATTAATTCTTCATACTAACATAATTTGCTGTCTGCATCTGATCTGGGAAGGTCCCTTAAATGGGGAAGCACAGATAATTCCTTGTTTCTGAGTCTAGAAATCCAGTTCTGATTTGCTACTTATGAGACTGGTGAGTCATGACTATGATTCTGAGCCAGTGTGGGGGGAGATTGCATGAAAGCCTTCTTCACCACCACTGATCGTGGCCCTGGTGGTGACTCTCTTCTCCAAAGCTGTTCAGGCAGCAGTGCTACCTCTCTGATCTCTTTCCCCCTTCTCTCTCTCTCTCTCTCACCCCTCTTAGGAAAGTGGTAGATCATCCACCTTGCAAGCAGGAGGTCTCTGTTTCAATTCCCAATGGCATCTGCAGGTAGGGCTGGGAGAAGCTCGTGCCTGAAACCATGGAAAGCGGCTGCCAGTCAGTGCAGACAATACTGAGCAAAATGGACCCATGGTCTGACTCACTACAAAGCAGCTCCCTATGTTCCTATGTTGTTTATGTGTCACATTCCACCTTATAGCACTTTACAGAAGCAGCAAGTTAAAATTCCTACTTTTAACACAAGCTTTGCTTATCAAGGTTGACAAAATGTTGCCTTGTGTGTGTTTTGCTGAGAGCTGTTAAACTGCACATGCTGAGAGTGTTGCTTCTTGCTGTTGTATGTTTGTATCACGGAGCGGATGGCGCTGTGGTCTAAACCACCGAGCCTCTTGGGCTTGCAGATTGGTGCTCTGCCCCAGATTCTGCCAACCTAGCAGTTCGAAAGCACACCAGTTCAAGTAGATAAATACATACCAGTGCGGTGGGAAGGTAAAAGGCATTTCCATGCACTCTGGCTTCCATCACGGTGTCCCATTGCACCAGAAGCGGTTTAGTCATGCTGGCCACATGACCCGGAAAAGCTGTCTATGGACAAATGCCGGCTCCCTTGGCCTGAAAAGTGAGATGAGCGCCACACCCCATACAGTGGTACCTCGGGTTACAAATGCTTCAGGTTACATATGCTTCAGGTTACAGACTCCACTAACCCAGAAATAGTACCTCAGGTTAAGAACTTTGCTTCAGATGACAACAGAAATTGTGCGGCGGCAGCACACCGGCAGCAGGAGGCCCCATTAGCTAAGGTGGTGCTTCAGGTTAAGAACAGTTTCAGGTTAAGAACAGACCTCCAGAACAAATTAAGTTCTTAACCCGAGGTACCACTGTAGTCACTTTTGACTGGACTTAACTGTCCAGGGGTCCTTTACCTTTTTATCTTTTGTTTGTATCATACTTTAACTTCTGCGATCTCAAGTATAATTGTCTTCCTTTCCCCATTTTTTATCTTTACAACAGCCCTGTGAGGTGGCCTCAGCTGAGAGTTCGTAGTTCAGATAGCAAAGTTTGAAACTGCACATACTTACAATATTTTTTCCTTGTTGTTGTTTATCAATTTGTCAGGGTTGGCCAACTTTTTTATTATTATTATTGTTTTCGTATCTTGCAGTAGGTAACAGAATTATAAAATGTTGCATTTAAAACAAGGGGGGCTGCTTTTCTGGGATTGTACAGGTTTGTTTTTCTTTACACAATCTGTGAATGGCATTATGTATTTGCATGTGAATTTTCCTTCCAACAGCTCAAGGTCATGTACATCTGTCCTGCCCTTTCCGTTTGCAACAGCCCTGTGAGGTAGGCCAGGCTAAATTAATATATGTGCATAACTAGCAGTTCTTGCTAATAGATTACAGAGGGAGGAATGCAGGGGCCCCAATCCACATACAGTGTACCGGGCCCAAGTTATCCCATTGGCATCTGTGGCTTAGCATTATGTATGAATGTGAAGGCCACCTCCCAGCCATCTTGGGTCCTGTGCCGTCTGAGGGGAGGCTGCCACATTCCACACTTACAATACGTAATGTCAACTTTCGGGGAATAGTCCAGGACACTGCTAGTGGGATTGTCCCCCAAGTGCCACCAAACGGCTCTAAAAGGCTAGAATGCAAAGCAGCAAGTGAGAGAACCCCACCCCCACCAAGCTCTTGGCAGATCCGCAGTGATACTCTGCACTTCAGTCTGTGCAGAAAGGATACCTCAGGTTGTTGGTCCTGTGGTGTCCATTCCTGCGCACTGAGATTCTGTGGACCTGTCATGGCCACCTGAAAACCATCATCCCATGCACAATTGTGGTGCTTCCCAACAAGATTCACAAACAGGGAAGGAGACAAGAGAAAACTGTGGCCACTGGTCATATATGCGCTTCTTGAAAAGTAGTGCTGAACGGCGCCCCTGGTGTGTCTGTGTCTCTTGGAAAGTGGGGAGTTGGAGGGCAGGGAGCTTTGTGTTCTGTTGGGTGGGCGGGCGCTGGGTGGCTCTGTGAGAGCTGCTGTGTTCTGGATGGTGGAAGGCCTCATCCAGCCCACAGGACGGCGATGAGCTGTGCATCCAGATCCTGTCCTCAAGCCTCATCGTCACTGAGGCTCACCTTGGCTTCAGACAGACCGCTCTCGTCGATGTTCTCCAAGGAGTCAGAATGCTGCAGGGAGAGCTCAGCTAGGCTAATGCTGGGCAATGTGTTCTGTTCTGGGTACAACCAAGGCTTAAAGCCAGGGTCATGCTTCCGTTTCCACTCTGGGTACTTCAGCCCTGCCTTATAGATCGTCTTCATAGCCTGTAAAAGGAGAGTAAGTTGGTACTAGCCAAAAATCTGGTTGCTGATGCGCATTGTGTTTCTGAACTGAAAGCAAAGACCCACTTTTACATGAGCAGACAGAGGCAGCAGGCTCAGGGCTGAGACAGAGGTACAGTAGATGACCTCTGTGAGCATCAGGTCTCTTTGGCTCATATAACAATAATAATGATAATGATAATGATAATGATAATGATAATAATAGTACTACTACTACTACTACTACTACTACTACTAGTAATTTATATACCACTCTATACCCGGAGGTCTCAGGGCGCTTCACATAAAAAGATCACAGTATATAAAATCAAAATAAAATAGAATTCAGTCATGGCAGAGTTTCCCGCTGCTCTGGTTCACCAGAAGCGGCTTAGTCCTGCTGGCCACATGACCCGAAAGCTGTACGCCGGCTTCCTTGGCCAATAAAGCAAGATGAGCGCCACAACCCCAGAGTCGGTCACGACTGGACCTAATGGTCAGGGGTCCCTTTACCTTTACCTTTAATGTCCCCTAGAAAACAGTTTGGTTGAAGGGCTGGCATGCCCATGAGGTGCAGTAAGGAGGTGGCCTTGGGTAGCAGATCTGAGCCTGAGGAATGTGCCTCTTACTGCCACCTCCTCCACAACAGCATCACATTTCCCATAAGCGCCCCCCCCCGCCGCCCCCTGCCTCTGCCTCCTCTGTGGGCATGATGCTGCCATGGGCTCCACCACACTTGCACCGCGATGGGAGTGGCAGTGGGGGGTGCCTGTGGAGGAGGAGGCGGTGATGGGCCCATGGCACTGGCAGGGAGTGCCCATGGTGTGTGTGTGTGTGTGTGTGGGGTTTGCCTTAAGTGGCAAAACATCCTGGACCACCCTTGTTTGGCAGTAGCTGCCCTAAAAACTGCAGAGGTGTCACCCAGAGCACAGCTCTTCCATATTCCAGCTGTGCAGAGCTACACTTTTTGACAGTGTCCCAATATGGACAGTTATTTTCCCCCCTACCAAGCCTGCTTAGCAACTTGCTTCAGTCACAGCCATCCTGCCACGTGGATGTGCCTACACAACTCCAACTTACCTTTGGTGCCACGTACTGAGACGCTTTATTCACCACCCACTTTGGTAATGAACCTAAAAGCAAACCAGAGCCACTCGTTACCAAAAGCTGTTGCACACAAGTATTTCTGCCATGATAACTGCTGTGTTTTCCCACCATTCCTACACAGAGAAGAGCCCAGTCTATTGTGCCCCATGGGACAGGTGCATCACCCATCGCTGTGGGTCCTTTGACTATCCTTTGCTATCCTGCAAGGCTTCTCTCCCCAAAGCACACCCACCAGCCCCACACCAGAGATATGGTGCAGGTAGAGACATGGCTGAATTGCCTGCACAATCAAGTTCAACCGATGACAGCGAGTTCAGTCCCGCAGGATCGGCTGAGTGAGCAGGTCCTCCATGTGGAATTCGATCACACAGCCAATCCCTGCAGAGAGCAGGGTTAAAGCCCCCCTTCTGCACACTGCCTCCCTGCCAGGCACTCAGGAAACATGGTGCCAAGGGCTTCGACTCACAAGTGATGTCATAACAACCTCAGATGGTTGCAATCTGGCCAAAAATGGTTCCTACCTGTGCCTTAGGAAATCTCCCCTTTATTTATCACCCTGAACCCTCAACACTGACTTGGGCACTGCCTGGAACAATTCCCCTCCCCTCTCTCAGGCTTTGTCTTTTCCCAGCCACAACCTGCGTGTAAAGATGCTTACCTCGAGGGTCTACTTGGGTGAGGTAGTAAAGAATGCAGCCACTCTTGTCCGTTGCCTTGATCAAGTAGCCCGTCTGCAGGGATACGGCCCTCACGCAGTCCTTTCGGGGTGGGTACTTCTGCAGAGAGACCCCACAGTTTAAGGCTTGGTTCATACATGCAGTCACCGACATGAGTGTCCGCTTGAAGGGGAACTCGTGAAGGCACTGAATCACACAATAAGCCCTTTGTGGAAACAGATGCATATGCACTAAGGGCCCTCAGGTGTAGGAGCAGGGCCCATGGAGGGAGCGAAGGAGGGAAAGGAAGAAACTGGTAGAGAGCCAAGCTGAGAAGCAGCAGCAGCAACCCCACTGAAGAGGCTGCCAGTTCCCCACAGTGGCCAACTCAGGAAGAGGTGAGTGAGATATTCTTGCTGCATGGCAGCTAGAAATGATCCCCTTGACTTGGTGTAAGGCCATGGCTCAGTGCTAGAACACATGCTTTGTATTCAGGAGGCCCAAGGTTCAACCTCCAGGTAGGTCTGGAAGAGACTTGTCTGTCTCTGAAACCCCATGCCAGCTACTCAGCCAGATAGAGCAATGGTCTGACTCTGTAGACGGCAACTTCCTAGGTTCCTTTGAGTAAAGGCATGCTTTTAATGGGGCTTAAAGGATTACAAATGAGGCAAGGGGGTTGAGAAACTGGCCTGGCTGAGAGAAGGGGGTTGAGGGAGAAGGAATTCTGTGTCTCTGCATGAGCAAAGGAAGAGAAGAGATGGGATGTGGGGAAACCCCTTGCTCTATACCCCTTCCTCTTCCTTGCCAGCAGGGTACCAAGCCAGGGATGGCACCCATCCCTGCTTCCCATTCTGAACTGCAAGGCAGGACCGCAAGCACCACCCAAGGATCAGCTGCAAGGAGCTCACCGGATGTTTGACGCTGTAGTTGATGATCATGTAGTCGTGGCCAAGGGGCAGCCAGGAGCGCAAGGTAACAAAGTCCCTATTCTTCAGAGGACTTGGGCACCTCCCTGCAAGAGAAGAAACACGGTTAGCAAGAACATACTGACATTAAAAACCCCAGGAGGAAATAATGCCTCACTAGAGACGTTGCCTAGAGAACATGGTTCACCCCCATTCTGTTCTGGGGACATAACACCGGCCTACAGAGATGCGTTTTGAATAGCACTATATAAATACCAAGCATTAATGAAGCAGCTCCCGTGTGTGTCCCTGGATCTATCTGTCCTTGCTAAATGTTTTCCTGACCTGAGCAGCAAAGTATTCACTGCTAGTTCTACCTCTGCCATTCATTCCCCAATGCCCATTCAGAACCCCACATTAAAAGAAAAAGGAAAGCCATGTTTGCATGCCATGTTTCGGGCAGACCTTAGTTGAGCAAATATTCATTTTATTTAATGTGCATGGCAGAATGTAGAATGTGGCGTTCTGCTCAGAAAACCATTCAGCTGGAAGGGACCTCAGGAAACCCACTGTTACAGCACCCCTGATAGGTGGTCATCCAGCTACAGCTGAGTTTTTTGTTTTGTTTTGGGGGATGCAAGAAGCTCAGGACTAAGGGTTTCAGTGCAGTGCTACCCATGGCTGCTCAGAAAGAAGTCCTGAATTACTCTCAGGTAAGTGGGTCTAGGATTGCAGCGGAGTAATCCAATGGCATTCTCAAGATACACCAGCCCCAAGCCCAGCAGCCCCTCTGGGCACAGATGGGGACGTAGTTTAGAGGCACAAGAAGTGCTTTCTTCTAGGAAGCCACATAATCTGTCAGGGGTTCCAAGCCCGTCAAGTGCAAGAAGCAAGGTTGCTCACAGGAGTAATATCCAACATCTGCGTTGACAGTCAGGCGCCCAATGTCATGGGTCTCAATCATGTTGGAGTCCCACTTCTTGCGGTAACTGGTGTCATGTAGAACATCATAGAGCGTCTCTGGAGGCACATCACGGCAGACGATACGCATCTGTGTGGCAAGGAATTTGTGTGATCATGCACTGAAAACCTGCTAGCACAGCAGCTGTGTCATCAGACTCTGAGGCAAAACATTTTACCAAGGGGTAGGGCAGAGGCTGGGCAAGTGAGAGGGAAATTGTAATAAAACAAGCTAAACTTCACATCCCGTGCTTTTTTCCAGGCACGGTCTGCACTTTAAAGCTCCTTTATTTACTCCAGATTTTTCCTCACAAAAACTTGCTCTTTAAAGCTCTATCAGAGCAAACCACTAAAAACCTGAATGGATGTTTGTCCTGACTGGCTATTAAGGAGTGGGTTTTCACAGGAAAAGCTCCAGAGAAGTAGCAACAAACAAAAGAAACATGTTTGAATGGAGCTTTTAAGCACAAATCTGTTCCTGGAAAGAATGAGGCAAAAAGTGAGTGTGACTGAGCCTTCCTTTTACTTTACACGTTAATTTTCTGCATACAGGGAGTTGAGCGTTACCTAAGCTTCAGTCTGAGCTGGTACAAGCCAGCAAGAGCTGCATCACGTGGCTCTTCAGATTCCATCACTGTGTTATTAGTCAGATCTTCTGTAATGAGACGCCTTAACCCAAAACAAGGTCAAGTGCACTTAGACCAAGCTTTTCTATTCAGTTGGCTTAGCTCAAACAATCCACCACAAGCAAATGTGTGGAGCAGCAGTCCATTTGGAACAGAAGCAGATAACTTGGGGAGAGGTCAATTATGTGCCAAGAACACCTGGATTCTGAAACTTTAAAGATTATGCAAAATCAGTAAAATGGCAGCTATGTGAATATTTTGTGTGATTTATTAATATAAGTGGATTTCGTTTACCGTATTTTTTGCTCTATAGGACACACCCGACCATAACACGCACCTAGTTTTAAAGGGGGAGAACAAGAAAATTTTTTTCTCTCCCTCTCTGTGCAGCGCCCCTCCAACGAAGCGGCAGGAGAAACGGAGCCCCTTCCATTTCTCCTCCCGCTTCGCTAAAGGGGTGCTGTGCAGAGAGGGAAAGCTGCGCAGCGCCTTTCCAGCAAAGCAAAGCCAGGAGAGCAAGAGGGATTGGTGCGCACCGACCCCTCTCACTCTCCAGGCTTCAGTGAAAGCCTCTGGAGGCTTCGGGCGGCTATCCCTGAAGCCAGGAGAGTCTTGCTCTCCTGGCTTCAGCGGAAGCAACGCGAAGCCATGGAGCCTGCATTCGCTCCATCAGACGCACACACATTTCCCCTTAATTTTTGGAGGGGAAAAAGTGTGTCTTATAGAGCGAAAAATACAGTATTTTGTTTAGCATCTGCTGGTGTTGAACATATAACCTCTCACAATCCCAAAGGTTTTACTCTCAGTTGTGAGGTGCAATGCAATGGCCCCTGCGTCCGACGTCTTTGCTTCCTGCAATTATATACCACCTTCCCCATTAGGAACCCAGGGTGGTTTACCAGTTTCAAACACTAAAACAAATGAACAGTATAAACTGTAGAGCCACATAGTCCTCTCAGGTTGTTTGGTGGTGGTGCAAGTGTCCTGGCCTGGGCCTCCCTGGCTTTTTTAAGGTCTTTCTTGCACAACGCAGCTCTGAGCTTCTAGTTCCCAAGGAGACGGAGAATCCCAAAGGGTGCTCCAGGAGAGAGGCAGCTGGCCTGAGAGGAAATTCCTCAGCCGCTCCTTGAGGGTCTGCATCGTGAACACATCATCCAGGCATTGGAATTTGGGGGGCATCCGTCCCCTCTCTTCATCTCCACATGTTTAAATGTTGTCGTTCAAAGAAGCCCATCTATTCCCTCCACCAATCAGGGAGCTCGAAAAGGGGCAAATTTCCATAGTCAGCACACAACACCCTCGGAAAGTGACTGGGGGTTGGGGGCAACGTCCTGACGGGGCCCCACTCCTCTGCCACCCATTAATCCTGCAGGTAGAGAATAATGTTGAGACACTTGGGAGTGCTCAAAGCATTTCATATACAGAGCAAGGACCCACGAGGGGTCAGCCCTCCTCAAAAGTGGTTCAGGTTCTGCTTCAATGGATAGGCCTTTGAATACAAGGTGACCATGACTGGATGATGGCATGGTGGTGAAACCCTGCAAAAAGGGAGTGAAAGAAACATGGAAATTCTCCACCCAATGTCTGGTGGAGGCAACCAGATACTTGCCACTGAGCATTCAACTACATTAGTAAAGAAAAAGCGCTTTATATGCATTTTAACACTGTGACAACAGATGGTGCTGTGGAGTTCCATCTTTCGCCACTGTAATTTCCCTTTATGAAGTTTACAATGCGTTTTCCTGAAACACTTTTTTGATGTGTCTAGATCCAGCCTGAGAAAACAATTCCAGATCTCTTAAGTCTGCAGGTGGCTTCCGCCCTGAACTAGAGACCGAGGACTCAGCTACATTATTAAAGAAACAGCCATTTGAATGTGCTATAAACATGCAACACCAGATGGCGCCAGAGAGCAGGAAATTTTAAAACACGATTTCCCATAGAGATTTCTTTTCTTTTGTTCTGATCTGGCTTATTTATAGCGTTTACCCCCCTATGTTTAGATCCACCTCAGATTAGTGGTAACCAAAGTCATGACGACACCTGTAACTAAAGCTGTCTGTAGGATTAAGTGCCTCAGGCAGTTGGTACTTCACGGATCTATCTATCTGCATCTATCTCAGCTCAGTTCAATGAATGCAATGGACTAAGATTAGCAAGATGGTATCTGCTGCTCATTATCCTGTTCTCATTTTTAATTAAATACTAGCCAGATGCCGAATGAAAAGCGCTATCCCTTTTTTATACTGCCTTTTCTCTTTTTTGTCCTTATTTTCATCTTGGTATTCATGTACAGAAGAGCTCATATTATTCCACCAGCAATCCACGCACACATGGTGGGCTGGGGTGGGCTGGGGGCTTTCACTGTTTGGAAATGAGACATCCAGATGCCCAATCTCCCTTGTTTGAAGATTAAATGTCTCTACACAGGAATTATTTAGTCCAGCAGAGGAATATTTCAGAAGCATGTATACCCTCTAGAAGGGCCTTCCACCAACCGTGGCTGGTTCGAGAGCTATGGCTATTCCTGGACCGGGAGAGTTGGTGCCGGCCCACCCACATGGGGGGGGGGGGGAGCCTGGCCAGCTGACAGCACTTGGTGGGCACAAAGCAGGTGCCCCACGCAGGCGCCCCCTAGTGCTCCTCTCCGTGAGTGCTGGTTCCTCCAATGCCAGAAGAAAAGCTCTGGGCCAGGCTGGGGGCATCTGCTGAGGGCACCTGCTTCGTGATCCCTCTAAAGTCTGCACATGGGGCCAGGGCCCCTCTGGAGCACATACATGCCACTGATAGGCTGGAATTTTGATGACCATTATATCATGTGAACAGTGTGAAAACCTCCACGAATAAGCAGCACTGATTTCACCATCAATCTCCCTGCCTGCCATCTACACTCTGCCCAGCCCAGTAAGGCATGAGAAAAGAAGCCATTATCTCAGAACTTTCTCTCAGCCATACAAACATTAAAGTCACAGGAATCACTTTGAACATTCTGCTTAGAAATTCTAGACACACTTATTGAAAATAAATAAACTCCGCTAAGCACAGTGTGACTTTTTTTTTTTTAGTAAACATGTAAATCACAACTAACCGTTGGTTAAATAAAGAATCTTCGTGTACACAAGTAAACCAGGTTCCATTGTATTGATCCCAGGCCTTTTAGATATGGAATAAGCAGCACCTCAATGTCAATATGTGAGCACAAGAAAACAATGTGTGGAGCCAGTGAGTGAAAACTGAATCAGCCTCTTTCTGAGGGCTAACCACAACTCAAAAGCTTGTGTCTTTATCTGCTATCAAATCCATATACAGTGTTCAATTCCCTTACGTCTGGGCAGGACACTCAAAAACACAGCCTTATCTTCCCCTAGATCTATCTCAATTCATGTCCAAGATACCTGAACAGGGATATTTCTGTCTGTAAAATGTGCTCGGAGGCTGAAACAGCAGAGATCCCTCACAGAAAAAAAGAAAGGGGAGAAGAGGATGAGGAAAAGGGAATGTGAGAGCCCAAAGGATCTTCCGGGACCTCTAACATTCTAGCTGAATTGCAGCATTGCACATTCTGCAGCCTGGATTAATTTGAGAACTGAGCGCAGCAAGAGGGATGCTTGTTTTGGAGCAAAGCTTTGTTTTGGAGTCCAGCATTCATGGGGCAGGAGCAGGAGAAGAGGCTCCTGGGCAAATCAGAGGGGGCAGAAGGGGGTGGGCAGTGCCACATCACCACCCATGATTCCCAAGCCCAGGCAGGGGCCCCTGGGTGGCATTCAAGTAAGTTTTACTCAGAGCAGAGCCTCTGGAATGACTGTCGTGTTCATTAATTCCAATGGGTCTACTCTGAGTAAGCCATAGCTGAATGCCACCCCCTTACCTTGATTTTCTGGACAGTCTTGCTCTCCGGCTGCATTTGGGTCCACACTGCCACTCCTCCCTTGTTATACCGGCTGCTCCAGCCTTCCTGGCTTTCACACTGGTCCCGGAAAGTGTTGAAGTCGGAATCATCTGGGATGTAGGCTCTCTCTCCTTCCCCAGACATAGGTGCAGCTTCCTGCAGGGCCGCCAGGCTGCCTGAGAGAAGGAGCTGTGCAAATACCCACCCAGGCAAGAGAGGTTCCTGGCTGGCTACTGGGGAAGCTACGCTGGGCTCAGCGCTGCCCTGGCCACTTCCCTCTCTTCCTTCATAACTCTCCCTCCCCAGCTCTGTCAGGGGCCTCTCTGGGCCTCCAGCCCTGACTCTGGGAGAGAAGGAATGGCGGTGGCTGCTACATTCAGTGCCTCCATCAACTGCATGGCGTGGGCTCTTCAGAGCCTAGACGCTCCTCTCCTGCAGAAGAGTCACGGCTGTTGCTGGCAGTGTGGATGCCTTCTCAGTCCTGCCAAAGGGCACCAGGCCCCCCTGGGAAGCTTCTGCTATTTATGTGAATAATCTGTAAGTGCATAAACACACACAGAGCCCATTTCGGTGTTCTATCCCCAGCATTCCCCAGTGCCTCCCCCCATGCCTCTTTCCTATCCCTCTCCTAATTCTGCTTCTCTTAACCTGCCTCTGACTTTGCCGCACTGAGTTGCAGAACCAGCTGGTCACTTGCCAGCAGCAGCAGCAGCAGCCGCTGAGTTCAGTTCTGCAGATGGTTAATGGCTTTGTTAATGCAGGATGCAGTCTAGTCTACTTACCCTGCAATGGAACGGTTGTGGGGGAGCTAGAGAAAATTCTAGATTGTGGAATAGGGATTCTGGAACAGGGAGAAGGTTGTGGGGATTGCCTCACACTGGCCATTCTCCTGGCCTTACATTCTGAGGCAAAAAGGACATTCCAGATGTACTGGAGCATAAAGGGAGGGGTTTTCAGATTGTAACTCCTTCAGCTGTGACGAAGCTAGAATGTTGTGTTCAGAGCTTTCAAAATGCTGTGGCCTTGTTAGCGATAGTGTGATGGCCTGGGATTCAGACTCGGATGCTGAACCTGAGGGATACCAGCCTGCACAGGATCCCCCAGAACCAGCTGAGCCGGGGCTGGGGCATGAGCCTGAAGGGTCCTCACCTGTGCTGGATCCTCAGGTGCAGTCATCAGCTGAGTCTTCTCTGGCTCCTGAGGTGATGGAGGGCCCATTGCCTGCAGGTGCTCCACTCTCAACCCCGTCAGGGAAGCTGAGGTTGCCTCTGGGTCCAGTAACCCTCCAGCCTCTCCTGAGCTGCAGAGGCTCAGGGCAGAGAGGAGGAGGGAACTACCGTAAGTTCTCGCAGGAGGAGTGCTCGCCTCCAGGCCAGGAGAAGCGAGTCACCAGAGGATTGGGGCTGCCCTGTGCCTTGGCCAGCCCCATCCCCAAGTTGCGGGAGCAACATTGTTGGTTGTTAGTTCCTGTCTGAACCCTGTCCTGCTTTCCCGCCTGAGCTCCTGACCCACCTTGGCTCCTTGCTTGCATGCCTGTTCCTGACTTCACCCGACTCCCTGCCCTGCACCCAGCTTCAGCTACTACGGACTGCCTCCACGTTGCACCTTTGACCACGGACCGGACTTGGACCTCTCCTCTCGGGTAACCCACGGGACCAGCACAGTTAGGGATGCACCTGACCCAGGAAGAGGAGCTCCCCTACTCCAGATCTGAGTGTAACAAGGCAGATGCAGCAGGAGGCAGAAAGGGACCCCCATCTCAAAAGACCCTTGAATCAAGGTTTCCTGCTAACAGCCCAGCAAGACCAGTTTTGCTCGTCACAATATTAATCACAATATTCACAATATCACAATACTAATCACACTGAGAAATCACAACAAGCAGAAGTAGGGATATCCAATGATTAGCAAACTTGTTTAGGTGTTGATATGAGTATTTTGAGAAACGTTTCAATAGTAGTATATATATTTTTAAGGTGCATATCCACAGCAGAGCTCGGGTTTCTGGATGCTATGGTGAGCAGGGAAGCAGTGATTGAGTGGAGGGGCAGCGCAGTGCGTCATCCAGTAGCCAGGATAAACTTCAAAGCACTCACGTGTGGACAAAGATGCAGGAATGCGCACATGGAAACAGCCCAGGTATGCAATTACACGCTGCTGTGGACACAGCCTAAACTCCACCATGTTCAAGGGGGCTGATTCCCAGGCGTGTGTCCACAGGACTACATGTGAAGCCGCATATTTGCATTTCAAGGGAAGCCCGTGATTGCATCAGAGTAGAGGCTTCCTTTGCAGTGCAGCTTGGGGAGAGGGTGAACCATGGGCAGGCGGAGAAAGGGTTAAACTCTCTCAAACGCACCTGCTCAGAATCCTGAAACTGCTTGGGCTTCACTAAGACTGCTAACTGCATCACAAAGCAGGCATTTCCTAGGCCCTGGCAGTAGGCTCATTACTTGCTATTTTTCTTTCTTTCTTTTTAAAAAAAAGATTACTTTCAGAGAAAGGGGCTAATATGGAAGCAACTGATGATAATAAAATATTCACTTTCTGTGCCAAAGGCTTCAGTAATGCTGTTGCTAATTCTAGGATATCTCCTGCAGGTGGCACCTGTGCTGAGAGCAGACTCCAGAGAAACACAAAAGATGCTCAATGCAGCCGCCACGAGGCACAGATTTGGTGAGGATATTGCCTGCAAGCGCTGCTTTTCTCGGGATGACAAATTGCTTAATGAATGTCCAGGCCAAGTGCTTTGCACAGATTGCTCGTAGGCTGTGGAAGAACAAAACTCACATTTCACAAAAGACTTGGAGCTCATTGCAAAAAAATAAAAATAAAAAAATCACAGCAATACACACATCCAAGATGATTAATTGGACCTGTTTTTTCAAATAATACAGCTTCCCAGCTTAAACCTGTTTTAAACCTTGTGAGAAATAGTAATACTGGAAAAATTCAAAGGAGGAGGAGAACTTTTCCATCTGCTTGTTCTGCTTCTAATTGCCACATTGTTTGCCTGGGGTTTCTGTAATTAACTAGACAGCCCTTCTAGTATACTATACAATCCACCAACCAGAAGATGAGAAACCATATGCTGCTCTATGTTTTAAGACCTGATTTTCCAAACCCCCAACCCCAATTTAAGGTTGGGGAAATCTTTTGCAGTCTGAGGGCCACATTTCTCCATGAGCTACTTTCCAAGGGCTACATGTGGTATTCTTAAAGGTAAAGGTAAAGGACCCCTGACAGTTAAGTCCAGTCATGGACGACTCTGGGGTTGGGCGCTCATCTCGCTTTACTGGCCGAGGGAGCCGACGTTTGTCCAAAGACAGTTTTTCTGGGTCATGTGGCCAAAATGACTAAGCCGCTTCTGGCGAAACCAGAGCAGCACATGGAAACACCGTTTACCTTCCCCGCTGGAGAGATACCTATTTATCTACTTGCACTTTGACATGCTTTCAAACTGCTAGGTAGGCAGGAGCTGGGACCGAACAACGGGAGCTCACCCCGTCGCAGGGATTCGAACTGCCGACCTTCTGATCGACAAGCCCAAGTGGTTTAGACAACAGCGCCATCTGCGTCCTAAGGTGGTCCTTAGGTGGCAACTGTGGACAGTCTCTCACAAAGAAACTTGCCTGATTAGCTCAACAATGGAACCCTCTATTTAGATTTTAACCCTTGCTGGATCTAGGACCCCAGAAATTAGAAGGGGCTCAGGTATCATACAGACTAACCCTGCAAACTCAGGGCAAGCCCTAGGCTCAGTGGTTTAGACCACAGCGCCACCCACGTCCCTATGTGGTCTTCTTAGGATCATATAATTGTAGAGCTGGAAGAGAACCCAAGGGTCATCTAGTCCAACCCCCCTGCAATGCAGGAAACTGAGATAAAGCATCCATGACAGGTGGCCATCTAACCTTTGCTGAAAAACCTCCAAGGAAGGAGAGTCCACAACCTCCCAAGGAAGACCGTTCCATTGTCAAACAGCTCTTACCATTAGAAAATTCTTCCTGATGTTTAGTCGGAATCTCCCTTCTTGTAACTTGAAGCCATGGGTTTGAGTCCTACCCTCCAGAGCAGGAGAAAACAAGCTCGCTCCATCTTCTATGTGGCAGCCCTGAAGATATTTGAAGATGGCTATCATGTCTCGTTTCTGTCTCCTCTTCTCTAGGCTAAACATACCCTACTCCTTCAAGTCCTCCTCCTAAGGCTTAGCTTCCAGACCCTTGATCATCTTGGTTGCCCTCCTCTGTACACATTCTAGCTAGTCAACATCCTTCTTGTAGCACCCAGAACTGGACATGGGACTCCAGGCATATTTTCCTGCCCTAGATCCTTGATAACTGCTGCCCCTTGGAGTAGACAGTTCTGGGTTAGATGGACGAATATTCTGACTTAATAGAAGGCATTATCCCTGAAACTACATTGGATTTGAGATCATTTTTAAATATGAAATTGTTTTATATATGCTTTTATTGATAAATTGCTTTGAAATAATTCATAAATGGAATGGAATAAACACACACACACACACACACACACACACACACACACACACACTGTATTATGAAAGGCTTAGGAGAACACTGTCAGTCATAATCTTTATTGCTTAAATAAAAATGAAACCATCATCCGATTCTAGGCAAATAGCACTGCCATCTAGTGGCTAAGTCACAGTTAGTTTATGCCTCAACGTTTACCAAACATTTTGGAAAGTGTCTGACAAATCTCAGCCAAGGATGAAGGCCAAACAATGGAAGCATGGGGTGTCCATGATTAAAAAAGAAATCAGGAGATCTAATGATGTTTCTCCTGCACAGCAATTTACATATGAAAAAAGCTCTGCAAGCAGCTTACAAACATCAGTAATAAGGCAGAAGAAAAGAGGTTAAGAGATCAGAGGGGGGAAAGCAAAAACATTTATATACTGCTTTTCAGCCTGATATCCCTCCGCACGCCCCACCCAAGTCTCCCCCCAATAGTAAAGAACAATAAAATCAGTTTTTAAGAAACCTAACTTTTTAAAAGCAGAATCATCATGAACAAAACTCTGGAGATAAAGGCAGTATAAAAGGATAGAATCAGAATGGGGAAAGGCCATGAGGGCAATCAAGAATATACAACGGGAAAGACAGGAAGTCTACTATGTTTGTATGTATATGATTTTGGGGTTTTTTTTGTTTTTGTTTGTTCTCTTTGTTCTTTCTTTCTTTTTCTGTTTCATTTTCTTTCTAGGTATATAAAATTTGTATATAATTTTTGTATACTTGTTTGAAATTATATCATAGTAAGTCCTGTAATGTAATATGACAACGTTTACAATGTAATATAAGAATGTTAACAAATAAATAATATGCAAATTTTAAAAAAGTCCCACCCCCTGCCCAATATAGGAGGGCAATACAGGATGCAACTTCTGAGTATCTCCAGCGAAGGTGAGGTGAGCACTTTCCAAAGCAGGTCTCTTCCACTGTTGAGCCGTAGGAAGTTTCTTCTTCTGTTCAGTTGAAGTCTACTTCATTGTGGTTTTCCTCCATGGGCTCTGGTCCTGCCCTGTGGAACATGCCTGCTCCACCTGTTGAATGACAGCCCTTCAAGATATTTGAAGGCCACTATAAGATTAAACTGTGAGGTATAGATTTGAAAAGGGAAAGCTTGTTGGCGGGATGGAGGGAAGTCATAAGCTCGGCAGAGCGGTAGGGAATGAGATTGGTAGGCGTATATTGGAAATTATTGTTTAAAGTGAAAGTTCAATAAAAATTATATTGGGGGGGAAAAGATATTTGAAGGCCACAATTATAGCCCTCCTTAAAAGTCTTGTCTCCTGGCTTAAGCATGCCCAATGCTTTCAATCGTTCCTTATAGCACTTCCAAAACGTTGACCATCTTGACCTCTCTCCTCTGGACATGATCCAGTTTGTCAATGGCCTTTAAAATTCAATCCTTAAAGCTGGATGCAGTGCTCCAGATGAGGCCTGACCAACCCAGAATGAAGTTGAACAATTACTTCTCACGATCTGGAGTGGTGTGTCTGGTTTGACCTCTGAGGACTCAGTGCCTGGCACCAGGTCAGGGCTCAGCAGGACAGCTATTTTCTGGGGCAGGGAAAACATTGTCCATAATTTCCAGGTAGCCCCACTTCCTGGAATGTCTTGGAAGTGACTCAGTGTGATATGATTTGTCATCACGCCTGAGCTGGTAGGAAGCCTTTTAAAGTTTAAAAGGCAAAGGGGAAAAAATGGAACTCCTTTGGCCACCTCCTCTTCCGAAAAGCCCAGAGACATTTCTCTCTTCCCCTGCCCCATAATTTTTCAAAAGGGCTTCGTTTTGTCCTTCCCACCCAAACGATTGGTCAAGAGAAATTTCTCCCACAGCTCGAGCTTCAAAGTGCAATTTATTCACACAGAGGCCTCAAATCACCTCCTTCTCATAACTGATGGCATGTCAGGGATTTCTCCAGCTGTTTCCCTGCCTCTCCTGGACTATGAGTCATCTGCCTAACCAAAGGTATGGCCAAGCTGGCATTCATGAGTTATGTATGTCGAGGAAGACAGCCCTGATCTACATAACTCGACATACTGCATGCATGCACTTAAAGCCTGCCACAATCTTTTCATGAACCAAATCAGTGTTTCATAATGCCAGTTAAAAACCGCAGTATTATTGCAAGAGGCAAACTCCAGCACATTCCTATACTGCACCCACCTAGGATAGCCCTGTGTAGGAGGCGAGCTGCGTCGTTCCCATGAGAAACTTGCCTGGTATATGTTCACATTGTATTGAACCTGCCCCATTCCCATAGCAACAATTCACCAGCTTTGGAACTGGAGACATCTTGACTTAACAGCTCATGTGCTTAGCCATTATGTTATGTCAGCCAAGAGTACCTCCTTCTTCTCCTTCTCCTTCTCCTCCTTCCAGACCCTGCCCCCACATTGCTTCTTCATGTCTTTTCTCAGGACGTAGTGTCATGTACCAGTTTGGGGATGGAACTGGTTAGTGAACTTTAAACAACAGCCTTGCTGTGTATGCCAAATTGATCAGGCCTGAGACACACAGTTCAGGAATCTTTCTTTGCAAAAGGGAATGCAAGGACGCCAGGACAAATGCAACCCCACAATCTGGGGTCTTTCTTTGCAAGAGAATATTAAAACAAATAACCAGACCAAAAATGTCTATTGTCTGCCTTTGCCAGAGCAGCCCACCTAACAGAGGCATGGGCCCACAGGGTGTCCCTCTGCCCTGGGACCCCTCAAACCTATAGCTGAGCCAGATCACTTTTACGTTTTGCAGAATTCCTAGTTAGCTCTCTAGTGGCATCAAATAAATGTTATGTTGCTTGGCTATGGCAATGGTTTGCTGATGCCTCTTTCAGTGTCACATATACCAGAACCTGAAATATAAATAAGCCTGTATAGTTTTCCCACCGATATAAAATTAGTACTTTTCTCTTGGAGAAATATTAAATATTTGGAAAGCTCTTTTTCTTCAAAGATGACAATTTTTGCAATTTATATTTGGCCACTTGGTGTCGTCCAAGTGCCATGAAGGAGAACAAAATGGAGTCTCTTTTCTGAAAACTAAAAAGACTGTGGGCTGTAAATTTCAAACCTCGCAGAAAGAACACAAAACGGCCCTTCCTGGCTAGCTGGCATCCGTCATCATCTCCACCTTGTAACCCATGACTTAAGCATGTTGGTCATCTCCCTTCAAGTTTGCTTTGTGTGCTTTGCTTCTCAGACCAATTATGAATCCTTGAACTGAAAATTAAAGCTAACTGGTTGCAATAAACCTTCATTTGCTTCCACAGCACATGCCTCT